ATGCCTGTGATGCGAGGCAATGCCCTTCTAGATACGAACTGAGATCTAGCTTGAAGGGTTTCCCAGCATCTTCAGATGCTAGTTGACCTAGGAGAAGCTGACCCAGTGCTGATTATATTATCTATGTTGCTTATGTCTAACTTTTGCTTTGGAACTCTCTTGTAAAACCTCAACTGAACCCTAGTATATGTGTGCTTTTAAATATCCCCAGCAGCTATCACTTCCCTGAAAACTAACCTTGGCTGAAATTTAGGATCCAGGCTCCTCAGTAAAACACCAGCTGGGAAAGTTGGCCAGGGAAACCTCAGACTGGCACAGGTATACCTGCACATCCTAAAGCGTGGTGTGCGGCTGCTCCCGACATACCTGGAACAGGACAGGAACAGTTCCTCCTTAGGTCTTCAGGTCTCTATAGGGCATGCTCTGTACATTCATGAAGAGGTAAGGGAGACCAAATCGCCTCTTGCTTTGCTGAGCAGAGAGGGAGTAGTATGATGTCATACTTGGGCTGGTCCATCAGTGGAGGCCATAAAGGGGAGGTGGTTATTTGCTCCCCTCTCCTTTACACATCCTCACTAGCACATCCTATGAAGACCAGGATTGATGCCACAGTAAGCAGGAAAATACACTCCAGCTGGGACCAAGCAGAGCCTTGAAATGCTGCTGTGGATTTCACTTCCAAGCCACGTCATTCTGCTCCACTCTGTGACACTTGAGACAACATTATTGAATTCCCCATTCTGATACCCTCATTTGAAGCAAAGCATCTTCAGCAGCCCTAATGTTTGATCTCAGCCTCACAGCTGGGGAAAACTAACAGCTGTTTTGTGATTCAAAAGGAACAGAACAATAACCCACTGAAGCTACTTCTCCTGTATATGTGGATGGGTGAGTCAGATGAATAATTGGACAATGCAGATCAGTTAAGCCTAACTCACTTAATAGCATTAATTTGCAAATTAGTACACATTAGGTGAATCATCTGCAATTCATTTTGACAGCTATGTTAAAAAATATTAAAGTAGTTACAATGAAACAGATAAATATTGCTGCTGAAGAGGTTCTGAAGCAGGTAGTTGCTATGTTGATGTTTTTGTCTGTAAAGGTTTGAGATGCATAAGTCTGAGTTTTATAAAATCAGTAGAAAGCATATTTTCTTCCAGGCTTGTACAGCTTTTATCACCCTGACAAATCTCAATGGAGCTTAAATAATCATCAGAGACAGGCTGAAAAAGTTCTGACTGGGATCTAGGCATCGATGTTGCTGGGACTGACGTAGGGGTCTGGTGCAAGGAAAAGAAACCATTTTCAATCTGAAATCTGGTCTAAGAAAATCAGCTGGTAAAATAATCCGGCCTGCTCACACTCTTCCTAGGAAGGCTTGGAAACACATCTGGGCTATTGTTATTAAGTGGCACACAGGGCAGATGAGCATCTGATATTTGAGCCAGCTTGGTGATGAACACTGGGAGGAAAATGCCAGTATTATTATTATGATGTTATTAAAAGGCTGAAAAATTCTTTAGTCAGGTACAGTTAATAGGATCTCCTGAGATCTTACTGCAAAAGTAGTAGTAGCTGCAGCTACTGGAGCACTAACATGGTTTAGGAAGATGCTGAGCTCCGAGTTGTATGTGATGACAGCAAACTGAAGAGGCACAGTGAACACAGGAGAACAAATGTGCTACCCCCTCTTTGCCAAAGAAGAAACCCTCCATCACTGCCTTGATTGTGCAATGATGGCAAAACCTGGTGTTGAATATACGTTTCTGGAGAAAGATTGAATCACAGCAGCAGCAGTTTAGCAGTTTAATCTCACACCTCCCTGAAACCAGATAGCACCAGAAACACATACTGCTACAGTGCTCAGTTGCTTCACATTATCAGTCGTTTTTCTTTTTGAGCTATAAATACAGGGTTTGCTCCTTAACAGGTATAAATCATGCTCTCTGGAGATTTCAGTACATATCTAGCAGCTTGTACTTGCTCTGGATCTCACTAATCAACACCATGTACGCAGGATTTCCTCAGTAGTGCAAAATGGGTAACAGTTTTAATCAATTATTTATTTCTTTTAGTGATGGTCCTTTACACTCTGTTTTACTGACACTTTCCTCCATGGCAAGCATTCATAGGTTTAGAGAAGAACTTTGCTGCAATCAATTTGCCTTCACATGAAAGCCATGGAGCTGCCAGAAAAGCTAACCTGCCTAAAGAAACTATTACAGATAAAATCTTTATTCTGTGTGTAAAACTTCAGAGGTATGCTATCATACATTTTTGGAAGGATTTAAAATAGTAGAACAGCCATAACAGTTACATTGCCCATACATTGAGAAAATTGACCTAGCATTACGTCGTGTCTATCAAAGTTAGAGCCTCCCCACTCACAGTCATGGCTTGTCAGGTTTGATGGGAAGCTGGTTAAACGCCATGTCAGAGGAGGCTACCTGGAGCAGTGCACAGAAGGCTGCTTGCCAGTCAGCTGGCAGCCCTGTGGTATCTATCAGAGCCAGAAGAATACTGGGATGTAGCTAATGATGTAGACTTCCAGTGAGTGAATCACAGGTTCTGCTTTTCTATGTTAATGCTTTATAACCACGAACGAGAAACCAGCCACCCTTACCAAGTTCTGCAAGCTCTTCACAACCCCTGTTCCTTGGACACAAGCTACAATACACAAACTGCACACAGTCATAGCTGAAAGCCCCCCAGGTCCAGGCCTCAGACACCACAGAAGCTCACCAAGCTGGCCAGCCCTCACCATCACTGCTTCTATTACCTGACCCACACCATTGGCAAAATGGCTCTCATGCAATCAAGGTTTGTACCTCACAGAAATCATACAGACTGCAGCCCTGCTGAAGAGTCACAGCAAGATGGAGCAAGAAAAGCAGTGGATGAAAGTCTCCCAGAGCTGCGTGCCACTGTGGGAACAGCACAGGAACCCCTTTTGCAGAGCTCTGTTCCAGGACATGCTTAGCAAAGACTAAACAGCCTTGGGCTCTGGTAAGCTTCATCCGGCTGGAAAGGAGGCCCTGCAGGCCAGAGTTCAGAGGGATCTTTGGGCCCAGAACATTCATCAGTCCTAGAGCACATTGTTATCATAGCATGTAAAACAGCCAGAAAAATAACTGTGTGTTTTTAGGGCCTTTAATCTGCCACAGCTCTAATGAGATGTTAGAGAAATGTTATGTATAAGATAAGGCATGTATGTGGATAGTAACCAATGTGCTGCAAAAGCCTTTTGTTTGTGTGATCCTATGTGGAGCTCAGACAGTGGCTTTCTCAATAGGCAGCAGGAAAGCACTGCGAGGCTCCCAGCGCAGAGGTTACCCTCGCTTCCAGGACACCAGTTACACAATCCAACAGTACAGCACACCATAGCCACTGTGGGATTTTAACCATCTCTTCATCCCACGTGCCCTATGCTGTTGAAAATGTCATAGTTCAACGCACAGTGAATTAATTCTTTTACTAGGTCGGGCTCGGTAACAAGCACTGATTTAAGCAGCTTATTGCAACAGATGCCTAAACGTTGCTCTTAAACAGCAGCTTTCAATGATCAGACAGGGAATGGTTTCTGCTCCTGGTGACACATCTCAAGACATGCAGCATGGCTGGGTGCACGGCAGAGCAGGAAAACTGGCCTCTGCTATTTGGTAGCTTTTTCAGGGAACACCAAATGTTGTTTACTTCCTAATTTTCCTACAGAATATAAATTGTTGCTCTGGGCTATTTCAGAGAGATAATACAAGTGACTCATTTGAGTTGTATATTGACCTCAGGCACTGTGAAGATGTATCTTACAGTGCTTTTAAAAACAATTAATGCAGATTTCTGTACTTCTGCAGATGCCTGGAGTACACTCGAGACTTTCATGAGGTGTTAAACTACACATACGTGGACAAGCCCCATGTTATATGTTATTAGTAGTCAAAATATCCCTAATCATTGCTCATACAATCTTCCAGGCTGCATTCTCTACATCATTTTTGTTCTTTCTTCCCCTTAGCCAGTCAAAAGCTGGAGAAAGAAAATGTTACCCTCATTACCACCATGACGATCTCGGAAGAAGCTGTCCTTTATCAATTCATGCAGGTCTCTGCAATCTCAATTCAGCATGGCAAAAATGAGTGCGTGAAACACTGAGAAATTACAATCTGGTGGATCTCCTAATACTCTTCACATGAAGATATAAATGTTTTCCAGAAACTAAAAAACCTTGCTACTCACTTCAAGCAAATACAAGCAAAATTACTTACAATTAAATAGCTTATAATGTATCTTAGATTTTCTTTTGGGTATACTGGTCCATATTAAGCTTAGACTATTAATGCGTTAATCTGAGAAGGAAGGAAAGCAAAATCAGTTTGTCTCTACTGAAAACACAGTTTGCTTTTAAGCAGACTAGCACGCTTTACTGTCATCTGGTTGGTTGGTTAGTTTTGGGGGGTTTTGGGTGTTTCGGTTTGGTTTTAAGACATAATGGTACTTTAATGGCCTATCTGCAAACATACGCATTTTTTCTTTAGTAAATGCACTGAGGAAATACTGACCCTTCAAAACAACTAAGAATACTTTACAGATACGCCTTTTCACTTCCATGCAATCAGGGAGGAAAAACATTGATTCTGAGAGTGGTAAGAAAGACTAGGAATTTAATAGCATTCTAGTACACAACTTAAATATGGGTTTGTTATTCTTCTAAACAGTGTATTACAGGAATAAATACAGAAAATGCAACTGTAATAGCACAGATTTAAGTATTAATTTCAAGAGGTGGTAAATCATGGTCTCTCACAATTTTATGTAAAAGCCACTGACTTGAGTCTCCTTAGATTCTAATCAGCTTTGGCTGAGTCCCTTAATGATATTAAAATCCATCTGTTATTAAACATCTTGTTTAATACAACAGTTTGCAAATGCTTTGATTCATAAGTATCATTATGAAAAAGTTTAGGTTCAGTTTGCAACATAAATGCTGTAGACATCAAGAATAGGTGTGGGATATCCATTTTTAATTGCACTGTTCACAAGTATTGACAGAAGAATACAATACATTAGTCACAAAATTAGAGGCTTCTATGAAACCTACGAAGAAGAGCAGCACAGAATCCATGGAGTAAGTAAAAGCAGTATTTCAAAAAACAAATCAGACTTGGCAGTTTTGGAAAACAGTACTGAAGAAAAGACAAACAAATCAGCACAGTTTAACAACCTTATTTCTAAGTGCACTTTATAATAACTCTCCTCACAAGCTGCTGTTTTCCCAGAAGATGATGACAAAAAGCCTCATTAGAAGATCATGGTTTTATAGTGACAGGTTTTATTGCATTGCCAGCTGTGAATCTACAAAAAAAAGACCCTGCCCCCCACCAAAAAAAAACACCCTCCTATAAAGATTCCTAAAACCCGTTTTCTTTTATCATCAAAAAATAGCAACAGAGCACTTCCATATCTTTGTGAATACCCACAATTCTATTTAAAAAAAAGTTAAAGAAAAGTGATTTTTGTCTTAGCTTCAAAAATAATATAAAGAAACATCTCAAAACAAGATATCTCAATGATCAGATATGTTCAATGTGATAGACTTAAGTCCAATCCTGCAAATACATGTTCATGAATGCAGACTTAAGAACCTATTGATCCTGAGTAAAATCAAAGATTGGCAGGATCAGGCTCTTAGCTTCACGCATTATAAGCTTTTCCACAGTATGTCCTAGGCTAAAAAGTATAGATACAGTATATACTCTGTATACTGATTTATACAAATGGTCTCTTACAGCTCTATCCCTGTTATTGCTTGGCTAAAAGTGAACATTTGGAACAAATTACATGAATCATAAAGGATAAAACTGAGATGCAGCTTCTGACGACTGAATTTCTACTTGAGCCATTTTAAATTGGGTACACTGTAGCCACTTGCGGAGCACAGATGAGCTATTGTTCATTTGTCCTGACCCCTGTAACATCCTTAGGCTGTGATGGTTGACATTGCTCTGGATGGCTTGGAGCCGAAGCTGGAGTCCAGCAGATAAATGCTGTTAAAATAATGCAAAACATTCAGTTTCTTTCCTTTACTGCATGAATACAGCAGCCTGAAAGGTACCGGTTGATGGCCAGAGAAAGTTCCTCCACTGCTCCAGTGTCACATTTCTTTCTTCAACATCCTGCACTGCAGCATTGCCATGAAAGGCAAATGTACTTACAGAAACAATTCCATACTGAGACCAATCCCAATGCTTTTATTCTCATCACCAAAATCCTCTTGACTGGCAAACCACACTCATCCACCTTGCTCACTCTTACAAATAGGGCCAGCTGGCAAAGTTTTACCCAAGCAAACAGGTCCAAAATATCTATCTGCTGTAGAAGCCAAATCCACCTCCTAAGTCAAGAGTCCCAATCCTGACTTGACAGGGGACTCTCAAGCCTAATACAGCAAGAAAACCAAAGCTCAGGGAACAACCAATCTCAATGAACAGGGAGGAAAGGCCCTGCCACAGAACTAGGGTAAGAAAAAGTGTTTCAGAAAGGAAAGCAGTACTGATCTCAGGATAAGTATCTTAGCTGATGATGTTCTGTATATGCTCACATTTCAGACTTTCATCTGGATACACTAATATGATCTGTTTTCAGAGAGTCAGGAGAATCTGGATCTTATTTCCACAAATTAGAAAAACGTGTAATACTAAGAATAAAAAGATAAGTACTAGAAACAACTTACCTTTAGATTTGACTGGATCATTGGCAGCCACATTGGTATGAGCTATAAGAAGAGAGGTAGTTTATTATACAAGCGACTGTAAATATACCCCAGTTACTGTGAGACAGGAAGGGTATATCTAACACATTTAGCTGTCCAAATGGACAAAGCCTGAACCACAAACCTCGAAATGTGGTTATTTTAAAATGTTACCCCCTGATGGGGCAGATGAGTCTGAGGTAAAGAAGCCAGCTTCCCTTGTGTGTATCTTGATGAATCACCTGTAGCAATTACTGATATCTTTTTTAAAGCAATAATGAGGGTTACAACATAAAAACTTATTAAAGAAATAACTTCTTATTTTCCTTGTGAGGGTGTTTCTGTATGTGCAGGTAACAATACTGGAATAAATACAGTGAACATTTTGCATGTTAAGGTATACATCAAGAACTGAAAAAACATCCAGTAGAAGCTGCTAAAAATAGAAATAGCCCAGATACTTAAATGGTAACCAGCATTTATAAGCCACTAATCACATCAGTGCTTCACTGCAGGCCTGTAGGCCTGGGAGAACAGGTGAAAACTATCTAGAATGACAAGGTGAGGAGGTTTGTGAATCTGTCACCTATGATTGGATTGATACGTATTTCAGTCCTTCAGAGAACCTTTATTTCTGAGTAAGTACAACATGACAAGCTCAGGCCTCACAGATAAGTATTCATGTTCTCCAGTACTAATTTAACCACTGAGATTATTGTTCTAAAATGTTCCTCCAAATGGCATTAAAATTTGCAATTTGCCAATTATGCTACCAGGAGCTGCAAGTTAAACCTAATCACTATTGACAACATTAGATAAAGCGCTGTTCCCCTTGCCCAAGGAATGATAGTTATTTCAATTTCAGTGCTCTTTTGCTGGAGAAGCATATGCAGCCCTGTCAGGACTGATTACTTAGTCTACCACATGAAGAACCATATTCAAACCTCAGCATTTACAGATAGATGAATGCTAAAACAGCTGGAATGCAGCCAGATGCAGCAGATGTGCAAGTTCTTGTATATCCTTCCGTAAGCTCTCACACTAAGTGCTTAATAAGACCAGTGACCACAAGTCCTCATGTTTTTTTTTGGAGGAGGGAACAGGTAAGCATACTGAGAAGCCATGTTCCAAGCACCATTGTTATCAACAAAACATCACTGAAAATTTCATCCGGAAATAATGAAGCTCCTTTGGAGCTAGGCAGTGATGACAGGACTGACATCAGAAGTACGTTAAGCAAGGAAGGAAGCTCGGCAGAAAATTCAGGGTACCCCTCTGCACCTGAATCAATTCAGTGGACATCTTTTACAGTCAGCTGAGAGAATTAAGCACTTCTCACAGCCAGTTCATCTTGTCCCATAGCAGGTACCTAAAATAGATCAAGATGAATCATGTCCAAAAATACCTGTTTCTTTCCACTGATTATAAAGGGCACGCATGGAAACTAGGTCATATTGATATTTATGTTGCAGAGGTCTAAGGTCAGATAACAGATCATTGTCCTCCAGCACCACTTCTGTCTTCCAGGGTGTGGACACAGGGAAATGAAACCTTCTGCTGCAGGAACAAGCAAGCAAACCCTCCACTCTGACATCTGCCAGTTATAAATGAGACAAGAAATTTTTATTGAAGCATTTGAGTTTTATTACCTAATCTCCAGATAGCCTTTTCTTCACAAAGGAAGAATACATAAAGCTAGTTAGAAAGAAGAGCTGGAAGAACAGAGTGCCATCACACACTGTCAACAGTTTATATTGTCAACAGAATTATGTTGATTCCAGTGGAAGTTTTGATGGAAACCAGGTGGAGAACAGGTTGAGCACAGCGTTCTTCTGGCTTCCCAACTCTGCTGCCTGCCCAGTTCCCTAGAGATCTACCCTGCAGCTGCTGGAGCTGCCTAATCCCTTGCTTCTCTGGAAAAAACACTGTGGTTGCTGAGCTGCTTCTAGGCTTCCAAATTCCCCAGACATACATCTGATGGTCAGATGGAGAGCTGTAATCACCAAGGCGCTGGTCTCCATCATCAATGGCTGTCCCGGGATGGCTAGTTTCCCAGTTCCTTTGATATAGAAATGCCCAAGGAAAACTGAACACTTTCATTTCAGCCCTCTTAAAGCAGAATGCTTTCCCTCAGAGGAAGATACAATGAATCAAATATATATGTGGGTTTGTGTGCATCTGTGAATGCATATGCAACTTACTCCAAATTAGAAAAAAAAAACCAAAACATAACAGTTGAAATAAATTTTGTTTTCATCACCAAACTGGTAAAGATAGTCTAACACAAGATACAAAACATATCCTCTGAGAAAACAGACTATAGGAAGCAATCAAGACATGTTTCAATGCTATCAGCATGAGTTTAATATAATAGCAAAGGCAAACACAATAACAGGAGGAGGAAAACTCACAGCACCAACACAAGGAGGAGATGAAGGAGTACTCAGGCATAAAGAAAGCTCTTCTTTCAGTGAAGGACAGCTGAATTGTTTACATCTCTTGTTTTAGGACCTATTTTCCCCACAGCTGTCATACAGAAAATGGCCATCTGATATAGCTATCCCATAGTCCACTTAGCATCATGTCACATGCAGCACCTTCACATTGTGGTCCATTAAAAATATGTGTGTCCTCAGACATCCTACTTCATCAACAAATGAAGTTTTTACAACACCTGATTCCTTAGGTGGAATAAAAGGCACTACAGTAAGTACAATGTCAAATGATCAGGCTTTATCAAGGCTACTGTGCTCAGTTCCAAGAGGGAGTCATTGGGAATAATTCTGCCAAATGAATTTCTGATAGAGTATTGAGAACGTTCTGCTAAAAAAAAAATCTCTCTCACTACACTGTCAATGAAAACTAAACTTTGTTTGAAAGGCTTATATCTAAAATAAAATTTAGAAAAAAAAGTTAATGCACAAGATAAAATTGTTTCATTATGAAGCGCAGGGCAATAAGAGATTGTCTAGAACAGAACAAGCTACCCCAAAAACTGCCCAGTCAACTAAATATTCAAAGAATTGTCATCCTTGCAGACTTCTGAATCGGGAGTAAGAAAGTCCAGATCATCTTCACAGCTACTGAAGAAGATAGTCTCAAACTTGATCTTTTTTGAATCACAGAAATGCCACCCACTTCCTGGTTCTTTCTGCCTCTTTGAAGGACTTTAAACATACAGCAAGTCTTTCCCCAAACCAAGACACTTTTCAGGTCTACAGTTAGTTTTGAAAAAAAAAAATCATAACCTGGGACTAGAAATCCTACAATGCTATCATGTAAGTATATTGTTCTTGCAGGATTTCACATTAAGGCTAAGTAAAGGAGATTTTGCTACTCAGATTCTTCTCTTCCATGTCCCAGACACTGCACATGAAAGAAAGCTTAACACCTTAATTTTGAATTTCACAGGTTTATGAGCTTGATTTTGTACTAACAACTATGTTCTTTGATTTAGCATATTATTGATATATACTAACAAATATAACTCCCTGAAAGTATTCATTTGAATTGTGACAGGAATATGGCACTAAAGGCCTCTCTTTTCACAGCTTTAAAAACATTCTCTATCCTTGTCAAATTCTGGGCATTCTGGACTGGCTGAAAGAGAAGCCTGTCTTCCAGGGACAGGCATCACTTTAATATCCCTTAGTGCCCAAGTTTCTGTAGTGAATCAAGTCATTACTGACTCTAAATCTGTATTTTCACAATGAGCGTGAATACTTTCATGCTAGTTGACACCAAGACCTTCAGTTTTAGCTACTTTATTTTCAATTCCTGCTTGAGCATAAAAGACTGGAGTAAAACAACACTCAGAATTTTCCTTCATAACAGCAGCGCAAATAAAACCCAACATATTCCTGTTAGATTCACAGTGTGTTTAACTACTTGATTTGTTGATATTTTATGTGAAAACTCCCTTCAGAATAATGCAATGGGAAAACATGTAAAAAAGTCATTGATTGGTCTTTTCACTAGAGAGTTTATTTTTTGTATGCTCTACCAGGTTTTATTTCTGCAACAGCATTTGACCTCAGCTTCCTCCACTTTCTTTTTTTTCTTTTGAGTGTGAGGGGAAGCAAAGGACAATATGCCTGGAAATCACAATAGACAGGCAACATCATTAACTAAATACTTATGGTGTGGTATGCCTACCTTTACAAAGATAGTAGAGTTGCATTCCTGTAAAGCCTCCATTAAACTGATCACATGCAGGCACACCATTTCCACCATCTGGGAGGGGAGAGGGAAAATCAAGCATAAAACCAAATTAGCGTCCAGCATAATAGTGTTGCAAGCTAAGCCAACAGTGTCTAAAAAGAATCTTCCTGTATTTGCTTAGCACTTATACTGAATCACTAGATGCGCATTTCTTAGCCACTGGCATATAAAGTTAAATATTACATGAGTACAAAAGGGACATTTTTCTTTACTTATTTTCTCCTTGATGCAACACCTATCTGTTAAAAATTTCAAAGTGCTTGAGGTATCTCAATTCAGATCACACATCAAAACAAGTTGCCTTCAGCTTTGTTCTTTTCAGACATTATAAGTCCTTTGAAATGTCTGTGTAGTTCTCATCAATCAGTGTCAGAAATTGATATTTTTATTTGCTGAATCTTTGAAAATTAACATATCCACAAAACCCATCTTTTTCCCCCCATCAAAAGACAATTTATTGTTCTGAACTGGCAGCAAATCCATAATTCTTCCATTTTGTACCATGAATTATGACAGATGCAAATATCAGTTATTTGGTAGTAGACAGCATTTTATGTTTTATACTGTGTTAATTCATAGGTGCAATGAATTCTTGGCCAGCAGTGAGTATTTACAGTGTCTGTCTGAACTATGTCTAAATTCCCCTTGATAATAATAAACTTAGCTTTTATGTAGTGCATTTCATCTTCAAAGCGCTTTACAAACACCAGCTAATTAACCTGACAATGCCCATGTGAGACAGGCAAGTATTATTATCTACATTACACAGAGTAATAGCTGCGGCAGAGAGTTTAATAACTTGCACTAAAGCCACATAATGAGATACTTTCAGAAAAAAAAGACTGGAACTTTGGACTTCCAGGTCATATTCTTGTCCTAAGGCTTGACAAGAAGCCTTTGTGTCTAACTAAACTACTGGTTAGTTAGAAACATGCATATTTCCTGTTCATTCAAATGGAGCTTCCATGAACTACTGTTCCCAACAGTGGTTTGTCAATCACAGAGACATCACTAGATGTCAGAGGCTAAAATACCATTTAAATACAACTTAGGTGGTCCTTGCCTGATAAGGACAAGACACAAGGGAACAGTAACCGGTTCAAAGACTTCCAAGTACAGCATGCAATTAGAATTCAAAGGGCAAAGGTCCCTACCTGCCTGGGGTGAGAGATGTTTCACATGGGGAAAGGGGAATTACAGAAAATAAGTTCCATGTAGGTAGCAAGTCTCCATTTGAAAAAGTAAAACAAAGAATGAAAATCCCAAACCTTAACAGCACTCAGAGGATTGGGCCACATAAAGAATCTTTCTCCCTCAAACTAGTATCAGGTTCTCCAGAGTCAGAGCTACTAATTACCATCTCAGTTAAACAGTTTTGACAAGTCATGACAGAAGTGCGATGGCTTTCTGGAAACTGGGAATCACAATATGTGTTGCCTATCAGAAACAAGCTCTCAACTTGGGAATCATTTGTCAATGGAAAGCAAAGGTAGCACCTATAAGAAGGGTGCTGGAACTCCTCTGGGTTCTTATGTTACTATGCTGCTCCAACAATAGTGAGTAGTTGAGATAACGTGTAAGCATTTGTTTATTTCCAGAAAATGGTCTGGACAATTTCTGAACAGAGTAAACACTTCCCTTTCAAACCTTCCCTCTAGAAATACCTCCTTCAAGTCATTCATTACCCAAAAATCTTTCCAGAGATATAGATTATTTTTCATGAGTAACCAATGGGTTATGAATAGTCAAGTGTCAGCATTTGCATATTTTTTCACCATTACATGGTTACAAAAATATTTAAATGGATGTTCACAGAATTATCCTACACCACTTAGTTGCTCCTGTTAGGCAGAGTCAGATGAAAGAATAGGACCACTGTGAAGGGTAGGAAGATATATAAAATGAGACCTTATGCAGGGAGCCTTTAATACAACAAGCAAAGACCCTAGCTTTTGATTCTGTTTCAGGCACATTCTGGCTAGTTCCTGTTTCAGAACATGGCAAGGTTAACCACTATTAATTAGCTTTCCTTGTAATTTCTCAAAAGCATCGAAGTTACTTTATGATGTTATTCATAGTCTGATGTATTCCACTGAAACACTTCCAAGCCATCTGAGTTTAATCTATACTAAATCTGTACACAGCGCCTAACTCACCACTTTGTTATGTGCCATTAGCTGTAGGATGCTAGGTGTCACTCGGCTCCAGAACTCCAGGGCTGTAAGGATTGCTGTAAAGCTAAATTCGTTCTGATTCTGGACTGTTGGCGCTACTGCTGTCTGTTCACAATACACTGTCCAGAGCTGAGCAAATATAAATGCATGGAAGAGGGAACACATGTGCAGAACAGATGTCTGTAGAAATAGAAAATAGAGGAAAACGTTTATTTAAATAAGCGTATTGAGATACAGTGCAGAGGCTTCCATCAAAGCACTGTGCAGCCTTGCCTCTCACTTTCCCACATATTTCCTTCTCGTTAGGAATGGGTAAGTCAAATGCACTTGATAATATCTTCTCTATGTTTAAAAACTGTTTTTATATTTCCAGACTAAAAACTGCATTTGCAAACACACACCCCCAGGCAATCTTAGTGTATGGCATTAAGGTCAGCTGCTTTAAAGGGAAGGTTAGTTTTGCAAAACAGCTACTCAAGACTAGTTCTGAGATTTTATCGATGAAAAACTCCACCACAGCCTGCGGAAAGCCTGGAGGCTCTGGCATGTATGACTCCCTGTCAAAAATATCGCTGGGGCAAGTCATTCAGATCACCTGAAAGAAAGGACATTATACACAAAACATCATCTTACATATCTTCTGTTAATCTGCCACCCATTTCTACCTTGCTGGGACAGAACTGTTCACAGTCAAGGGAAGCAAGTCTTTTGTGTACTCAAGCATGGCTCTTTGCTAACAAGTATTATATATGACAGTGTCTGAGCTTCCAGGAGTGCTGGATGTTAACTAATTCATTACAAGAAAGATGTTCCTGGTCCGAGATGTTTTCTCAGTTTACAAGTGAAACAGTGATTCATGCTCTGTGGCAGTATGACTGCACCAAACATTGCAAGGGTCGCTTGGTAACTGGGAAGAGGTATTTGAAGGAAGGCCAAATAAATGAATGGGAAGCACCAGTGTCTTGGCTGGGTGGGGGGAAAGAAAGGGGGATTTTATGTACACGATAAATGAGTGATCATTCTGCTTCTGTTGCTAATAAAAACCTGGTTATTGTCAAAGAGTGCTGCTGTATCTGTGTTAAACTACTGTCACAGATGGCTTATAATGTGCAGTAACTCTTGAACCATCACTGCTTGTAATTAACTTTTGATTATAACATTATTTATAGGTTATCCAATTCTACTATACAACTAGAATAAATTCTGAGAGATTTCATCCAGAGATGTCCATTGCTAAAGCTTCAATTTGGAATTCATTTTTTTCTTCCTTATTCCTGAGATATTTTGAAATTGTTGAATCTCAAATTTAATTGTAGTTAATTTTATCAACAGTTTTCTATGCATAAAGAGGCAGCTATGCAAGAAAAAACAGAGATTTCTTTCCCTAAATCCCAGGTTTTAATGAGGTTTTACCCCTTCTTTTTCCTTACAAAGACATAAATGTTTGCAAAAATAAGGCCAATATATAACACATCTCTGCTTAAAACACAGAATCCCTTACCTTTGATTGCTCTGGAAACCCAATCAGAATGACAATAAGGTGGTCAGCAATTTGTGAACCCGCATCCAGTGGAATAGGCATGCAAGATGATGGAGAATTTGGACAGACAACATTGTGTGTCAGAGACCCCAGAAGTAACCAGGACAGCAAACGAATGTGTGATACACATTCTATGAACTCTTTGGGCCTGTCAAGAAAGAGTGGATTTTACAACGATGCTAAGGTTTCTGGTTTTCCACAAAATATGGAGAATCCTTGTGCACACTAGGCAGTCTCAGTGTGCTGGAGGCACAGATCATTGGTACAGCTTATGGGGAGACTAGAATCACACAGACCTTAGGGCACTTGACATACCACTAGCAAGTCCAACAGAACATATTTGGGGGGTCTAAAACACAGTCTCTATGCAAGCCTAAAACATTCAGATTCACTGGTTCACTACACAGTGATTTTTAAGACAAAAATCATCAGATGGGAAGTGTTTTGAAGTGGAATGCTCCTCTCTGCTTCCCTGGACAGCACATGGCTGAAGCATAAGGGCAGAGAATTCATTCCACAGGAAGCTCCAAGGCAGGCACCATACCTTACTTCCACTGTGTTCCACTTCTTCATCAGCAGAGTTAATTTCTCTTTTTCTTAACCTCTCCTTGGAGAGTCAGACTGCATCTTTTTGAGGGCAGGGGCTATGTTCTTTTGTGACACTTATGTATTCATTCACTATCTAGTATAATCTCAAATTGTAAAGCAATGCAGTTATATAATCTAAAAAGGAGTAACACTTCTCTAGTGTCATCTTGACTGTCCCCTTGCTACTACCAAGTTCAGATTGCACACTCTTTTGAATTCATAAGCAGAGGAAAAAAAAAAAGGGTTTCAGTCAATAAGTCATTACTTCCTAGGCAACTCTCACTACTGTTTTTAATTTCTAATTTGATGTCATTGTCAAGGACTCATAGAAGCAAAGAGGCATACAATTAATTTATTTTTTTTTTAATAGACTCTGACACGATGCTTTTCCTCAAGTACCTTTAGGGTCTTAAAGAAATTCACTACCTTCAACTCAGAAAACATAGTTGGTTTTTTTGCATGTAAGAAACTAAAGCACAAGGAGGTAACAATTCCGTATTTCCAAAGCCAGGTATGTTCTACATGAAAGTACGTGTAGATGTATTTTGGTCTTGATAAACTTAAAAGTCTTTTCCAACCTAGTTGATTCTATGTATCTACAGCCTAAGCAACTTAGTCCCCAGAATCCTGGTCTGGGCAGGTAGTCTGGAACAAAACCTGAACAAGAATACAGGCTTGTTGAAACACAGTCCCAATGGTCTACACTCAGAACATCTACTTTGTTGTCATTGCAAGACAAGGAAAAGTATCTCCCCCTTTTTTTTTTTTGAAGATAAAACACTGCAAATTGGGGCTTCTCATAGTGAAAAGGGACAAAAAAAACTTGTCTTGAAGAACTGGATTTCTCTCATCTAACTTCAACAAGATGAAGTTAGTAATTTTATCATCATACCAATAGGCTGACACAGTTCCCTCTCATCTGTACTCCATAATTTCAAAGGACTTTTCCCATTGTATTCTCGATAATTCCCAACATATTTTCTATAATTCTAGGACTGATCTAGCACCTGTGTGCTTTTCACTGTCTTTAACTAGATCGAGAATCAAGTTAATTTCCAGGGTAACTTCAGTCAAGCCAATGAAGTTACCATCACCGTTCCTTTAGCATCTACTTTAAGTAGTGCATTGATGGATCAAGGAGCTGCTGAACAGCTGTTACAACATTCCACAGCCACCATTCCCTACTGCAGGACGTATCTATGGAATCTGGCAATAAATGCAGAATTTTGTGATGTTTTCTAACTAATTTAGTATTCCTTTTTTGTGGAAAAACCATTCTCACCCTTGTTGCATTGCAGAAGGAGGATGGTAAAGCCAAGGCAAATATCGGATCACAGCTTTGTTGTCTCTGTGGTTTCCCCGGGTGATTTCCATAGCAGCAATCTGAGCTAAACCAACTTTCAGATGTCCACCAAATGTGTCTTCATGCAGTGGCTGTGAACAAGTCTTCATGTGGCTCTGCAAGACAAAGATCTGATTTCCTACCCAAAAAGACTATTTCACTTGAACTAAGTTCTTCCAGGTAACAAGGTGTTCTATTCCATTTCCCTTCAATTACTTTCTCAGGGTCTCTGAGTCTACAAAACTACAGAATAAAGGTCAGAAATAGATTTTTTAAAAAATTCTCCAGTCCCTACATAGTGGCAGCAGCTTTATGATGCAAATCTTTCCACAGAGGAACATATTTTCAAGAGCCCACACAAAATATGAATTGTGCAAAATGTATAGGCATTTTCCACATCAGCAAACTCAACAGCTGACAAATGTAAACTAAAGGTTTCATATCCAGACAGCTTAAGATAAAAGGATCTAACCAGATTTAGCTAGATAGCATCTGGGCAGGAAATGCCTTCCCTGTGCAATATTCCATTTACATGTACAGAAATTAGAAAATTCACCAGCAGTATGACTTTGTTGCATTATTCAGCTACAAATGCCTTTAAGCCCTGGAAATGAAAAGGTTAAACCTTTTACCAAGAAACATGCAGATATTTATGCCTGGAAAGATACTTTATTTTCCTGCTTTGTCAGTTCTAAAGAATGTGTCATTAGTGCTTCTTGTGATACTTGTATATTTCTAATCAAGCTAATTTTACATTACCTTCTTTTACTAGACTAACAGAACACATACTGAGTGTATTTGCTTGGTTAAAGGAGAGCCATATGGTTTGCACAAGAAAATCCAGGTCATCAGCTATTAAATTACAATGTGATAGAAAACAGTGGACCAATAATATCTTATAACCGGTAAGTATCTGACCCCAGAAACTTAAAACTCTGAAAAATCACCTACTTGAAGTTTCTTTTAAGAGAAAAGGTTATGTACCAGCTTGAATATCTAATTGACTTTCTCATAGAGCCAGGTAAAAAGGATAGACAGGTATGTAGGCAGATACATTATACATCTTCCAAAATTGGAGAATTTTCTAAGTAAAACCTTTCTGAGCTTTACCAATTAAAATGCTATCCCAAAGGGAAAAGAAATAATAAACTGAACAGAAACAATAAACTGGAATGTGATTATCTTGCAAATTAACATTTATACCTTTTTTATAATGCAGTTGCTAATACGCAGGGCTGAAAATACTTAACCTCTTTCAAAGAAGCTATTTTCAGACATGAAAATAAGACACTGGAAATGAAAAAACAACTTAAACTATTTCTGTTCACTGCATTTCTACAGAGAAGGCATTTCAAAATTTGAAAACCAAGGATAACTTTCACTGTTGGGATTGTAATTGGTCATATAAATCATACAGTAGTCTTTGTGTTGATTTAGTAGGCCAGATGCTGTTGATAATACACACTTGTAATAAGAAACTGTACAACTGGATAATCTTAAGACTCACTTCCTAGGACACCTCAGTTAAAAAAACCCAAGCAACATGAGTAAATATATTAAACGAACTTAAAGGATTTGAATTTAGATGTTGCAAATTTGCTTAAAGTTCAGACTATTTGTAAACTGAGAAACACTTGCAAACACTTTAAACTGTGTTAGAACCATAGAATACGTTTATCTGGTCTGATTAAACAAGAACTGCCTTTTAATTTTCCCAAGGCAGCCAAAGCTTTTTCTTTACAATGCATAAAATTAGGGTTATATTTGACTCTCTTATTACATTAATCTTACATGTTCTCAGATTCCTCAGTATTACATGGTTAAATCAAAACAGTATAACATGCTAAACCACGTGGTTCTGACTTAATTTTAAATGGCCAGACTACACATTTGGGAAGCTTCTTGTCTAATTTCAAACATAAAAGTGAAGAACTGGATAAAATTTTAGCTCATGTCCCACCTCTATCTGCGTATAAAAATTTTAAAAAATAGTCCTACTGAGCATAACGAATTACCACCCTATCAGACTTAAGCATTTTAAGAGCATTTCTAAAGATCAAACTACACTTCAAGGGAGAAGAGGCAGAATAAAAAAGTGGAAATGGCAGAGAACTCTACATAGACGCATTTTACACAGAACAGCGCATACCTGCAAGTATTTATCAATAAATTTTCCCCATTCCTGGTTTCAGATAAGTTCATGTGTTATTGTGGAACTGGCAAACCACATGTATCTCCCTCATTTATGGTTCATTTGCCTACCTATTCCAAAAGCAGTTCTGAGCTGTAAGAGAAATGGGTGAATAACTTTAAAGGATAGAGTGGGAAGGCAATCCAATTCAGCTGAAAATGATTAATTAAGTTTGTGCTTTGAAGTCAATTTCTACTCTGGTACAACAGGCTGCTTCCCTTATTAAAGTATTTTTTTAAACTCATTGGGATTCAAGGCATATGGCCAACAGGGAAAGAACAGAAGGTATATTTTGTCCAGTAAAACAAGGTCACTGTGAGTTTCAAAAGACATGAGTTTCAGTTTAGTTGGGATTCTTCTTCCTTTGTGGTATTATTAACTTTCAACAAGGTGTCCCTTCCTGGGGCTGAGGTAGGGTGGAGGGAACAGAGGAACAGTGCACAAGAGAGTGTGTGAGAAAATAGTAGGGTAAAAGTTCTTTCATTGCTTCGTAAGTGAACTCCAGTACCAAAATCCATTACAGGTTATCATTTTTTCTGTCTTGACTGCCACAGAATGCTTGCATGAACTTGTGGCATGAAACACCCCAGTGCATTTCCAGTAACTTTCAGCAGAGGACTGGTGCAGCAGCAGAGAAGCCCTTTCAAGGAAACACTATACTGACTTATCAGCAAAACAGACCAGCAACACCCTTTATTAGCAGATGTACTCTGTTACAGAAGCACAGCAGTTCTTGATGTTAGAAACAAACACAAGACCTTATTCAAAGACCTTCCCTAGAAGTTCACGTGTACCAAAGCCCAGGCATGTAAGCAATGGCAATGTGATTCACACTGGTCAGAATAGGACAGCTGTCTCTCTGTATCCAGCAACTGAGCTTTAGAGCACATAAAAGCAGCTTAGAGGCTATATGACTATGTCCAGTGACAAAATGACCTCTTCCAGTTGACAAACTTCCCCTCAAATCATCGAACTGCTGGTGCACAAGAACTAAAACTCTACTGCTAGACTGTAGAATTGTCTGCATCCTTGAAACCAAAGACTCTCCTCTGTAACAGTCCCTCTGCTGCACTCCCACACCATTCACCTGTCTTGCCAGCTTTGCAGAAGTTATGAGGCATCAAGGGCAGTCACACCACTTCCTCCGTTTTATGTACTGAAGGAAATTCACCCTTGCGCAGGGTACCAGTATCTAGCTAAAAAGACTACACTCTAACTTTGCCTGACATTGAGAAGTGACAGATGGCTGTGCTATAAGACAGGTGTCTTGCCTCTACAAAACCAAGGATTTTAACCAAAGTTTCACCTCCAGCTCTCTGCTCACTTCGTATTCAGCTTCAGACGGTACAACAGAACTATCTCATGGGTAGGTGTTATGCTACATAGAATAAATATTGCCTCTCCACAGCATTATGACTACTGGCATATTAGCTGAAACATTACGTTCTTCATTTAAGCTATTAACAGTAGATGCTACTTTGCTAGCAATTGAAACAGCAACACTTTTATTATTTCCTATTATCCAACAGCAATATCACTTAGTCTATAGTTCTTTTCTGAAACACATTAAAGAATTTCCATTTTGTAGGAAATTTAATAGATACAGACTTCCCCTATGAAACAGAAATTCCAGGTTTTGACCAGCTAGGAATGTTTTCATGAAATTCATTCCTAAATAAATTATATTATATTGACAGAATTTATTGTCCTATCTCACCTCTTACAATTTGGCATCGAAATAATGTACAGAAACCAAAAAGCAGTTCGGACCACAGAGGTAAGAACTACTCAGTTTCCCCAACATCGACAGACTATAACCTGACAATGAAAACAACAGTGTCCATAAGAAAAAGGACACCATCCCCACCAGCTTTTTTTTTTTTTTTTTTAATTATGGTGAATTACTGCATTTTGATAATTTCTGAATTTTCAATTCACTGAAGTATCTGCTTGTGTATATAAGAGGCACGCAAATTCCCCCAGAGGAGTGTAATTAGTTGTACAGGCAAAGGGGTTTATGTTTCCATGGGTTATATTCAACACGACTACTTCTTACAGTGATTTCAGTATGACATTAGCATACCCTTAACATTTCAGAAAAACCAAGCATGCATTTTTACTGTATGTTCACGACGTTTGAATCAGCCTGCATTTCAACACTGCATAAGGTACTTTTTACTGATCCCCCAGAAGTGTCTAATCTGTAACAATACTAACTTTTTTTTTTTGAAAGAAAAAAACCTGTCAGTCATTCTCAAAGACTTCCTACATTTCTCCCAGGCAGATTCATTTCAGAAAGCATATTTTTTATAAAAAGCACATATACTTTAGATTAATGTATGCACAGAACCAACCTTTAATTTGGTTAAGGTATGCATATCTGCAATGAAATCCAGCACTTCCCCAATATATTGCCTCATGCATTCCATTGCCGCTGTTCCACACTAGAACATAAAAGAAATAAGTTTAAGTAGCAGGTTTTGAATATGTTCATGTCTTTGTCTTAATTTCTTGTTCATCAGAACACAGTTTATATGTATCAAGTTCTTTATTTCACTTTTTACTTAGATTACTTCAGCTGGGAATATGTATTCTTTGATGTTTTCCTTCTCGCTGTAATATGCCCTTCTTATCTGATGATAATATAAAAAGAGCCCAGTCACTGCATCTTCTTCAGGCATCATAAAATATTCTGTGATGGCAAAATAAGTGACTGATGAAACTCTCACCAGTTGACAAGTCATCCCAGAAAACAAAATTCAGTCATAGGCATAGATGCCCTTATGTTCACATTAATTCTGATGTAAAAAGAGATTAAATGACTGGCTTCATGCATTTTATGTGTAAAGCATCAATTAACTAAACATCAATGAAATTCAAGTGTTACTTTTTTTTTTTTCCTGGGATATTTCTGAAGCAAAATCTTTCAAAATACAGCATTCTAAAAGCATTTAAGCTAGTTACAATTTTCAAAATGGAAAACAAGGACTATAAGGGATAAAGTAATTCCTTCATGAACTGCTCCAGTTTGATCAGAAAGGTGTAAGCATTGAGAACCAACCTGTGCCAGAGCAAGAACAGCCTCAATGGGAAAATAAAAAGAAATCTGGTACTTCCTGTATTCCCACAGCACTAGTTTTCATAATCTTTTTCCTAGCAGGAAATACAAATCTGGCCTTCAGCTAGTATGGTGTGCAAAGCAGTCAACAGAACAAAGCTGTCAGATTAAATAAAGGCTTCAAACAGACCAGAGAAGCTTTCAGAAGGTGACATGACTGACGCACTAGGTATCATATAAACTTCTGTTGATATATTGATGACCTGAAGATAATGCTAGATAAATTCAAGGAGAACTATAAATGCCTCATTCTGAGGGGCCAAGTAAAAGCAATGCTTAACTTCTGAGGCTAAATACTAAAATTATCTAATTAGGTATCTTTCTGAAGTCACCAAAAGCTACTCTACCTGAAGTTACAGGTTCAGGGGAAAATACTGCAGTAAAGTTTACAGGGGAAAACCACTCTTCTTTGACCTCTATTTAATTACCTGCACTTTGAAGCACAGAGACTGATTACCCTATCTGACTATACAAAAGAACCAGATTTAGTTTTGATCACAAAATTATTAAGCCATAATTGAGCTTTAGTAGCTGAAATCTGAGAAACTGCTAGCATTCTATTTTGAAGCAACTGACCTGGGCACTTCTCATTATGTATGTTAATATCAATCTACATGGTGCTGAACTATGCCACCTCCTGGCTTTTCAAATCCTATACCTGTCAGTTTCCTTGACAGAATAACAAACAGTAAAAGAAGGTCATTGGCAGCATATCCTCCATCCACTTTATGTGGGCTAAGGGACCTAAAATACTGAATAACAATTATAAAAGATACTATACTCAAACCTCTGAAAATAATGCTCAGTTGCAAAAGAATTTTCACCAACCAAGATTTCCCCCCATCTATTCTGTTTCACTCAAGCAGTAGGCAGCCTGATTCTCTTTTTCTTCCAAAATCACAGAATCACAGAATAGTTAGGGTTGGAAAGGACCTTAAGATCACCTAGTTCAAACCCCCCTGCCATGGGCAGGGGCACCTCACACTAAACCATGTCACCCAAGGCTTCGTCCAACCTCGCCTTGAACACTGCCAGGGATGGAGCATTCACAACCTCCCTGGGCAACCTATTCCAGTGCCTCACCACCCTAACAGGAAAGAATTTCCTTCTTATATCCAATCTAAACTTCCTCTGTTTATGTTTTAACCCATTACCCCTTGTCCTGTCACTACAGTCTCTAATGAAGAGTCCTTCCCCAGCATCCCTATAGGCCCCCTTCAGATACTGGAAGGCTCCACGTGGCCTTCTTTTCTCCAGGCTGAACAGCCCCAACTTCCTCAGCCTGTCTTCACACGGGAGGTGCTCCAGTCCCCTGATCATCCTCGTGGCCCTCCTCTGGACTTGTTCCAACAGTTCCATGTCCTTTTTATGTTGAGGACACCAGAACTGCACACAACACTCCAGGTGAGTTCTCATGAGAGCAGAGTAGAGGGGCAGGATCACCTCCTTCGACCTGCTGGTCATGCTCCTTTTGATGCAGCCCAGGATACGGTTGGCTTTCTGGGCTGCAAGCACACACTGCAGCCGGCTCATGTTCATTTTCTCATCAAGCAGCACCCCCAAGTCCTTCTCTGCAGGGCTCCTCTGAATCTCTTCTCTGCCCAACCTGTAGCTGTGCCTGCGATTGCTCCCACCCAGGTGTAGGACCTTGCACTTGGCGTGGTTAAACCTCATGAGGTTGGCATCAGCCCCCCTCACAAGCGTGTCAAGGTCCCTCTGGATGACATTCCTTCCCTCCAGGTATCAACCAAACCACACAGCTTGGTGTCATCGGCAAACTTGCTGAGGGTGCACTCAATCCCACTGTCCATGTCAGCCATGAAGATGTTAAACAAGACCGGTCCCAACACCAATCCCTGAGGGACACCACTCGTTACTGGTCTGCAGCTGGACATTGAGCCATTTTAGCTCCTTTTAATGATCTATTTTATATGGATCTCTCGCATAGCAGTATTTCAATCACCTGGTTATTTTTATCACAGTTGAAAATGTCACAGTTCATCTGTTTATACAGCTGGATGACTACACAATTTGTGGCTGAATCAAGCACAGTGTTCTCTCAGATCTGAGGTATCTATGAGCAAATGTAATTTCCAATGTTCTTCTAATCAAAGATACAACTACACAAAAATAGTATTAATTCCAGTTCAAAAACCAGATCTCACATAAAAGTGTTTCCAAAGAATAACAATCATTCATAACTGTACAAAAGCCGACCTACAAATATACTGCGTAATGCGGTTGCTGTAACTATGAAAACACTTCTGAAAACTGAGAAAAATTGCTAGATTCAGTTATCAGTCAGAGAAACTACAAATCTCTTTATGGAAATTGAATCAAGAGTTCCTGGACATCTGCTCGCCATAGCAAAAAAAATTCCAACAGTATAAACCCCTAAATGATTAAAGTATGACCCACCTTGGCATTCATGATTTTCCAGCAGCTAAATACAAAATAGCTTCTGGCCAAATTAGAAGCCTCTGCATTTAGCAGAATCTGCAGGGAGCTATTTTTCAAAGAAAGTATTTCTATGCCAGAATGGAAAAAAAATGCCAAAGGAAACTAGACTTAAGACGCACTAGAAAAATTATGTAAGAGGCACTAGAAAAATTATTATATTAGAAGTACCTGGAATAAGTATTGCATCCTTGAAAGTAAGCCACAGAACATTGTATTTTTCTAAGACCAAATTAAAACCCCTCCATTGTCCTGCTGCTCACTTACCGCCCATGTTTTAGTCAGCCTGAAGATTGGAGCACTCTGTAGGCCTGACACAACTGCCATAAGAGCATGCAGATTATTCAGCTCATACAGTTTCTTCGCAGTTTTAATATACATACCTTCTAACACCAAGGTTAGTCCATCTATTTAAAGCAAGTATAAATCAAAATATTCTCTCAGGAAAAAAGGTATTATTAAAATTTGCACTAAGAAAATCACACACTTCAGAAGATATATGGGAAAGATCCTATTAGGTCACTCCTAAAGCTAACAGACATACATATAGGGAAATGAGTGTTCCTCAACTCGTGAAGCAGATCCGGGCTAACCCTCATCCATCTGTTTGGGTACTCAGTCATGTGTGTCATGGAACAAGACCTCCTATTGTGTTACTTCCTAACACATTCATCAGGTGCATATTCTGTGCCTATGTAATTATGAGTACTGGTAATTTAGCTACACTCATCAGCAGGATACAGATGAATGCCTTATACATTACCAGAAAAATATCACTGAACACCCTTCTTTAACCAGATAGTCTTTTGTGAGATTGAAGGCAATAGCTTGCGGCTTTCCTCCCTCCTACCATTTTTTGAGGCTTCAGCTGGTCTGTTCCCTACATAGAACCACAGATCTCAGTTGCTATCTTGAGCACAGACACTTGGCACTCCATCTAAGTCAGTTACATGGATAAAGATTATCAGTGAAAGTAAAGGAGGCAAAATGAAGTTCAGAACTTTTCCAACATTAACAAAAAGGAAGAAGCACCTTAACCTCTGCCTGCAATACAACTTGCCAAGCAGAAAAGAAATTAAAAGGAACGAACATTAAAATGAAGCAAACAGAGCTGAATAAGATATATTGTTTAAAAAAAAGAACCAAGAGGTGGAGTTTGATTTAGTACTTACTCCAGGCATAGAAGCAATCATCTGTTTATGCAAGATTGTCGACTCAGCTAGCTTTGTTCCGGCATCTGCACAAACAAACTAAGAAGAAATTAAAGATAAGTTATTTTTGAATTATTTTTGGAAGAAACTGAAGACACTAATAAGTTATTAATTACCTTATTAAAATCAGATCTCTTCTTGCTTTTATTCATGGTAATTTGCCTTTGGAGCTCTCTTTCTTTATAAACAACCTAGTTAACTCATCATTATAAATGAACTTATTTTAATGAAAAAAAAATCTGACTTTAATGTGCTTACTTAACACATACAGGCTGTGCAGAAGCAATCTGAAGGATATTATGTAATAAATCAGACTTTCTTTATGAGCAGAAATATGTATCTTTGCTATTCCTTGCATATATCAAATGTTCTTCATAGAGTAAACCATGACAGAGGATGATGAAGGCAGCATGCCATGTCCTTCACTGTGATATTACAACATTTTCACTGAAGTTCTATACAAACAATTTCAAAGTATTGGTATTTGAAATACTTGTATTGTGTAGTATAACTTCTGCATAATACAGGTCACAATACTACAGAAATACAAGCTTTTCCTGACAGAAGGTCCGCATCATTCTTTCCTAGTAAAATATGTTTATTTGTTTTTCTTATTTTCCTTGCCTTTTTCTTCTTTCCTTATTTTCAGATCCCTTGACCTAAAATCTCTGATGTCCACATCATGCATATGTTAGACCTACTAATACTGTTACTAAATCATTATAAGTGTCAACAGTGCATCGGACATGCTGCAGATGATTTGCTTGTTCCTGAAACTTGTTGTCCTAATACTCTTATCTTTACTTGGGCAATTTCTGCCCATAGTGATGCAATGTAACTTTCTGAGAAAGAGCAGACAAGAAAGAACTGTAAAACTAAGGTCTAAGTCTTCATTAATAAATGAAAATTAATACAATGGTACCTTCACTGAGACAGATACTGACTACGCAGTTTGTTTTACAGTTGTGTAATGCATGTGTGTTAGCAGTCCTCTCACTGACTGACTAGTGCTCTTGAAAATATTTCCAAATATCCTTTAGAGATCTAAAATTTACCTTCAAACTTCCACAAGCTTTACTGTTCAATGACAGATTCAATCTCAGACTGCCTACCAAGACTTGAGAACTACTCAACCTATGCCTTGATGAAGTGTCTGCTCTTTGAGATAAATATCAGAAAGACAAACATGAGTTTAGATTAATAATCTAATTTGGTATCCTCAAATATAGGCCTGGCTCCAATTGACTCTTCTTCTGGTTAGAATTTATTTTACACCAGAATAAGCCGAATGGAAACAAAACAGGAATCTAACCCATTTCAGTTGAGAGATGGCCTGGTTCTCTTTTCTACTGCAGCTCTAATTACATGGGAAGTAGAAGAAAGCCATAGAGTTATGTGCTCTATCAATCCAGTGGACAGCTGAGTCTTAATTCAAAAACCAACCATGACTCTCTACTTCTTTAAAAAGAAGGACCCTCAATGGACTTAAGTAAATAGATGACACATTTTTCTCCTAATGCACTCTAGCTCAGAAGGAACACTTATGATACTGGGTCTACTGGACAACAGACGTTGTCTTCCTGTGTGACAGATCTCTCAGTCAAACATTTTTGTGTCAGTTACAGTTCTCTTGTACTACATCAGCTGCAAAAAAGGACTATAATTTTCTGAAGAATCTGGCCAAGTATATTCAGTATCCGCAAGCGAGTTCAGTGCACTGCTACAGACATTGTACAGCACTCGCTATGTAAGTCAACAAAAAACCCTTGCCAAAGAGAAATGTCATTTATTTCAGACAACACTTTCTTTGAAGGCAGTAATATGAAGCAGCAGCAAAGCAATTTTTACTGGTCTCCTATATGCTTTCTACATCTTTTTCACAAGGGAGTTTGGGTTAAATAACAGATATTAATTTATATGTGAAAAACAGCTGACAAACCCTATTCCATTTCTAACTAACAATTACGCCTTGTTTAGCTTATCTTTCTCATCATCGAACTGCCAGTTCCAAGTATCCTTCCTAAAGTTGCGATGCAGTCAAAAGAGAATGGGGAAACCAAACTCAAAATGAAAAATTTCCTACATTTCCAGTCTAATTCACTGTCATTCATGTTGTCTCCCTCTGCAAATACTGCAGTACATGAAGATGTCACTGGCAAGAGATTTATTCTAGCCATGCGTAAAAAACAAAAGGAAAAATACCTAAACCATACACTAAACCATGCCACACAAGGCTCTGTCCAACCTCACCTTGAACACCGCCAGGGATGGAGCATTCACAACCTCCCTGGGCAACCTATTCCAGTGCCTCACCACCCTAACAGGAAAGAATTTCCTTCTTATATCCAATCTAAACTTCCCCTGTTTAAGTTTTAACCCATTACCCCTGGTCCTGTCACTACAGTCTCTAATGAAGAGGCCCTCCCCAGCATCCCTATAAGCCCCGCTTCAGATACTGGAAGGCTGCTATGAGGTCTCCACGCAGCCTTCTCTTCCCCAGGCTGAACAGCTCCAACTTCCTCAGCCTGTCTTCATACGGGAGGTGCTCCAGTCCCCTGATCATCCTCGTGGCCCTCCTCTGGACTTGTTCCAACAGTTCCATGTCCTTTTCATGTTGAGGACACTAGAAATGCACACAATACTCCAGGTGAGTTCTTATGAGAGCAGAGTAGAGGGGCAGGATCACCTCCTTCGACCTGCTGGTCATGCTCCTTTTGATGCAGCCCAGGATACGGTTGGCTTTCTGGGCTGCAAGCACACACTGCAGCCGGCTCATGTTCATTTTCTCATTAACCAACACCCCCAAGTCCTTCTCTACAGGGCTGCTCTGAATCTCTTCTCTGCCCAACCTGTAGCTGTGCCTGGGATTGCTCCAACCCAGGTGTAGGACCTTGCACTTGTCATGGTTAAACCTCATGAGGTTGGCATCAGCCCACCTCACAAGCGTGTCAAGGTCTCTCTGGATGGCATTCCTTCCCTCCAGGGTATCAACCAAACCACACAGCTTGGCGTCATCGGCAAACCTGCTGAGGGTGCACTCAATCCCACTGTCCATGTCAGCCATGAAGATGTTAAACAAGACCGGTCCCAACACCGATCCCTGAGGGACACCACTCGTTACTGGTCTCCAGCCGGACATTGAGCCATTGACCACAAGTCTTTGCATGCAGCCATCCAGCCAGTTCTTCATCCACCGAGTGGTCCATCCATCAAATTGATGTCACTCCAATTTAGAGACATGGATGTCATGTGGGACAGTGTCGAATGCTTTGCACAAGTCCAGGTAGATGAAATCAACTGCTCTACCCCTGTCCATCAGTTCTGTAGCCCCATCATAGAAGGCCACCAAATTGGTCACGCAGGATTTCCCCTCAGTGAAGCCATGCTGTCTGTCACCAACCACCTTTTTGTTTTTCATGTGCCTTAGCATGCCTTCCAGGAGAATCTGCTCCAAGATTTTGCCAGGCACAGAGGGGAGACTGACTGGTCTGTAATTCCCCGGGTCATCCATTTTCCCCTTCTTGAAAGTGGGGGTTATATTTCCCTTTCTCCAGTCATCGGGAACTTCATCTGACTGCCACGTTTTCTCAAATATGATGGCCAGCGGCTTCGCAACTTCATTTGCCAGCTCCTTCAGGACCCGCGGATGGATCTCATCAGGACCCATGGACTTGTGTGCATTCAGGTTTTTAAGATGGTCTCGAACCAGCTCCTCTCCTACAGTGGGCGCAAGGTCTTCATTCTCACAGTCCCTGCATCTGCCTTCCAAGACTTGGGTGGTTTGGTCAGAGCCTTTGGCAGTGAAGACCGAAGCAAAGAAGTCATTGAGAACCTCAGGCTTCTCCAAATCCAGGGTAGCCAGTTCTCCCGAGAGCTTCCTGAGGGGGCCTACATTCTCCCTAGTCTGTTTTTTGTTTGCTATGTACTTGTAGAATCCCTTCCTGTTATCTTTAATACCTCTAGCTAAGTTTAATTCTAACTGAGCCTTAGCTTTCCTAACCTGGTCCCTAGCTTCCCGGAGAACATCCCTGTACTCTTCCCATGCCACCTGTCCTTGCTTCCACTTATTATAAGCCTCTTTTTTCATTTGAATTTTCCTCAGGAGCTCCTTATCCATCCAAGGAGGTCTCCTGGCCCTCCTGCTGCACTTCCTTCTGGTTGGGATGCAACACTCCTGAGCTTGCAGCAGGTGATCCTTGAATATCAACCAACAGTCTTGGGCCCCTCTGCCCTCTAGGGCTATATCACATGGAACCTTCCGAAGCAGGTTCCTGAAGAGGCCAAAGTTTCCTCTGTTGAAGTCCAGGGCAGTGAGCTTGCTGCACACTCTTCTCACTGTCCTGAGGATCTCAAATTCAACCATCTCATGATCACTGCATCCAAGGCTGCCCTGGAGAGTCATATTTCCAACGAGCCCTTCCCTGTTGGTGAGCACGAGGTCAAGCATGGCACCTCTCCTTGTCGGCTCCTCTATTACTTGCAGAAGGAAGTTGTCTTCTACACAATTGAGGAACCTCCTGGATTGCTTGTGCCGGGCCGTACGATCCTTCCAACAGATGTCAGGGTGGTTGAAGTCACCCATGAGAACAAGGGCTTGCGAGCGTGAGGCTTTTCCTATCTGTCTATAGAGTGCTTCATCCGCCGGTTCTCCTTGATCAGGCGGTCTGTAACAGATGCCCATAGGAATGTCTCCCATAGCTATATTCCCTTTAACCCTGACCCACAAACTCTCTGTGGACTGCTCACCTGTCCCCAGACAGAGTTCCATACTCTCCAGCCTATCCCTAACATAAAGGGCAACTCCCCCTCCCCACCTGCCAGACCTGTCTTTTCTAAAGAGCCTGTAACCTTCCATTCCAACACTCCAGTCATAGGAGCCATCACACCATGGTTCTGTGATGCCTATTATATCATACCCCCATAGACGTGCACACATCTCTAACTCCTCTTGTTTGTTCCCCATGCTATGGGCATTTGTATAGAGGCATCTGAGCTGAGCTCCACCTGAAGCCAGTTCATTGGCTGGAGTGGCTGGGATATCTCTACATTGCTCCAGGCATTTATTATAGGTGCTGGCAACTGACTGGGTGTGTTGGAATGGAATGATGCTCCCCTCCCCCAACACATCTAGTTTAAAGCCTCCTTGACCAGTCTGGAAAGCCTCCTACCAAAACTGCTCTTTCCCTTCTTGAGCAGCAGCTCCACCAGCCCCCACTAGACCTGGCCTACAAGCTTGGGTCCCATGTTCAAGACACCCAAATCCCTGACTATGACACCACCCTTTTAACCATTTATTAACCTGGCTAATCCTCCTAGCTTTTTTTAGGTCCTCCCCTGTACCCTGGAGAATTGATGAAAAGACCACCTGAGCACCAGAGATCCTAACCACCTCCCCCAGGGCTCTGTAGTCCTTCTTTATGTTCCCCAGGCTACTACTATCTATATCCCTAGCACCCACATGTATCACCAGGAGTGGGTAATAATCCGTGGGACTTACTAGAGCAGGCAGCCTCTCTACCACATCCCTGATCCGTGCCCCAAATAACATCTAAATGGGAATGTCTGCTAACTAGTGAATCATCTAGATACCATAATCTGTAATTACACCTCCATTCATAAACAGAGTTTTTAAAACATCACCTTATAAAATCTTATCCTAACAAATATGTTATTTTAATTCCTCCTATTCAGTAATTTATGAATCTGATCTTCACAGAAACATAAAGTGGAACCACTAGATATATCACTGCTTTACATTGGCTGAAGGTCCAGCCCAGAATAGGAGTCACCTAAACAAAACAGATGAGATACACTGAACCTTAGAGCCTGAAGGAATAAGCAAATCCTAATGAGACACTCATATAATCTGAAGTCAATGGAAATCCTGAAGATGTGTGCTGGTGAAAAATGAGTGGGAGAAAAGTACTGGGAAACAAAATGTTGGGTGAAGAAGCAGTTCCTATGGAAACCCATGGAACAGTAGCATGCATATCATGACTTTCATTTGCCAGGACAAATCAAGGAGACAGACTTTCTGTGCCCTTTATCATCCAAATCACCTATGCAATGATTGGGGTGATCTATTTAAAATTCCCATTCTTCATAAAGTGGTTAAAATTTGCTCTCATCTTAGCACTGATGTCAACAGTGACACTGATCGCAGCACATAACCTGGATGAACGTGGGTGTCAAATAAATGTGCATTCCTAGGAACTCCTTTGTTAATCAGCCCACGACTAATCTATCATTAAAGTGCTCCTACCTCCTTTGTTATCCTGAACATTTTTACTGTATCTCTGGTCTCTGTGTGCTGTCTATATAGAATCTTGTTCGCAGGCTAACATGTCCAGGGGGATGTGATTGTCTTGCAAGTCAAAACCACTTTTCTTTGGTGCTATGTTAACTCTGCTATAGCTTTATGGATTCCTGTTAAATTAACAGGCAGTGTACACACACTGTCTTTGATGCATACCTCTAAGAGTTGCTTTGCAGACCTGTAAGAGGAACTGTCACTTTTAAACTTCAAGGCAACCTGAAAAGTGAAGACTTGCTTCTGAAATGGTTCACTGTGGGTGCAGAGGCAGAACATAGTGGGGTGAACAGGATGAAGGCTTTGTATGGAAGATAGGTTCAATGGAAGGACAGGCACCACCTTTAACTTTCCAGTCTTCCTTTGCTTGCTCCATCACTAGTGTCCCCTGACATGCTGTTGCTCTGTATTGATGAGGTGTGTAAAATGCAATAGGGCAGCTATGTGCACAAGAAGTAATAACATAATTCTCTTTTCTTAAGGAGAAAAATTAATAAGAAAGAACTTGGGGACTATTTTTCAAACACAAAAATGATGCTGAAAAACTGTTGGCTGAAAGGGAGAGACAAAACAAGGCCAGGTTGGGTAGAGCTTTGAGCAGCCTGGTCTAATGGAAGGTGTCTCTGCCCATGGCAGGGGGGTTGGAACTAGATGATCTTTAAGGTCCCTTCCAACCCAAAATATTCTGCAATTCCGTGATTCAAAACCATACAATTTGATTAACATTGTAGCAGCTTTGTGTGGTAGAGGTAAACCATTCCCTTCATTCTATTCATGATACCAGAAAAAAATAAAATAATCAGATACATACATACTTGGTTTTTACTACTAGGTTTCTTATATTACAACAGTGCTTAAAATGGGCTTAGTGGTTACTATGGTATTTAAATTCAAGAGGCTGTTGAATGATTCAGACCACATACTACTGAGGGCTGCCAATTCGCACAGTCAATGGGAGATGTACTCATCATGCCTCCAGCAGGTATCCATGGCAGATGGTCTGACTACGACCCCTATTCTTTACCACTGACTGTGTAAAACCAGAAGCTGGCTGCTTTGGATAGCAGGAAATATGAATCACTTCATCAGCCTCTGAAAAGAGACATCATAAAAGGCATTCAATCCACATTAGATACTGTTGTGTAAGGTACAAATATATCCCAAAGTGAATATAGCATATGGGAACAGTGCTAGGAGGAAAACCCAGGCAATTATCGTTTCATCTTTATCCTATGAAGATAATGTAAGAAAGAGTTTTGCTTACTGTGTCTATCAGGCAATTGACTCAATGTGAAGGACAAGTGTTTACCACTTAAATCCCACTGCCAAAACTGACATGGTGTGCTTGTACTCTCAAATGAGGAATTCGGGATTGATTAGACTATGGGGTTGTCACCCTTTAGGGTAGCCATAGGACTGAGAAATACAGTGGAGCAATGCAGAAAAATTGCTTTATTCTGTAATACAGGAGTCAGTTCAAGTCAGCTAACACTGATGCACATAGTATCAAGCTGCATCACTGCACCAGTAAGATAGAAAGAGGTTGGAGGTTGGTGGTTAAGTTATTTGACGGTCTTGGATGGGACTGAAAAAAGAAGTCTGGGCTTTAAAAGGAAAAAAAAACCAAAACAGGCAAATTTCTGCTTTTTAGATTAAAATGGATTTAACAAAATAACAATTTACCGCCAGAAGAATATAACCCAAGTGTTATTCTTCCCTGTCCCCACTTCTTCCCCTAGTACTGATGGCATAATAAATATTTTCAGAGTTATCCTAACTGCTATATTTCACTTGTCAGTATTATTTCTCTGTCAAGAGGCAACCACTCACTTACTATGAGTAAAGCATGAGTACTTAAAAGAAAACGAGCCCATAGGAAGCTATATGAAGCTTTGACCCCTTAATGGGAGGGGAAAGAGTAAATGAAGCTGTGGTGCTGGGAGCATTATGAATGTTCTACATAACTAACATATTCCTTGAACTTTATGGAGCTCTTTTATGCTGGTCCCCCATCATATAAAGTTACTAAACACATATAATGGTTAGCTCATTATAAACAATGAGAGCAGACTACCTATGAACAAAATTGACGGACTTCAGTAAATTGTTTTTATGGAACAGGCTTGTGGTGCCAAACAGTGCCACTCTTGGCATTTTGGAGGCAGAAAGGTTTTTCACAGGTGTGTATCTTACTTCCTTAGATTCTCCTATGAAAAAGCTAGCTTAACGCCTACCTTCATTCCACAGAATCAAAGGAATAGAAATATTGTCTACGTATCCTTCAATGGAAAAATCCATTCTAAAAGAGAATGGCCTTCAGGGACTGAAGACAGCTTATTGCCTGCCTGAACAGACAGAAATTGAGTTTTGTCCCATGATCAACAGGCACCCATTACCACACAGACTGCTTACTTGTTCTGGGGTAATGATATGAAGACAAGGAAGCAGCTGCCTCACTGGGATAGCTGCTGCCTTATGTGAAGCTAAATGGACTTAATAATCCTTATGGGTCCCAACTCAAGATACATTCTATGATCCTCAAAACATCAGCAATCATGCACAGACAGGTCAGTATTGCCCTGGGAAATGTAGATTCCAAATTTACTTATTGTCCTGGTTTTAGCTAGGATTAAGTTAATTTTCTTCCCAGTAGCTGGTACAGAGCTGTGTTTTGGCTTTGGTCTGAGAACTAGTCTAAGAATAATGCTGACAACACACTGATGTTTTAGTTGTTGCTAAGTAGCACCCTCATCAAGGACTTTTCAGTCTCTCATTGGCTGCAGTAAGAAGGGGCACAAGAAGCCAAGAGGGAGCACAGCCAGGGTAGCTGACCTGGACGAGGCAAATGGATGTTCCATATCACAGAGCATCATACTCGGTATATAAACTGGGGGGAGTTAGCCAGAAGGACTGTGGGGAGAGGGCAGAGTTTATTCCTTCCTCCTTTTCTGTCTTTATTCCTATTATTATTATAATTATTGTTGCTGCATTCTTATATCTTACTTTTATTTCAATTATTAAATTGTTCTTAACCCATGGGTTTTTACGTTTTTTCCCAACTTTCCTCCCCATTCCACTGGGGAGTGGAGGGGAGCGAGCAAGCAACTATGTAGTACTTAGTTGCTGGCTGGGCTTAAACCAGGACAATTCTTAAATTCTAGTGTTTCCATGTCTAAATGTATGCACCTATGGTTAAAAATGTAACTGGATTTTGATTCAAAACATCCTTGCTTCCCTGACATTGCTGGTATTTCCTGCAACCATGTTGGACTTGCTCCTCAACACCCACCCCACTGCCCCTTCCCCCTGTATTTGGGCCGAGACAGGATCACTATGAGAATTACATGTGAATCTTCTGTACCTGCACCAACAGCAGCAGATTCATGTCTGGTAATGGTGACTTTAACTTGAGTGCCTGCAATAGCTCCAGTATGACACTGCGTGTCAAGTAGAATTTATCCCTTTCCTACAAGAGAAAAACACAGAATTATGAATGTCCTGAAATTCACTGACACCCAACAGTAAACTATAATGATAGTTTTTATCTAAGTTTGAGAACAAAAAAGTTACAAAAGTGTACTGGTTTCTCCTACCTTACAAAAAAGCACACATCATTCATCATTTATGTAATTCTACAGACTTGACTGAACAGACATCAATCAGGGTGATTTTCCTTTGATGTACCAGGCACTATATCCAAGATTTTAATATTTCACATGTGAAAAATAGATACATTTTTATAAAGCGGTTATAAAGCCTAGGCATGCAGCATAGCTTTCACTACGTAAAAAGCAAAAGAGGAAAGCAGTAAGGATTGACACAGGAGAACAAAACTGGCAGTAGTATTTAGCATTACTCTTTCATGAAACCTGCCAGAAATGGTTTATATTTTACTGTACTTTTTTTCTGTTGTCATTCCCCTTAAAATAAGAGTGCATGCACTAAGGCAGCTTGGCCATCTATTTTCATTTATTAGACTAGTAGCACTTTGCCACTTACACAAAAAAAATCCCTCTTGGCTACAGCTGCTACAATAGAAACATTTTAAAACAGGGGAAAAATCATTCAGTGGAGATTAGAACTTATATGGACACTTATGTGTCCACTGACCTCTTGGACCCATGTCAACTTTTAGCACCCACAGTACTTGGCAAGAAGTCACACACTGTTGAAGAACCACTTCCCTTCATTTGTTTTGACACTGGTTCCTACAAACTTGATACATCCTTGTTCTTGTATTGGAAAGGTATGAAGTTATCCCTCCCTCTCTGAGTCACTTGTGACCTTACAGACCCCTCACACTCTTATAAGTGTTTGTTTTTTTTCAGATTGAAGAGCCCTGAATTGGTTGCTCTGTATATGGAACTTATCCCACTGTTTGATCATTCTTGTTACCATTATCTGAACTTTCTCCAATTCTACTATATTCAGATTGGGAATGGGGAACCAGAATGGTGCACAATACTCAGGGTGCAAACAGAACTGGTTACTTGCTAGAATTCATCAGCAAGAGCGATCCTTACCACCATCAGACACCTTCACCGTCCTCAGACATGTACATAATGCAGTGCCATGCTCAAACATCTGACTATTACGTCCCCCAAACAATGCACAGAAGTTCTATCAGTAACCCAGTGCAGTTACCTACACATACTGGAAAAAAAGAGAGGCAAAATACTTTCAAGAGCATGCAGCTGTTTTACAGACTAACACCTGTGCTACACCAGGTACGAAGAACAGCCTTCAGGAACCCCAGCTTTCCCTGGCTCTAAGAATAATATGACCTTGAACTAACTCTTTCTCAAAGAAGTCTCCTAGTCTAAACTCTTAAGTTTGTTAAGCACATGCAGTGCAGAGATATGAAGCAAATTCAAGCAAAATGTTTGACATCTGACCTCTTCCTTCCTGCATTGTGAATCAAGAGTGATGACACTGAAGTCAATAGCCCAGAGTACCCTTCCGACTGAAGTCTACTTATTCCTATCATTCTGCTGGAGATACGTATGTATAAACACAGTTTAAACACAAATATGTATAAACATACTTTAAGAACTTCATACTCTGCCACAGAGCTGTCCATAAGTATTACACCCAGGGGAGCCATGTGTGTAAACCTGGTATCAAAGAGTCAGGAATACAACCCCTTTAGCCTCTGTTCAGCCAAATTAATCCTCTCAAACGTCTATGCATTCCTAAGAAAAAATGCCTTGCAACTTTCAAACTGTGACTTGCCAGAGGACTATGTGTAGAATATGAAACTACTCAAGTTTTTTTTCTGGCAGTATCTCAGGGCCCAAACTCAGTAATACGAATAATAAATCTAGTTCTTTAATGGAGTGGTATGCTATGCTCCAAGGACGCCAGTGTAAAGCAAAATTCTTCATTTATCTCTGTTGCTACTACAGTAATTACAAATATCAAAGATCACCCGTTTCAAAAAATACAATAGCAAAATCATGTCATGTCCAATTCAGTGATGTTCTGCATTTACTTACTAAGAATAGCAGAATGCTAGCAAACGGCTAAGTTTAGGTTCAAGCTTCTACAGCTGCAAGAGATCAGAAAGCCAAATCTTGCCCATTTAGGAACCTAAGATGCTTGAAAAGAAAACTAAAGATAAGATTACAATCCACAGAAGAGATGCCTCAACTTCCACAGGCATTGAAAAATCAAACTGCTGACCTGGAACAGAAACTCAGACAGGGAATTATCAGATTGACTTGAGTCTTCTGGCTCCAAGACAAGAGAAACTGAGATATTCCTGCCACAGGGTATTAGGAGAATGTTGGATATAAAAAAAGATTTGTAACGGCTGTACAGCACTGACCTCTACAGAGTGCATGTCAGAGTAACTTGCCTTCAAAAACATAAGAAACCTCCACATCTTAGATGAAAGTTGTTCTTTTGTTCCAGCCAGAACATTCAAAGTTGCAAAACAAGTAATTAAATTTTAATAGTTTCAATGTTCATAAATGATGTTCCTTCTGGAATTCATTTTTAGGTGGTACTTTATCATAAACAACGCTCTTACTTGGCTACAGTGATTTCCACTGTAGAGAAACAGACATCACAACTGATTTGGGTTTTTTCTAACAGCAGTCATTCATTTAATCATTCTAATGTGAAACCATGGTTAGCTTTCAGAAATAAGATAACATAGTATGGAATCCAACTAAATTAGAGCATTTTGTGGCTGTAAATTGCAGGAGACCATTCACTTATGATTCCACTTCTGGGTCACCAGGTTGCACTAAACTAAATCAAGAAAGAAATTTTACCAAGCGCTATAACCCAAGCTTCCTGCATACAATTAAGTACTCAATATATCAATAGAACATTAAACCAGGAGGCATGCAAGAAACACATGGGGATTTTTGATACCATCATTTTAATAAAATTCTCATGAAATAACCAAAACTGCAGAGTATGAGAGGAGTGAAACACTTCCTGTATTTTACAATTTGCTTTAGCAGGCATATAGGAAACAGTCTTATCAGACCACAAATGCAAGAGGAATGTCTTTGCTTCAGTTCTTCAGTTTTAAATGGGGCTTTTTTGGTTTCAATGAAAAAAAAAAAAAAAAAAGAAAAAAACCAAAACAAACACTATTGGCCTTCAAGTTAACATTTTTCTCAGTTTACCTTGCCCAAACCCTTAACCATAGATCTGAGTCAAATTACTTCCAAAAGCCAGTCTCTTCTGTATTCATGACTTTTTTCTTTCATAAACTCTTCTCTTTCAAATGAGACAAAAAAAGCTAGTTTTCTTAATGTAATTAAACAAACTGTTAGTTTCTATATAATGCTTCAAACCATCACAACTAGTAGAAGTTTTTCTTACTTTCTTGTGAGAGTGTCACTGCTTTTAGAATTTCTTCTTTATGGTTTGTCCGGTGATATTTTAAGCCTTATTAAGACTGAAGCAACACATGCTCAGTTGCACATTATCAATACAGAAATTCTTGTAGCTATTTTTGAGAGAATGATTCCTGAGGATTAATTGCTGTTTTGACAAACATATCAAAGATGGAAAACTGTGCAGTTAGTAGCTGAAGCAACGTTATTGCTTAGTACCTCAACAATGCACATAATGGAGTATATAGAGCCTTACTAAAAGATTTGATTAGTTTTTATGGATTTGGTTGTTGCTTCTCACTGATAGATGCAAAACTAAACTTGAATAATAGCTATTATTATTTGTAAAACATACAAATAGCTTTCATCCAGGAATCCTAAATACTTTTTTAAAGGTGCACACATACTGTTCTATTTTCTACACATCTTAGAGCCATGCATGCCAAAGTTAGATACTTAATACAGAATGTAATAGGATCTAAGCTGAGAAGTTTCCAACTTTGAGTCTCCCATTTTACTTAGCTATGTTTTGCCTCCCCTCACAGCTGTGCTCTCAAATGGCACTACCAGGAATATTTGAGTTAAGTTTTACTGCACAAGGTATGTGGCTAAACTTGTGGACTAGGAATGATATAACTGTAAAGACATGTTAAGTCATGCATGAATACCAGTTATCATCTCTATAAGAGAAAAAAATCTCCAAGTTATGAAATCACACCAAGATGTTTTTCTGAGCAATGTTTTAAACAGGTTCCCTTTACCTGTGTCTATACTGAGTGTGAAACTCAGTATTGTTAAAAGGCACTGAATCATGATCACTACTTGATTAGCTAAACTACAATAAAACTGTTGATATGTCTGAAACTTGATACTGATTTAATCTTCACAAAACTGTTGATATGTCTAAAACTTGATATTGATTTAATCTTCACTTACAAATATGCTACTTGAGGGAAGTAGGTATTTATCTATCCTATTTTCAGTTGTCCCTAAAGGAAGATAAAGAGTCTCACTGTTACCTTAGTGAAGGCCCGGTAGCACAGCCCACACAGTTCCACCAGGTAGGCCAGAGTGAAGACAGCATTCTGAATTACAAAGCTTAGTAATTTTGAAAAAGGCTCCAGAAGACTCTGCAATGACATGACTTAGAAAAATCAATAACTGGTTGCTCAGGAAAGAAAAAGCATTCCAACTCTGAAATGCCTGAATGGAACAGCATTATGTTTAGCTCAGAGGCTATCTTGCTGGGATTTACACTGTTTTGGTCAAATGACTGTTCTACCTAGCATTTGCCTTCATGCTTGTGTGAGAAATTAGAAGTAAAAAAGCAGAAAATACTTTCACCTCTGACAGAGTCTTATGAGATATAAGACATTCTGTAGTTTTTATGCATGAAAGCCTCGCTGACCTCAGTGGAATTGTACTGCAGAACTTCTAACGAACATCAAATCTTTAAGAAGATACACATTCACACCCACAGGAATGTTATGTGACCCGCACTTTACTGTATCCTAGATTCTAAAGCTCTAATCACTCTCCAAGGAGTATCAGACTGCACAATTTTATGCTTATATATAACATTTTCCTAGCTAGGGGATAAGAACACATCCATAGAACAACACAGGCTGGATACATCTGAGGCAACAGTTTTGTCTTCTTAGAACTTACCCTGGTGGCACTAGTGGTAGGTATCTTTACCAAGCAAATCATGATTCTTAAACTAGAATCTAAAGAACACTGTAAACATATTTAAAGGTAGGAAAGAAGGGAAAAAAAAAAAAGAAAAGAAAAAAAAAACCAGTTAGTACATTTTTAAGCACATCTCACTTTTAGTGGTAGCAACTATAAATAAGTTATCAGTGAAGCCTGAAAAAAATGATCCCTGATGATTTATCATGACTTCCTTTGACTAAACTGGTCTATTCCTGAACACAGTCATACTCCTTCATTGGTAAACTACCATGGAATGGGCCCTGAGGTGAGAAAATTGCACTAAGGGGCTATTGTAGAAAAGTTAACTTCACCCCCCTTATGACAAAAAATTCCAAGAAATCTATTTTCACTCTAATAGAAATGAATTTGCAAAAGAGACAGATTTTGGATCCCTCAGCTCATACTGAGCAACACTGCTTTGCACAGAAGAAATTACCCATCAGTTCATTTGCACAGACTAAAGTCAGAATAAGGGCATAAAAATCCCATGTTTACTGGAAAGACTCAGAAAAATTCTTACTGTGTTTACTGAAAAGACATCTGGAAATACATACACTAGGAGATAAGATCCCTCTGTATGTCCTCTGAGCACTCAGAAATCAGAGCACAAAGGTTCTAGATTTAGTTTTTGCAGCTACATTCTGATTAAAGCCAGAACTACAGCCCAGTCAGCCAAACAGGCTAGGCTCAATTCCCAGTAGTCTCAGTTCTCTCTGCCTGTCTTGACCATCATGTACTTTTAGCAACTTAATTAGGTGGTGCTGGTCTTCTTGAGACTTCTGGCTTAACAGTTAAAACCAGATGGATTTTTATTGCCGGAATGGCAATTCTCTCAAATGCAGTATTCTAATCTGACAAGCACAGGGTATGGAAATTATACAGAAAAAAGCCAACTAAGAGGTGAAAAGTACTCTTGTCAGAGTTGCTATTGTTACCCACAGAAAATATAATTAAAGTCATAGATCAAATATACAATATATCCAGTCCTTTGGAGACATCAGTTGAATCATAAGAAAATATTCACAACATCCTGCTCCAATTTCTCACCCACAGCTTTCCCACTCTTTTGGTACATCCTGACCAATGGTAGTATAGCTCATTTCAGATGTCCATACATCATACCTTAAGTGGCAAAACACAGGGGAGTTTAGTAAGGAAGGTCTGAAACTGATTACTAATTGTGGTCCAGAGGTTGCTGGGTGAATCCATTGGCAAGGCTTCCATGAAGGTAGCGATATTTTCTAAACAGCGTAGCATTGCACCCCCTGCTGGTAAATTCTTTTTGTTGTTTAAACCCTGGGAAGAAAACACTCTTTAAACAAGCGTACACATGCAGAAATGGTCCCTTAAGCAGTATTTGGAAATGCCAAGGTGAATTTGTCCAGACCAAATACTACATATCTCTTCTATAGTGCTAATGACAATATGTTGTGCAGGGATTTTGAACTGTGCATATGACAGTTAAGTCTAGTTTAGTTCCTAAAGTATTGACCAAGCAATTTTGAGCCAAAATGTTATAAGCAGGGTTCTTACTTATAACTTGCTTAGACTGGCATGGCAGTAAAAAAAGAGCAGAACTCCTAAAATATTCACCAGCTGACTGTCCATTTTCCTTTGGACAATTTTAAAAGAGATATGTTCATTAATGTTCAGTAGACCATGTATGCTTTTTTGGCTTATGTCAGGCCTGGAAAGACATAAGCAGTTTTAAAGTGATGTCAAAAATATCTGTATAGAGCAACTGCCATATTTTTGGAAGAGCAGGATACATAGAAGTGACTAGTGCTAGTGGGAGGATAAAAGTTACAGTAGAAACAAGCCAAGTGCACAGGATATAATCAGTGAAAGGCAGGAAACAAATCTTTGGTCTTCTTGGAGAAGCTGCCACCAGATACAGGGGAGAGGGAGAACTGAGATGTATGAACAGACATGTTCCTAAAAAAACACAAACCGCTGAGGGAAGGGATAGCCCACACTACCAGTGTGTGGTTTCATGTTTCATTTTCTCCAGCTCCAGGAGCTGAAGAAAATGAATTTTCTGAGAAAATGAAAACAAAACAAAAAAAATGAAACCAAAAAAAAAAAAAGAAAAAAAAAATCAAACAAACAATACCTACCATCAGTGACAGCAGAACCCAGAAGGAAAATGCTAAGGGCAGCCTAATCCTGCTTCCAGGGACAAAAATTCACATTGCTTTTGGTGATGCAAGTTTGAATTCTTACTGAATGTGGATAAGTGATTCAATATACCTGATAATGCTAATAAAACTATCACCATTAACAGAGCCAATTGCCAACATACCTCTAACAGCTGGCTCAGAGCAGCAATGGAACTCAGCTCACTGAAGTCCATAAGAGACATGGCCAAGGTCCGTAAAAAACTTCCATCTGAAATTCAGATTACATTTTTGCACTGGCTGTCCATACAGACAGAACTGAAATGGTCAGAAGTGCACTCAGGTACTGCACATTACCTTTAATATTGCTCTGGAAGAGCTGGGGGAAGATACCATTGGGAGCCAGCTGATGGAACACACAACGGAGGAACTGCTTGGCCACACCTGCAGCATTTCCAGGGATCATCATACTGAAATGAAGGGAAGGAAATGGAGGGGGAAAGAAATTGACTGCAGATGAAACACGTCTCAAAGCTGACTACAAGGAAAAAATAAAGATGATCCTATTCAATTATGGAAGCGTTCAGCTATGAGTGAGACAGTCAAAAGCAGAACTGTCCTGATCCCAACACACAGTTCAGCATGTTGATTTTATGACTTCAGCTCAACTATGTAGAGCTGCAAAAGCTATGTACGCATGCCTAAAGTATTTACATCTCAATAAATAGTTAGTTGCATTTTCTCTGATCTTCCAGACAGTTTTATTTGTGAGTCATCTGAGTTTGAAATATAAACCTGCTCTCATCCTGTGTATTTCAATGATGTAGGATAAGGTTCTTGGCTTTACCATAAAACACATGAAAACCAGGTAAACACATGCATTATATTTTTTGCCTCTTGCAGCTTCCTTCAAGAGATGATGTAATTCCTAATCACTTGTAAAATTAATGGTTTCATTTAAAAAGCTAAAGTATTATCTATTTACTCATAAACTGCAGATCTTAACAAGTTTTACAGCTTCTCAAAATGAATTTATCCTATTCAGCATCTCATTTACATAATGAGACATGACTACCAGGAGTTCTCCATGGCCAAGTATGATTCACTTGCTTGAATGCATGGAGATCATTTATCAAGACAAATACTGAACAAAGAACCAGCTAGAAAAACCTGCACTAAAATAGTGGAATCCAGAAGGCATCTTTAAATTTTGCCTGAATCTTTTTTCAAGTTCAACACATATGAATATGGGTTCCTGTTCATCATCAGAACACAAAAGATACTTGAAACAAGTGGAAAAGACAGGTTTTTTTCCTCTTACTCACAAACCTTTATAAAGTTTTAAGAAGTTAAATTTAGGCAATTTCAGTGCCAGAGAGGAGGATACTTTAGATTAATTGTTTCATTTTGGGCAAGGTATCTTTTACTACCATACCTTTCTGCTTGATTAGAAAAACTGGTACTTGATGCCAACCTGGAATAAAAAAACATAAAAAAGTGAAGCTCACATGTGAGGTTTTTTGGTATTTAATTTCTAAGTAAGCCAATAAAGTTGTTCGGGATTTTTTTTAATAATAAACAAGAACTTTAGAGAACATTCAAAATGTCATCAGAAAGGTCTTCTGAAGAGGTCTTCTAAATTCAGTCAAATCATATTTGCACAACATATACACTCTATTCAGTCTTGCAGTCTCACAGATATTTAACAGCTTTAAACACAAATCTACTTGCCTAGCTAGCAGGAAGATAATGAAGTAAAGCTATTGCCTTACATACACATCATGTATAATTACTAACCTGGAGGGATTTGGAGAAAAAAACACATTTGCTAGAAGCTGCCTACTGACTGAATTGTTTCTGATTAACACAGCAACACTTAATTACTTAGAGATTAAGCCAAAATTCTCTACTTGGCAGTCTGAAGTAAGGTTTCTAGTTCCAGATATTGGCACCTAAATAACTGGCCTAATTCCAGAAACACGAAGTACCTATGAGCTCTTACAAGGTCAGATGAGAAATACTGGTTTCTCAAAAATCAGGTCATTTATTTTAGTACCTAAATACAGACTTTAAAGCCAAATATGGGCATTCAGTGATGAAGATACTGAACACAGTCTTAAAGAAAAACCATGCATTTCAATATCCAGGACATGTAAAGGAACAGAATCAGGGCTTATATCAAAGCAACACAACTTTAATACTAAAAGTCATTAAAAGCAATCATAAAGGCATACACTGGTAGCATTTGTTACATACAAAAGACCATGCAATTCTTGCTTTCACCTGCAGCGCATCTGTATTTCAGCTGGTATCAGTTGATATGTCTAAATGGAAAGTCCATAGAGCTACACTAATTCAAATCTGCCGATGATCTGCCTTCAATGTTTATCTTTGATTCATGATCCTTTTAGGCTGGATTTAGCTGTTGCTCAATTCTCTGTCAGCCTGTCTGAAGTCAGTTTCTTCTGTAGTCACCACTGCAAAACCTGATAAGGGCCCTAAGGCAGCTCAGCTGAATGCATCCATATAAACCAAAATGCATGGTGATTTTCATTATGATGCATGACAAGCTGGGGTCACAGTGCAATAATCTCAGGGTGGATTGTGCAGGGGACTGAAAACTACATTATCCTCAGCTGTCCCAGCAAAAATTAGAAAAAAACATTAGAGTCCCTGACTCCACTGTTTTTAAGAGGAGTCCAAACTAAAATACAGCATAGACATTCTGGTATGCAAACCTAATTCTGGGTGAAAACAGGTCTGAAGCTGCCTTCAGAAAATACAAACCTTGATTCTGGAATAACTATAGCAATATATATACACTAAAGTACATGAAAATTTCTGCAGAATGCAATGAGACTAATCACTTATTTTCAAAAAATTAACTAAAGCATGCATAAAATATTTCTTCTAAAAGAAATCAAAGTCCTAAGCAATGTTTTTAATCCTTGTGAACACAATAATGCAAGTGGGGATTTTATGATAAACAAAACATTTGATTTCTAACCAGAAAAACTTCATGAGATAAGAACATTAAATACCTGGAACATCTGAAACTTGTTGAAATGTATAGCTTGTATGTATTTATCATTACTACTCTAAATATTTTGTTGCACAAAGGCCATGAACCCCCATCAGTACCTCCACCTTGCCGACCACAAAGCAGAACAGTAAATGGACAGTAGACAATAAATGGATGTGTTCAAATTTGTACATGTTAAGAACAGAAGTTAAGCTTTTCAAAGATCCTTACTAACTAAAGAATCTAAATGCCTAAATGGCTTTGAAGCTCTGAAACCTAAATCTCTTTGTAAATCAATGAAACAGGAACGAATGAGTCAAAAAACTATATTCAGGAACTAGAACATAAAGTTAAGTGCATGCCAGAGTCTTCTAAAACTGTCAAGCTGTCAGGAACTGGAATCAAGAACTTTTTCTGTTCTGAAAATAGATGCCTATCTGTACCTGCGGGTACCCAAATAACTTTTAAAAATCTTTCTATGTCTTGTTTAGGTATTCTTAAACACTCTTCATTTCCTAACCCCTTGTTTCCTCTTCTAAGCATGAAAGTAGTATTTCTTTTACTAAGAATAGAACTGCGAGTCTAATTCATTTTCACCTCTGCTGTCATATTGGTATTTAGACGTAATGATATGGCACTGCTGAATGAAAGACAATTACTTTAGTTACACAGATGAAGTTCCTGAATGCCTCTCTGTTTGTATATGCTATTTATTTTGCATACATTCAAAATAATTCCTTTGTGAGGAGCTTCTTGTTGGACTTAGAAGTAGGAAAACCACAGGACATTTACCAGGAATACCCCATGTTGCATGCCATCTGCTGCTGTAAAACAATCAGGTGTCTCACTCCAAAGACACAGTACTTCTTCCTCAAAGCACAGGAAAAGATAGCCCACTTGACCCTCATCCCTTGATAATTTATCTTCCAAATTATTTCCTCTCTGTAGCTGTAGCACTGTTGTACTTAAAAGAATCACGCAGAATGGACAGTATCTGTCTAGATTAGAAACTTTGCTTCCATCAGAGTTCATTAGCAGTGACAGCAGGGAACTGCAGCCTTGCAGCTAATGGAAGCTTGCATAATTGCAGCTAACCCTACCTGCTGTGTTTAAATGGAAGTGGGAGGTAGTGAAGAGGCAGAGCTGTGAAGAGCTGCACCCCTGCAAAAGATAGTCAAGAAATTTTACCTTCAGTCATTGAAAAGAACATGAAAAAGGAGAGCAGTATGTCATTTCTGCACTATTAGTGCTGTTCAGAAGTTTATTCGGAAATACCCAAAGCATCCATCCCACCTCATATACACAGAATCACACACATCATTAGGATTGGAAGGGACCTCTGGAGATCATCTGCCTTGCAGGCAGGAGGTTGTGCAAGTGGCCAAGGCAGTAGTGACAAGTTAATACAGTAGTAATGGTGCACTTCTATTATCCCATGCACGCTGAGGAAAGGTCACAAGAGAAAAAGAATAGACACTAAATGTTTAAGACCTTATCAGAGACTATCTTGTGCAGCACCTGGTTAGGAAGCCCTCATAAGGAGATGCAACTCTTTACTTAGTCTTAATTAGCATACAAAATATGGTTGAAAAGTCTGAAAAGCTTTGGGTATGCTAATGAATGATCATGCCCAGGAGTCAACAGTCCTCCAGGAACAACAGAACTCAGAAAAGCTGGCCACATTTCTGCATAACTTTTAAAGCAGGAACTACATAAAAGAGAAAAATTCTGTCAAAGCAGCAAAAAGGGGTAGCTGAGAGAATTCAGTCTTTACAAGAAGCACAGAGACTGTTTAAGAACACTACACTGGAAGCACAGGGCCAAGGTACCCCACTTGTAAGAAAAGACTTTAAGAGAGCAGAAGAAAGGAAAGGTGAGGGAGATTATTAGGAAAAAGGAAGACTTCTTCCAAGAAACTTAAGTCACGTCTCAAATGAAAGCTGAAAAGAGCATGAATTCTGAGAGATCCAATGTAAAAACCACAAGGCGGCAAGCCAAAAAATGGTTCAAGGAGCAACTAGAAGGAGGAATAAAAACTAAGGGTAAATTTTTCTTCAAATAAAACAGGATTAGAAAGCACACCAATTGCTGCATCAGCTGCTGTTCAGGTAATACACAGGTCACCCAAGTAATATAAGGATATTGCAGAAGACTGAATTAATTCTTTACATCACTGCTTACAGTGGGACAAGCCGGAGAGAATCCCAAGGTGGAACCTCCCTTTGGAGGGTAAAAAGGGAGGACATCAAATGAGCTGGCCAAAACTGAAGTGACAGTGGAATAAGTTACATAACAAAGTAAAAAAATGGTGAGTAACAAAGCAAGAGACATAACCGTATGTTATTCACTTAAGGGTTCTAAAATATATAACTTCATACAGTGATGTAAATCCAACTCAAGGCACAAAATTCTTTCAATCATATGGGAGAGAGGAAAGTCCTGGATTTACCTTCCTACAGACTGCATGATGTCCAGCAGCAGAGGAGCAGCCAAGTCTGGACTAAGGTGAATGAAGGTTGAGAGCACAACTATGGCCAGGCCTAGCGTTTCTTCATCATATTCTTCAAGAATAGCCCCACAGTCATGACACCTGCAAATAACAGTTTTGAAAACTGACATTAACAAATTTTAAACGAAGTATTACTGTACATACATATATGTATAATTATGTCTTTTTAAAGCACTATTATTTAGTACACTGTATTCAAAACGTGTTTAGAAAAATAATGTAACTGTGATCTTTCTATAATTAATGACAGTCCATGGCTTTCAGACATTAATAAAGCATCTCAGCAGCTGCACTGGCTGTTTCTTCACTGTCAAATGAAGCAGGGCTACATGGCAGGCCTTCTTTTGCATCTAACTGTTAGCCAGTTCCCTCACAGTATTGCACTGCTTCAGTTTGCACCATCAAAGAGAAATCTGTAGCAGTGAGGATTAGCCCTCAGCAATGTGAACACCAGCCAATTCATGTGACTTGTGGGGGGCGAGGGCTTAAGTCCCCGGTACTCTTCTGTTTAGCACCACAGACATAATGATAATCATAGATGATCTTAGAGATGGAACAATTTCACATTGTCCTTCATCTCAGTCATGAATTATGAATAACAAATTATACAATCGGGAAACAATGATCTGACTGGTTCCCACAGCAGTTACAGCTATTAAGAAAGAATTTAAAGGACCTCTCAGGGTCACAGAACCTAAGGTTTCAGAGAAGTTTCCTTTCCCAGGGCAGATTTGCTGCCGAGTCACTTGTCCTTCCTGAAATGTTCACAGACAACTGACTAAGCTCTGAAAGGACTCCATAATGTCTATTTATAAAGGGGATGTCAGATATAAGAGATGAGACAGCCTTTCACAACTTATGAAAATGGCAAACCAATGTGGGAAACTTTGTCCAGTAGGAAGGCTTTCTTAATTTGATCAACTGGTTGCTAATGACTCCAACAGATTGTGGTATTTTAACTCAATGGAATTGTACAGGCAATTTTCTTGCCTTTGTCACTGAACAGAAAGAAAATATGACAACAAAGTCACGAAAGACAAGCTCAGCTGGTCTGTGTGTTAGGTGGTGTCAGAGCTTTGGTGATCAGCCTGGTGTGTCTGTCTACTAGACTGAGTGCAGAACCACAAACAAGAACTTCTGGTTTCTCTTCACAATTTTTTACCAAATCAGCGCATGGCTCCCTGCTGACTGCTCTACTCCTCTACTAAATGAGTACACTTACTTACACTTCCTTTAGGCTTTTTAACCAATCAATTAAGGTTTGCAAACGTTTGGTGTAAGCAAGTATCAGCATTAAAAATGCTGTGTTAATTACACATCAATGGTTACCTATTTCAACAGAAATCCAAAAGAATTTTTTAAAAGGTTTTGGGTTTGTTGTTTTTTTTTTTTTTCCCTAAGGTGAAAGCAGTTTCTGATGGATCACAAGGAACCCTTGATTTAAAATACAAATAGAAAGTGCTCCCCATGCCTTCTGTGCACAGAAGTGCCTGAGTCATAATTTTGCCTGTGCAAATTCACATCGGTCCTATTGAATTACAAGCACATCTTGTGCGCAGTGTTTAGAAAATGTTTACCTTGGTGTAAAAAGAAAAAAATATCTGAAAACTTAGCACAGAGATAAATGATAGAACGGACTTCATTTCCATGAGGTATATCTATACTTTAACCTGTTTGAAGTTCAACTACTTCTTCAGAAGGAACAGAAAAAAAACTTACTTGTCAGTCATCATAATGGGCTGGTCATCAGCAAATTCTTCTGGTGCAGGTACAAACATACTGACTATACTGGGTGCTGACAGCAAGCTAGATTTTGTGGCACCTTAAGGCAATTAGGGATAAAAAAAAAAAGAAAGAAAGAAAATCACTGAAGAGAAATTCAAACTGTTTGAAAAGCAGACTTCTAAAGAAGAGCCATAATGGTTCTACTGTGCATAGGAGTAAGAAATAAAGCATATCTACAAAAGGATATAGAGCACATTCTTTGCTTCTGCTAGATCATTCCAACTACCTAGAACTATCAATTAAAAAAAGAAAAGTCCATGCAGAAAAAGGTAAGAAAGAACAAAATTTCCAGGAAGGCAGATGGAATTGTATCTATTCATTTTTTAGGGAGAGAGAATGATTCTACAGTTGCTATGAGACTGGACACCTGAGGATTTTCAGTCTTCCCCTGTACTTCTGGGGAATTAGCTTCCCACAGTTCTCACTGACACAGAGAAGCAAACAAGTTCATATGTCTCAAGACCAGGCCATCAATCAATTCGTGCCATCCTTATCAGAGGCATAGGAGAGAAATCGGGAAAGGACAGCTAGAAGTAATTCATATGGAGCTGAGAAACATTAAGAACATTGGACGGTTGATGATTAGAAATGCTTTCCACTGAATATCTTCACAAGTGTCTTTATTCGCCAAACCTGAGTTTTTCAGTTGATGGCATGCTCACTGTGATCATGCCAACAAATGGGGCTCCCTTTGCTTTTGGCATATTTGTGCACCTAATTTCTGACAGAGGCTTGTTTTAAGATGCAAAGATATGTATCATGGAAGAGGCAAACTCTTGGCTTCTCTGAGTGCCGCTTTCCGGAATTACAGCAATATAGTGTAGTCTGACAGTCTAACATCTCTTTAGTATGGTGATTGTCCTCCCTTCGTCTCTTTGTTTTCATTAAGCAGACCAACAGTAACAAAAAAGAAACAACCAAAAAAAACCAAAACAAACCAAAACCAAAAACAAAACAAGAAGAAGATAAAAAAAGAACCAAAAGAAGCAACTCTCCAGCTAGTCTAGGTGCTAAGAAAACCTCAAGAAGAATAATCAGACTCTCTCATGAGCCATCAGAAACTTGGATCAAAGCTATTGTGATGTATGAGTGATGTCATTCATCTGAGATGCCTTGTGATGATCATTTAAATATTGCTAGCAGTTTTATTCTCCAGGTCATTAAAACAGAGAGATTCAACTCTTAAAGTATCTCAGTTTTTGTTGCCACATGTAGCCGACATGATAGAGACAGCATTACTCCTGTTTCCATACAGTTCAGCTTCAATACTGAATCCAGGGAGCTCAGCTGGTAGACACTGTCACCGTGTAAGCTGTCCCCAAGGGCATCTCATTCCAACGACCCATCTATGAAAAGCTCCTTTTGGTTTTAGGAGAGCATCAAAGCCCTTTTGACGCCAATTCAACTTCAGATTAAGTAATCCTTTATCCGCTGTCTTGCTGGTTGCTTCATTTTACAGATTCTCTGTTATCATTTGTTTGATAATAATTGGCTATGCAAACAAGAGGAAGCTTCTCCACCTAAGCTAGATGGAATTTCTGATAATACCAGTTACTGCAGAAAAATCAAATCTAGTATCAGATCTCAGGCAAAAGAATCCAACATGCTCCACATATTTTATGTGGAGAGATGATGGGCTTGCTTCACAAGAATGAGACAGGTCTTGAACCACCACTTCGTACTAAGTATGAAAGGAAATATTTTTTACATACAGAGTTCAGTACTTCATAATTGTCTGCTGACATTTTGCTGGATATAAGCAGACACTCCAGGAAATCCAGGATATTCTTCAGTAATGTAGGAATCCATACAGAACGAAAATCTACAGGAGTAGATTTCTAGCCATTTCTCCTCCACACACAAATGAATAACAATCCTTCTGCAATATCTTCGGAAGTTTAACTGTCATGTTCTCTAGATACAAGACCCGCTGCAGCACACAAATGCTAAAACAGTCATAATGCAGGTTACATTGTTGGAATAAGACTTCACTACTCAAAATAAAAATGTCCTCTCTCCTGCACTGAACAGCAGGAAAAAAGCCATGATTTATGCAAAGAAGGTAGGTCACTGGCCCACTACAAGGCGGTAAGAAAGTCTGGATGTACTTTGGCCATGAGGGAAAAGAATTCATAAAAAAATGAGATTCAACCACAGTCTGTATACAGAATCTTTTCTTTCCAGGTTGACAGCCAAAACAAACAGTAGCAAAGCCAGCACTCCTTATCAGTTGCCTCTGTCTTAAATTAAATGTCTTGTCTAATAATTTTTCAACAACCTACAATCTGCAGGACAGTTGAGGGTTTTAATACAGCTGAATGGAGCATAAAATTCAGCACCGTTCAGCACCCAAAAACTTCCTGGCACTCTTAGTGGAGAGATCAGGTCAAATGGGCACTGAACTAACCTCTGAGTCTTAGTGGCGGTCCCTCCAAGTCGGGGTTTAGGCAAACAGGGACATTGCACAGCCGCTTTCCATGCTGTATCTGCTCTGTGAATAAATACAGTACTTCAGTCTCCAGAATTATGAATCCAGCATCTGTCACAAGCACCACAAGTCTTACACAGTTAAAACAAGAGAAAGACAACAGGTATTAGATAAAAAACTGAAGAGTTAAGTTTTTTTAAGTATTGAGAAGGAGGGGAGGAGGGCAAGGGAAAAAATGAAGTTAAGTCCACAAAGGAAAAAGGACATAGACAGCCTATCACCAAAGATGGCATTTTAGAAAAGTGTCATTAAACAAGAAAGAAAGTTGTAGCAGTTGAGATTCAACAAGATACAGAATATAAGCCAGAAAAAGACACTGTTTATAAATACCAGCAGACTAGAAGTCAGGTATAGTTTGTGCTGACATAAGCTAGACACAAAATGGTTTTATTTGACAGTTAGCAAGCTTGGGAAGAAATGCTTTGAAATAACAAATGAAAGAGACACATGCTGCCTACCAATGTTTAAGGAAAAAAAAAAAAGCATGCATGAACTAAGCACACATCATATTTATGGGGGATAATGGGGGATAAGACTATTTGCTAGCTGTTATACCTGAGTCTAATGACTCTTAAATTCTGGTGTGACACTGAAATGACAAATTAGTCACACTAACCATTTGCCTTAAAAAAACACTTTTTTCTGTCCAAATATTTTAACTTTGAAGCTAGTAGTTGAAAAGGAGACCTGGAGATGCAAAGTTTTCCAGAAAAGTACATTTTACTTTGTATCCCCAAGCTTGGAGGCCTTTAGCAGGAATGAATGCTGAAGGGAAAAGTCACAGATGTGAGGAAAGCTAATGGACTTGGAACAAGATTAACAAGACACAGTTCCTAAGTGGTTTTGAGTACTGACTTGTTCCTCTTGAATAGAAGCTAACTACTTCTTGCAGAATGAAAGCAGTAACATTTTCATATCTCAACCCCTGCCTGAGAAACTAAGTTCAATAAACAAACTTACCTGCTGACAGGACAAAAAAACCCTCACTGTTATTATTGACAAATTCTGACCTTTATGATTTAAGCATCTCATGCTGAGCACGTTACTCAGCAGACTGGAATAGACAGGATAATCCTAAACTATATACCATACCTTTAGCCATTCTTTCGCTATAAGATTTAGTCAGATGGAACTCAATGCTGAAGACTGAATTAAGCAAACATTCTAACAGCTGTCCAGAACTGGTGGCGACAGATTCATTGAGCATGCTAAGTTTCATATAACTTTTTAAGCATTTCTTTCCCTGGATGCATCTAGATCTGCTGCCAAATTCCTAAGAAGAATGATTCTGTATTGTCACTAACATCAAGATGGCCAATAAAATATCTAGCATTTATGATAAACCAGAATGTATTCATTGTTTAATCACGTCTGCAATAAATTTGGTCAAAAATGAAAATATTTTATAGAGGAAAAAATACAAATAAAACACTTGAGTAATGAGGAAATTATGTGCTTAATTCAGTTTTCATTGCTTTGCATTCATCTTAAAGGGAGAAAAAAAAACATGTCAATGTGCGAACAGAAACTTCAGGTGCTCAGTGTGAGCTGGCAGAAACTTTTCTAAAGAGAAACAAAACTGTCTGATATAAGGCACAAGTCCTTGGTGTACCAACACCATTATAAATATACATGCAGATAAATGACTCCATGCACAGGGATGAAACTCTATACCTAATGAAATCAACAGTGATACTTCCATTTAATTCAATGAGGCCAGGAAATAATCCAAGTGATATGCAGTACTGTAGGTGCATCCCTGTACCAGAGTGACTGCATCCCTGTACCAGAGTGACTACCTCCCAGATAAACGTAAATTATTCCAATTCATACTAGGTGACAATCTGGTACTCACTATAAAATTTTACTTTAGACTTCAGATTGATTACTCATCTGCAATGGTAAAATAGAAATACTCATTTTTTTTAATTAACTGGTACAGAAAATAATTGATTTAGGAAACAGAAATAAAGAGCAATAAATGCAGCTCACCAGTATCCCAAGTGCTGATATTGTGGGGAGCACTAGACTGGTGTTCCAGCTGCCTCTTCATTAGCTGGTTCATTGTCAGAGCTCCCAAAGAGCCTCTTTTCATTTGTCTGAATTGAGCTGCAAGTCAGAAATGCAAAAGGATTTCAGGGGCTCAGACAACACTTAAAACTACTCTTATTTCCTGATCCTATACACCAGCATGAGATAAATACTGAAAGGACAATGAAGGCTTGCTCTAAGGATCTTGCTCAAGCCAATATGCATTTTTCACACAGCTACACTGGGAGCAATTCTGGCCACACTGCTATCAGTTATAAGTGACTTGGATTCAGGATCTAATCCTCTGTATCAACTGTCAATGTCTTTTTGTCTCCGAATACCGTGAAAGCTCCTTAAAACATCTGGTATCTGTGAAGTGTAAAGTACTACCGAAAATTCCCATGCTGACAGATGACAAATGCATACTTGAATCTCACTTATGTACAATGTGTGAAGAAGGAAACTCAGTCTCCTCCCAGCAAAATATGAAGGACTTCTCTGTCGATGTTCACTGTAGAAATGCACTGTGTTCCACCAGCTCCCTTCATGGGTGACAACGAAAACAGACCTCCTAAATACCAGCCACTCAGGCACAGCACCTGCACATTCTTCCCAAGTGTGAAGCCAGCATGTCTTTGAAGATGGGTCCCTTTTGTAACTTGACTGCCATCCTTCTTACACAAAAGCTATCAAGCTGCAAGCATTCACTTTTTCTTCATCTGACTATTTACAATACTTTAAATGCATATTACCGTTTGCTTTAAGAGATATGTCTTACTGAATAATACACACACACACAAAAAAAAAAAAAGAATTGTGAATTTCAATTTTAAGTCTTTTTGGTAATGTATTTTATAAGTGCTTAAATGGAGGAAGAAAGAGATCATATACAGCTCCTGACTTTCTTACTTTTTTCTCCATTCATAACAAAATTCAAATTAAATGAGCAAAATACATTCACTTTGACAGTGGAATCTGAGCAAAAAACATGAAAAATCTCTGAAACCAAAAAACAGTATGAAGGCAGAGTTTTAATTTTAAAACTGCCTGCGCAAGGCATGTGAAACTGCTGACACGCATCTCCATGAAGGAAAGCTTCTAAAAGGTTGCCTTACGCGTGTGTTTAAGTACTTTCTTCAACAGGGCCTTAAAATGAGGGTGACAAAGCAGTGTCTTCTCCTAATGATTATTTTCACCTGCAACTACATTCAACATCTTAAAAAGAGTATTAATATAGTATCAGGTAGTTTTATTCTAAAATTTCAAACAGTACCCACCTAAACTCTGAAAATAAACCTAAAATTTCACATTATTAACTGTGATGAAGAAGTACAGACAAACTGTAAGTTTCAGAAAGCTCTCTGGGGCTGAGTGCCTTCTCCTAAACTTGCTCTACTCAGTTGCTGAGAGTTTTAAATTCAGAGAAAGCAGAGTAACACCTAACAAAACAAATACAGGCCCCGACTAATACTAAACACAATGATAACTTCAGTGGGAATATGCACACTGAAATTATTTTATTAGGTGAAGTAATTTAAGTTTTCCTTCATTATATCCTCTCAATGTACCAGAGTGAACATAAACTCTATTTTGGTCCAAGTACAAACTTCTCCAGCATTGCTACAAAGCAGCCATTGTGTAACTGAACTTCTGGAACTGAACCAGACCAAGAGACTATTCCATGTTTCACTTTCAAAAGTTGTATTGCAGCTGCCTTTCACAGCAAATTAGGAGAAAAATAGAATTTCCATCGTTCCCAGGGCAAGGATTTTAAACAGATACTTTATCACTTTATCAAGCATAGAATTTCTTGATGAAAGAGCAGCAATTAACATTAGAACTGATAAGACTGCTTGGAGTGCAGATGACTGTCAAAATATAGAAAATTATCTCTTTGAATTTTCTTAATGGCTTTTGCAATTGTAATTTAAAAAATCCATGCATATTTCACCTAATTGGGCTATTACTGAGCATGTTTGGATTTCCAGGGTTATTTACCTGGTTTCACAAGGACAGCCATGATTTTAAATATTGGTAAGTGAAGAATAAAATCTAAAAACCAAAAAACTGAGAGAACTATCAGCCTTTGAACAGTGCCGGAGCCAGGCTATTTGCTGTGGACCAGCATATGACTTTTCATGCCTATGACTGTCTAGTGGGATAGGGAGGGAAGTTTTACTTGATTGGGTGTTCTACAACAAACCTAACAATCATGAGATCAGTAACCTTCATGTAATAGCTGGTGCACTTTTCATAGGTTAGCTTGTGATCTAGTCAATCATCCCTCCACTGCTTTGGAATGCTCTACTCAAGAAAAGAAGTCCAAAGGCAGTATCTGCCTATCACAGTTAATGATGCATGCTTTCTATGGCCAGGCACTGGCTGTACAAGTAATGTTATCTACATTATCTATTTGTGTTACAGAAATGCCTTATGCTCACATTCCTGATAAATACTCACTATGCAAAGCACTTGTAAAGACACATAAGTAGAAGGTCAAAAGTATTTCAGTCTAAATGGATGAAAGACACAATGGAATCATTCATGTCCCTTTTTGCAGTTGGAAGCTGAGGCTCACAGAAAGAGGAAAGAAATATTTACAAAGGGGAAAAGAATATTTACAAAGGAATGTAGGCTCAATATCACACAGACACTATTCCCAATTTCATATACTGGAATCTACAGGGACAACCAGCACTCAGTGAAACCACAGACAGACCTTAAGTAGCAGCTTTTTAGCTGCTTTAGTAAGTGACATCTGTATCATTAGGTGGTCAACAAATGTACACTGACTACACAATGCACATGACACAAGATGCTTGTGGTAAAACTGCAGAGGAAACCTGCCACTTAGAGTACTCATCTAGCATGTCTAAAATAATAGAATCATAGAATAGTTAGGGTTGGAAAGGACCTTAAGATCATCTAGTTCCAGCCCCCCCTGCCATGGGCAGGGACACCTCACACTAAACCATGCCACACAAGGCTCTGTCCAACCTCACCTTGAACACCGCCAGGGATGGAGCATTCACAACCTCCCTGGAATAAAAGCAGGTCATCATTTCCCCTTGCTTTTCTACCAATCAGAATCCTGCCCCATTAGCTTTTGGCTGTGTTGTGTGTTACTTAACATTACCTAGAAGGACACACTAGTCCGGATTTTGTTAGTGTTCTAAGATGTCTCTACCTTCCAGTGTTATCTACATCTGCTCCGCTGAGCCATGTGCCACTATCTACTTAAACCAACCCAGTTCACTTTCCACTGAAATGAGTATGGGAGTCTCAGATGTATAGTTACCACATTTCAGCAAGCAGCTGAGTAAGTGGCATTTCAAGGCATTTTATAAAAATTGCAAGAGATTTTTTTTTTCCTAAAGTACAGCAAGAAATGTACTGAAGACCACAGTAAAAGCCCTGTGAGCTTTCTTCTGCTTCTGTGCACTGACAGTTGACAACGCTTTCTCTCAGTGGAAAATGAACATCTCACTTTAGAGAAATACTGCTTTTAGCTGATGCCTACAGTAATTCAAGAGAACCACATTTGTCAAATTTGCCATGTCACAACAGAAGATCTTGCAGCCACTAACTGCTAAAATCCTGCTGATCAACAGAGATCTAACAGATATGATATTCAACACAGCTGTACTTCCAAAAATCAACGAAACTCAGGGGAAGGCATTTACTATACATAATATGCATCTGACGCACAAATACAGCAACCTAGATTTAATGCTCAAACCAAAGGTAAACTTACTTGATATGGAGGAGTGACTACTTGTCTCCGGGACTCCTGCTTCAAGGGTTGGTGCAGATGATGACTCTCTTGGCATTTCCAGTGTTGAAAGAGTCTTGGCAGCAGGATCTGCACGTGAAAATTGTGCTTAAACTCTCAGCGTATAGAATCAATAAATATTTTCCATCCACATTCTCCCTGGATGCATTTTTCACATCTTTTTCAGACATCCATTCACCATCTGGCATTCCCAGCAGTTTTAAAAAGATTCAGTGTGTGTGTTGTAAGAATGCTTATAGATGCACACAGATCTACTGCTTCAAATCACTTTTTAAAGGAGATTTCTGCCTATGATCTCTAGAGCTCAGACCTAACAAACACACATACAGTTGATTTTGATCCCACTCAAGAGTGATTATCAGAAGCACCAAAAATAAGAGGTACCACTGATGTAAAGCTATGTTAAGTGACCACTTAGCATCTTTCAAAAGCCTTATCTCCAATGTTACCAGTATTCATTCAAAAGACTGCTAATCTAACAGATGATCCAAAAGATTCACAGAGTTTAAGATTCTATCTTTAAAAAGAAAATTAAGCTATTAAAACTACTTTTTTGAATAACAACTGACACTGTCAATATGGGAGAATAAAGCAAAGAAAGTTTCAAGTGTTGATGGCTGGTTTCAGTGTATCCTATAAAAATGAATATGTATCTGTGTTGTAGAAAGTCTCAGGCAGGAAACTGTAGCCCATCATCATGCACTTGAAGAAACACTCATTTGGATATTTAATTTAGAGATCAGTTATATCAAAAACCTTTCGAAAACATATGGAAGTATAACAAGCTGAAAAACCTTGAGTAAGACTTTGAAATTATAATCAGCCCATTGTGATGGCAGTATTAAGCCTACTAAATTGAATTATAACACATATGTTCTCAAGTAAACAAATTAATAAAGCTAAACAAAGCAAAATATAACAAGATGTATTAAACTATCAGAGTCACTAAATTCCCTAGGTAACTGAATAGCCAGTATCAACCCATAATGTAAATAAGTACTGCATAAGTCACTGTGAATGTTTTATGCTCCCCATGGATGACATACCTAGAGGTATTCAGCCAAATGACCACCATATATGCTATAATCCTAGGCTCCACATGGTGTTTCAGAACTGGAACAGCCCTTCCAAGCAGTTTCAAGGATGACAGTGTTAAGATACTGAATGAAAACTGCCCCTTTCTAATGGTTAACAAAGCATTTCAGTCTAATTATGCAATTCTTTCACTGGCAACAAAGAAGATTCCTGATGCTTTAACTTAGAACCTTTAACATATACAAGCCATGTAGATTTTGTGGATACCCAACACAAAGAAGGCTACAAAATGTTTTAGTGTATAAAAAAAAATACCTGCATCTGATCCTAAATTCAAACTGTGGTTAATTCCAATTGCTCTTATTTCTGAAGTCTACAGTCTGCTCAGTTTTACCCTTTGTGACTCAGTCTGTCTGCCACCGCCTTACACTTGCAGAAGAAACAAAAGGCCAAAAATCACTACACATAAAAGATCATCAGTGTAGCATGGACTAGACTAGCAGGATAGAAGGCATAGAAGTCTGACAATCTTTCTGACTTCCCACATAAAGAGGCCATGGAGTTTCACTCCCTAACCTGGATATCAGATCCAGCATTTTTGTTACTGAGCTCCACCTCCTTTTCAAATGGGCCCTTGCACATACTAACCTGTATGGTTAGCGCATTCATTGCAAGAAACACACACCTGAAAGCATTCAGCTAGCTCAGATCACATCAGATGTTATATATACACATCTCTCCCTATACATATATTTACACATCTCTCTTTACACTGGTCTGTTACTTAAATCTTCACACAGTAATAAGCCTTTTAAATGGGTCAGTAATTGAGCTCACCTGCCTCCTTCTGCTCTCCCAGCTTGTCAAGGATGTTGAAAGAAATGTCCAGGTATTCTCTCTGAATTGCACTCACAGCAATCTTCCTCTGTTTCCTCTGGCGAGGGACAATCTGAATCTTGAATTCTGACTCTTCTGTCTCCTCTTCTTGTTTCTGCTCCATGTTTTGTTCAGTGTCAGACTCTGCGTTGGCATCAAGTTTACCACTTTCTGTTTGGTTTTCAGAATCTTCGGGGACTTTAATAAGGACTGTCTTTACATTTGGGCTTGAAATTGCTCCACTAGATCTAATTTCCTCCATGCTGAGCTCAGAGCTATCATCAAGGGACATTTCTGGAAGGGCAAATGACTTCTGCAGCAGGTCTCTTTTCTGTTTCAGTGTTAGTGGGCTCCCACAGGACATCTCCTGAAGTTCTTCTGGCTTAACTAACTCTGATGAGTCCTTTTGATCTTTGGGAGAAATGGAAAGGATGTCCTCTATTCCTGCTGAAGCACTGTTGCTTGTATCCTTAGAACTAAAGTCTTTGGAGCAATCTTCAATGCTGAACTGGACTAGTGGTGTTGTGCTGAGGCTGAATGCAGAGACATTGATAGGAGTTGAGGGAAATGATGCAGTAGTTTTCCCAGAGACCTCATCATTCAGCTGGTTTGTTGTTTCTTCTTCTTCATCACTCTCCACTATTCTAAGGGGAGGAAGTGGTTCAAAGACTAAAGAGTCACTGTCTGAAGTGGAGAGTACTGAATGCTTTTCAGGACCCGATGCTGAGTCAGAGGACAAATCTATCAGATCTAAATCTTCCTTAGGACTACCAGATTTAACCGGAGAGTCCACTTTCACTTCGTAGGTTTCCATACAGTTTAGCCTAACTTCTGGTATGACAGGTCGTCTTGTTTCCTGGAAACTCTCCGTGCGAGGAAGATTTTCTTGTGTTTCTATATTTTCAGGTTTAGTAGAAGAATTCTGTCCAGATCGTCCATAATCACTCTGCCGGTGTATGGCGTAAGCAGCAGGGACAGGAGGTTTTTCTAAGTCACACCGGTCTATGCAGGACTTCCTGCGATGTTCATCTAATGAAAACAACAGGGAGTCTGCATTCCCTATATCAAGAGATTTTTGTTTTAGAGAGCGCAGTTTTTTTTTCTGAATGCTTTCTTCTCTCACACAGCGTAGAATACTGTCTTGTAAGGCCCCCGTCTCTCTATATTCAGCCAGCTCTATTTCACCTGATTAAAACAGAAAGAGCTAATACTACCTCAGTTGTAGACTTCTGGCATATATCTTCATCTTTATCTCACAATTCAATATGATAACTTCAGAAACACTTTACATAGAGTTTTACAATGAACAAGAACAAAAGCTACTATTTGGGTAATAGGGTTTATCTAAATTCTATCCAAATTCTACTTATCCCGGACAGATGCACCCTGAAGATAGACTGTTTAATGTTATGCATTGAAAAGAAAATGTCACAGACAAATAGTTTCTATAGACACTTGGGACAGCTGCATTAGGCATGAGAAATGAAAGGAGAAATGAACTACACAGACCACTCTGAAAAGGTTTCAAAATAATTTTGGACTAAAGCACGTAACTTTTACATCAGCGTATATCAGAGTACACCTATGTGTTATTTTCTTCAGCAAACTGGGCTATTTTAAACCATTTTAGGGTTTTGGCATTTTAGGGTGCTTCTAATTCAAGAAGCAAAAGTAGCAATAGCAGTGAGGATGTGGCAGCACAAGCCTGAGATCAGACAGATGTTCACAGAATTTTTCCCCCAGTGATCCTAGACCCCAGCAGAGTTTAGAAACTATCACACCGCAAAGTCATGCCTCCCAGTCCTAAGGAGGAGTAAAGTGCACACAGTTATACTTGCTGCCACTGCCACTGCATTGGCATTTTGCCCTGTTAACACATTCATTGAGAACATTTCAAAAGGTTATCACTGTTGTTATTATGAACGATGCATATTCACATAAACCAGAATATTCCTGGTCATTATTATTGCCATATTTCAAAATGCTCCACATGTGAATCACCATGCAAAAAAAGCAGTGAGAAAAGTTAAAGGAGACATTTGCCCTAGTCAGAACCATTGTTCCCTCACGCTCCCACCCGCCGACCTGGTGCATATACCTGAAACAAAAAAAGGTAGGTGGGTGGTGGTGGAAATCTCTTTAATTTTTTTAGGCTATTAATTTCAAAAACAAAATCCTTCCTATTTTTTGAACCACAAAAATTGACCCTTTTTACCAATGGAAAATCATAGTATTTGCAGCAGCAACAACAAATTCGCTTACCCTAGAGTCCCACCTCATCCAAAGAAAAAAATCAATTTCCGGGAAAAAATAAATTTGAGTAAAAATCTTCAGCCCAATGGTGGAAGAAAATGGCAAGAAACCCTCTTAAAAATGTTTATATTCAAAGGAGCTTAAAGTTTCAGAAAACAACTGCTTGTTTTAGATATTTTTTAATATGGAGTGCCTACTTTCCTGTAAGAGACTTCATTCAGGGAAACAAGGAGTACCAGCTCTCAAAAGCCAGACAGAGCATTTGGATTCAAATTGGGCAATTCAATAAACTCTACAAAGAAAGGTGGTAGCTTGAAACCAAGAGTGGGAAATTGTGTTTCTGCATGAGTTTATACCGACAAAACAATTCATACTTCTCTGAGCATTCATCTCAACTGGTTGATATTTCACCATTTTGCTGCCACCAATTCTTTTCAGTCTTGCAAAGAAAGTTTGAGATTCTTTATTGCAAGGTCCAGTTGGTGTATCATGAATATCAGATTCATCAAAAACACTGTCTTCCTCTGCTGGAGAAAGAAAAAACTTTATTACTCTTTAGAGAGTGCAATTCCTTGAATGAAAAGCTGTCTATGTAACAAAACCTCAGCTAGTTTCAATTAAACTTGAATTGGAAAATGAAAAATCATCTGAAGTTTGCAAGAAAATTTATATCCCAAGTATAACTTTGCCATTCTTGCTAAATCTTGAATTAAGGTCAAAAAGGAAAGAGAGAAATGAAAAATTGGTTACAATGCAACAAAAGTATACCAAAGCTTTTATCATTCTAAGCTCATCTTTTCTTCTGGTAATAATACAGATTTTTTAGATGGAAGAAATAAAACAGATTTGAACACTAACTTGAGTAAATAACTTCTATAGTGAGAAACGGTAAATTGAAGAATATTGAAATTAGTACAAGAAATGCACAGTCAGTAATAAACCAGCAAAACAGGAAGGTGAAAAAGGAAGAAACTGAACATCTTGGGAAGCTGGTAATAGTAACAGAATAAGAACTAAGAGTATGAATCATGAAAATATTGATTGAAGTAGAAATAGTAAAACTTCATGCTCTAATTTGAGCCCTTCTGGATGAAAGTGTCAGAGAGAAAGATCCAAATCTATTTATCCATCAAAAAATAACATCACTTGTATGAAAATGATATAAAAAAAATTAAAAAAGGAAAAATCCATATCTATCATGTCTAGTGATTCATCTCCAATGAAACCAGAAACATGACTGAGACAATAAAGAAAATGGAGCACTCGAGAAAAAAAAAGAAGTTTGCTTTGTTTATTCTAGTAAGCAAACATGGAGAGGAAATGCATTTGAAGTCTAGGAGGCAACTAAGCCAAAGAGTTAGAATGGCCAAAATTGAAGACTTAAACTGGATGTTAGTATCTTTGGCTTTGAACTTGCTGGAAACACTCTGGGCAAGAAGTTATGGAACTGCAACCTAAAAGCATCAGGGATAAGATACTTTACTGATACAATGAATCCAGAAAAATCAAAGTTGATAGCACAAATTTCTACAGGGACTGGGTTTAATAAATTAGAAGATCACTTTCAACGTCATGTCCTACGTGTCTAACTTCTTCCCTTTGGCAAAAAATGCTTTTTCACACAAGATTTATCAGCTCTACAACAGTCTGTGCACTTGCCATGATTGCCATAGAAGTCTGGCAGCAAAATAAGGAAGAAGTTTCCATAATGGGAAAATCCATCTTTAGCATGGGGATTTTTGTTGCTTGACAATGAAATCCTCATATGTTCATCATCTGAACACCACCTTTGATGATGACAGCAGCATGCACACTACCTGATCAGAGACTAAACAAACCTCCTTAGTAAAGGTGGGAAAGGCTTCAACTTTCCAGGTCCCTCCGGAATTACAATGACTGTTTCTTGCAAGTGGAACAAAACTTTTCTACATCTTCTTTTTTCTGTAGCACTTCAGCAAAAAAGGACAACTACCCTACAATTAAGTCAGCATCTACAGAGTAAAATTAGACCATTTATGGTCCTTTGCCTTTGAGCAGTCACAAGCACCTCGTAACAGCTTTGGAAAGCAAGTAAATATTATTCTCCCTAGTTTAAACATAGGGAAACGATGATGTGAAACACAAGGCCACCCAGGGAATCAACGTTACACATTGGATTCGAGCACCAAATCTTCTAAACCTAACTTTGCACTTACTGTGAAGAGCAGGCTGGGTATTTAGGCACCCCACTTTGTCTTAGAAACATCTCAGCATCAATCCAGAAACTGAATTCATTTCATAAATGTATCATTACTACCCTCAGCATTACTAAGTCATGAGTTAAGTCATTAACTCATCCCAAAACACAGAAATTCACATTAAGTTCAGTTATCTAAACCCTCTAAGCCCTCCTCTAGTATTACAAAACTTCCAAATGAGTGAGAATATGCAATACATCATTTATATCCATTTTAAGCCTGTTTTAATTTGCTGAAGCTGAGTAATAGGGTGTTCAAGTAAACAAAGTTTTGTGTCCTTGTTCTGCTGGACTTCTTTCAATGAGCAACAAGCAGCAAAAGAGGAAAAGGTAAACATGCATAAAAAGTGCTTCTTGCATTCTTCTTCAGAAGTTTGTTGCACACTAGGAAGACTGTTTTGAGGAAGATGTAAATAGGGAATGAGCAGCTAAAAGACAAAATAGCTGAAAGGCACTACAGATTAATATCAAAAGAACCTGTTAAACTTTGGCCATAAATACTTATCACATAATAAACTTCACAATTGTAAGGAACTACACTCCTCAACATGATGTTATTTCATACCCCAACCTTAAACTAGTTCACACCATCACAGTACCTCTGATATAGCTAGCGGCACATACAGAGTTAAGAATTGGACACAGACTGTAAAGGTAAAACCTTTCTCTTCCAGCTTTAGACATCTACATCATTGCTATTATGCCATGTTATTATAAAGTATAATCAGAATGTGGTGGCAGGCTTGTTGCATGCCTTGTCTGTGGGCATGGCTGGATAATATTGTCATAGAAGAGGCCAAGGACTATCCAGGCATGATAACAGAACTACTCGGTCTATAGTACATTCCCTTGAGATGTTGGACTGCTGTGATATACTTCACCTACAGAAATTGCGTATTTCTTTTACTATAGACAGCTATACCCAGTCAGATAAGTCACACCTTGGACTTAATTTTGAGTATTACGTTCTAAAATTCAGACCATTATTTACCAGTTTCTACAACATCTGCAAGACCTAATGAATTAAATCAATGACAATGACAAAAATGAGAGGATTAAAAGTACCTTTCTCCTTTTCACTGTATCGGCTTATGTTACTGTTGTCACTATACAAAGGACCACCAGTTGCATGGGGCTTGCAGCTGTGATATTGAGCATTGAGGGTATTGACTGTGATGTGGATTAGGTGAAGTACAATCTTGCTGATTTCACAGTCTCTGTAGGGGTACTGTTCGGTGAAAGAGAAGAACTTCAGCTTAAAAACTAACTTTTCTCCTCGGATAAACATTTAGGCAGTAGAACAGAAAAATGACAAGAATACTGTCAGCTGGATGCCCTTTTCCTTCCTTTGATCATACACTTCTAAATATATCACAAGAAGGAGAACTTTTTTCAGTTTTGTATATTTTTTACATGGAATTGTTTAAAGATATTTAAAAAAAATCCTATTACTAACATTTAATATATTGTTCTCTTGACTTTCATATGATAAAACCAACTCTTAATAATAATGCAAAAGATCTTTCATAAGAACTGTTCTCCAAATACTCTATTTTAATCAGCATATTATCATTCATTTTAGTATCTCCACTTTCTTGTGTGCCCTACAGAGCTGCTAGAAATCTGTTAAGCATAAAGGTATTCACAGCTCCATTTTAGTGCCTAAACACATTACATTTTAACACTACTCCCTAAAAAGCATCACTCAAGAGAATACAAGTGTTAAACTGACACCCCCTCTTATTTAAAGTCTTTTTTTTAAAACTAATTCCAAGTTACTTGAAATACTCTTCTTTGGAACTTTACATAGCGTTTTCCCATTTTCAAAACCATGTTTTTCTTTCTCAGGTAACTATGTAAAAGACAATGTAGATAACAGAAGCAAAGGGTCAGCAGCACAGATGAAAGTTTAACTATTTCAGATGTTGACATTAAATGCAGTAAGCCAACCAGAGAAAAGTGTCCTTTACAGTTCCTCTCACTTGCATTGCAGCTAGGTTTTCCATATTATAAATTTCAAATTGAAGTGTAAATTTTCACTATTCACAAAAAAGGTGAGGACACTCACCTTGTAGAGAATGACAAGCAGAGCCTTTAACCACATCTGCCGAATGTGAGGTTTGAGGGACCAGAGGGAGCAGCGAGGAGGCTGCTGAAAGTAATGCCTTAGCTGAGGGCAAGTGCAATATTTCAACACCTGCACCACCAAGGGAAGAAGGTGTTTTCCCAGGTTGATGTTATAGTCCATCACCTGAAAAGAATATTAACACAGGAGTTAACAAAATCCAGTGATGCTGAAAAGCAGAATAACTAATATAGTTAAGGTATTAGTTAAGTGAAAAGAAATACATGTTTTTAAGGAAGCCTCACTAACAGTTAGAAACTTTCTGCCAGCTTGCCATGTTCTCATTTTAGCTGGATAGGTAAAATGAAATTAAGTAAGATGGGTTCTGAAAGCCTTTCATCCTACACAGTCTAAATTTTAACATACATAGGCAGGTTCATAAAATAAGTTGGGATAGCCTTATATTGCAGCACAAGTTGATCATGCTTCAACAGACAAAACCATACTAGGTATATCCCATGTTTAACAGATAGGATGTGATTGAGGGAGGGAGGTGTATTTTGGTTATTTGGGGGGAAGGGGGTGTATTAACACTGCATTACCAATTTTCATTATTTTCTCATCAGGCTTGCAGCAGTAGCTGTTGGGGTTTTTAAGCCAAATGTCTGAAATCTGGTAATGAGACATGAATCCCACTCTTCATTATAGTAAAGGTAAGAGTGGGTCTGCCATGTTACACAGAAAGTCTAAGCATGCAAACCTTAAAGGATCTCAAAATAAAGGTAATGAATAATACCTTGATAAAAATAAAATGCTTCTCAATTTTTAGTGGTGGTGTTGCTGTTACTACTGCTAGTCATAAGCCTTGCCTCCACCATGACCTTTAAAAAACAACATGCTATTTGGTGCCTATCCTAGAGGCTTAAATCCTGATGGTTAGGTTCAGTGTGGCCATATATTCCCAATACCCTGACACAACCATGTTTTCAATTGAAACTATGCTGATATTTTTGATTATCTTCCCATCAGCCTTGCAACATTAGCTATTTTTATTTAAATCCGTATGTCCTGAAATCAGCAGCTAAACTAGATCATAACAAGGATCCACAAAGTCTTTGCCTCTGATGCTAACATATACTGGTTGACACCTAGGAAAGTAAAATAGCAGGCCAAACAAAATCCAGCACAGCCCTCAAGATCTAACATGTCCCTGCAGTTCTAGTGTACTTAGTGCACTTTATCAGGAGCCTTGTGCATTTAAACAGAAACGAACATCCGTTTCACCCATATCATCAATTTTCTTCAGACCTGTATTTCTTTTCAGTTTTGTTTTAATTAGAACGAGGGGATGAGCTTAACTTACAAACACAAAACTCATCTCTCAAGTTCCCTCCATGAACAAACTGACTAGAAGTTTTTCCCTGTAAAACCCTCTGGTTTGATATTCAGCTGTCTCAAACTTTTGTGTACCATGCATAGAGCTAAATAGATGAACCCCATGTCTATCCATGCAGGGTTAGCCTGTTGAAAAGATGATATATAATCACCAAATGCAGTTCTACTGTGCAGTGCCTTGTCTTCTCAGGTTGTGATACAGTTATATAGCACGGTTAGGAAAAATTCATCCATACAAGAAAGACCTGTTAAGCCCTGCCTTAACACAGCACATGCTGCAATGGAGACATGTCTTAAGCTGAGCAGACCCGTTTTTTAAGTTGGCACAGGAAGGTCTGGAATAAATGATTGTCCTGGTTGGGTTAAACTTCCTGGCTAGGGTTTAAACTACAACAAGGATGTTAACGCTGAGCAGAGCTCAGCCTGGGACGCTGAGCAGAGGCAGGCACTGGTGGCTTCCCCATTCAGACAAGCTTGTACAACACTGCCACCGTGCGGGGCAATACAACAGTAACTGCAAACACCGAAACGGCCTCTTCTGCTGCTAAGGAGAGAAAAAGACATTTTATGTTTTCAAGAATTCCAAACACTCAGATTTTACAATGCAAAATACAAAGAGGTATTTGATTTGTTTTTAATTTGAACTGGCCATTCCAATCAAGCTCGACATCAAAATCGACCAATCAGCAAGTCCAATCCCAACCTTTGTGGAGCTGATGGGGAAAAGTATTTATGACTGGAGAAGTCAGAGATCTGAAACAGATCTCTTAAGAGCTTCATACTAAGTTTTCACTCTGTAAATGCATCTTTGGATTTCAAATAGCATTTATCTTGCAGCAAAGCCAATTGCCAACACAAAGCAACCCTACAGCTACCCAGAAAAATACCCACAAATATGGGGACATCTGCTACATGGAGAAAAATCCTGGCCTAGTGAAGTTCTCAGAAGTTACTTCACATCAGGGGAGCCAGGATTCAGCTACAAAGCTTTTTAAACAGAAATGGTGAATTCAGCCATCATGAGACATTTTAAAGGCAGAATAAAGGCAGGGCTGTTACTTAGAATTGCTGTAAGTGGTACTTCTGAAAATCAGGTCTATTCTGATCACTTAAGATTGGGAATTCAAACTTGGAAAACATCAAGAAAAACATGGAAGATGCTGCCCTGTGATCTAAACCGCCACTTCCACACTTTCAATACAATAGTAACAGGCCTGAATCTCCTATACAAATGAAAGATGATTAAAAACACACAGCAATGGTGCTTTGAGACCATGGATCATGATGCATTTGCAACTACCCAGTTTGCATTAACCTTTCTGAAAGGTGAAACATGGATACCTGACTTCTCCATGACTGTGAAAGATTATTCAAGTATCTGCATTACAATTGACTTAAAAAACAAAAAACAAAAACCACCAAAACAAACCCAAACCCAACATAATCACTGAATCCAGTGTATGAACCAGACAATCTTGATGAGAATTCAGATACAGAAGAGGCCAAGATAGCTTTGAGCAATGCCTGAAGGTTATGGTGGGCATTTTAAGAGCTGGGGCAGGTGGAGTTCTGAAATAACAACATTCTCTCCCATCAAAGGTAATTCTTTATGAGAAACTGTAATAAGAAGGAAGTGTGGAAGTAATGATGATGCTTCATGGCAAATAAGACCACCCTGCAAGTGTGAAATGTTTTTCAGCCTAGCACCACCAACTGTTCTATCACTAAGAATTACCTACACCTTTAGAAGAGCCTTTTCAGGCAGGAAATTATGGCTCTCCTTACAAGATGGAGAAAGAAGGCACAAGACAAGGATGTGTTCAGTCATTTATCATAGCAATAGAGGTAGAAGTTCATCATGGCGGTATCAGTCCCTAGGAAAGGGAAATCAGAAAATCCTGGTGCCTTCTAAGGAAGAAGAGTAAGTCTCCTGCAAAGTGAAGAATGCCAAAGCATTTAAGGACTATTCATTCAGGGAAACAAGCAAGAGCACGTGGATCCCAGTTCTTCTGAAATGGGAAAGGTGGGAAGTAATGCATTTAAAGACTAGAGGAAGAGAGGGCAAAGAGGTTTGGAGCAGTCTCTAATTTTTCATATAGTGGTAATATTTGTGTGCCTCCACGCACACAAAACCATTATTTCTATTCTAGTTTAGAGTACTTGTAAAAAATTATAAATTAGCTTACTTTTATTTAACTATTTACTTTTTAACTGAAAAGGAAAAAACCTACAGAAAGCAATTGATTAGGCTACACTTAGCCTTCTAAGAGTAAACAAGGAGCCATTCTTGTTTCCACTTCTTTCATCAACTGAAGAGGTGTTAAGAAGTTTTAAATAGCATTACCACACTCAGCCATTGTTTTGATACAAAGGCAGCTCTGCTACCACCATTTTAATAACAAGCAATGAGAAACAGCTGCAAGAAGCAGTTAAGTGTCTTCACCTACTTGTGCTATTCCTGCAATAAAGGCATTAAAGCATGTTGAAACACGCATTTTTTGTGGTGCAATCATGAAGCATCCTTCCTGCTGATCATAACCAAGCAGCACGTACAGATGGCGCTTGACTGTGTTGAAAGCTTTAGCACTGCTGATGTCCGACTCAGCACTGCTCTCATCCTTTGCCATGAACTTCATTAGCACAGTAATGAGCTGGTGTACTGTTTGGTGATCAATCCCAGCATCCTCTGGCAGCAGGTCTTTTATTGTGTTATCATTTTCTGGGGAGGGCTGTCCTATTGGTACAAGAGACATTGGTTATCAGGGTACAGAATACACCAGAATCTTTCTCCAAAGTTCATTGAACAATTTCTGCCCAAATACACATGGTGGTCACAGGAGATAAACCTGCATTTCTGAAGGCATTGGTCCTGTTGCCTCAGGCTCAACAGCACAGTAACACCCCATGTACACTAAACGCCATTTCTTAGCTTTGCTATGTTTAATGGAGCTGCTTATCTTCCCATCCTAGTGCATTTCTGCCAAATTGAGTGTCATTATTCCTTCTCATCTACGCGTTAAAGGAGAATCAAATCCCACTGCCACCAAATTCTCATCTGGCTTAGTTTTCAGTCTTTCTTCAGCAAACATTAGTGGACAACAAAGGTAGGAGATAGAGAAAATTCTAACAAGTAACAATGAAAGAATGAATGAAGACTTCCCTTTTAGCATTGAATCCATATTTCTCTCAAATAACTTGGGCCAAAATGTAGGCACTATTTTTTGGACACTATGTATTATGTTAAAATTTTGATGACTTTTTCCCAGAAAAGAAACCTAAGACTTGGTTGATAAACACTGAATGGGAACAATTAGTCACTAAAATTTTGCATGAGAGTATGACCATGTGAAAGACGAAAGGCTACTTACAAAGCACAAGGAAGCCTGGGTGCTGGCTATCACTATCCAAGCAAAACAAACACACTGCACTGGGCAAGTATTTTAATCTTCATACCAGACTGGGTTTTTTTAATACAGTATTTCCAGTTACTTTTAAGACTATTTATCATTTCTAGAATTCTCTGGTAATTGCCTTTAGAGTTAGCCTCTTTCATTGCACCCTACATGTAAGGCCTTTTTTAGTGCTTAGCAGCTCCTAAAGTTCTACGTTAGGCTAAGAGTAGAAACTGAATTAATGAAAAGCAGAAGCTACTTCACTCATCAGTGTATCAGATTCTTTTTATTAAATAATTCTGAATAAATGCGTAGGTAAAGCACAGTAAGTATATTATTCCAACATGTTCTATTTGAAAACAATAGTTTGTTAGATGCTTCTGTAAAAATAAAATGCATTATATATGCATTATATGCAAACTAAATTAAAAAAAAGTCAAAAAATGGAACAGAAAATATTCTGACAGCATCAAAAGAGAGAGATGCTTGAAAATTTTTTATTACACCACACTACAACTGTTAACAATTAAATATTACTAGAATGTATTCGGATGTATTTTCTGATCTATGGTTAAAAATCTGTTTAACAGGGAATAACTGAGATAAAGCAAGCTGGTATGAAGCTGAATTACAGAACTATCTAGTTGTTTTCATTTCAAGGATAAATCCTTCCAACTATTGGACACAGTCCTTACTTTTGCAAGAACACCTGAAGTTGAAGTTTATGGGACAGACCCTACAAGCAATATCAGCTCAAAGTATAATTGCAAAATTGTTCTGGCATGTCTGTGTAAGGGTAACTAGCCAGCAACCAATATCCACTTAGTCTGTTAGTTACTTACATACCCCACGGTCTATGTAAATTCATAGTTACGTATTTATAGCAAATGTTAAAAATTATTTTAATATTATAATTTACCCATATTCTCAATGTAAGATGCTATTCTGACAAGAAACTTCTTTGCTGGTACAACTGCATCTGTCTTAGGTTCTTCACCAGCAAAACTACAGCATTTGTAATCTTTAAAAAATTATTTTTAAATATTTCAGGTTTTATTGGTGGGTGAGCAAAGGGTTTTGTTTGCATGGTTGCTTTGATGAGCACAGGAGAGAGTTGGGTTCTACGACAGGTGAAAATGAAAACTAGAGGCGGAAATTTTCAGAATCACCTCTGTTAAGAATAACTTTAAGTAATAGTAATTCTTTTAAGAATGACTGGCCTCATGTTGGTAAAAAGAGATAATGGATTTCATATTACATAGTATTTTTTATTTCCAACAGTTTTCACTGGGATTTTTTATTTACAGAAACCTTCCATCAAAATGAAATTTTTGCTGGACCAAGATTTGCAGATGCACAAAAGAAACAATGCATTCTGAAATAATAAGAATCAGAAATACTGCAAATACCATTTTCAGAAGCACATAAAAAAAAGTATATAGAAAATAAACTTAAGCTTTCTGGGCATCAGCTGAGAAATCATCCTTACACATGTTATACACGCTTAAAACTTTCCATGAAATTGTATCAAGAAGACACCATTTTCATAAAGATGACATTAAACTATCTACCTCAGCCTACTTATTTTCATCTCCATTATATGTTGTGAGATTTTCAGTAAAACAAAAAAAGACATAAGATAAAATGACTCAAAGCAGCAAGGTGATCTAAAATTCAGGTTCTTCAAATAGATTTCCATGAGTAATTAAACTGAAAAGATTAATTTAATTTACTTTACTTGCTGATCAATATAATTTAGAAGCTCAATGACAAAATACTCAATTTTGCCCATATTTCATAACACTAACACTAGTTAACAGACACTTCACAGGACTTTTCCAAGACAGCTCTGTCTTTACAGTGGCTTTGGTAGCTTTTAACCCTCAAAATGTGTGTGCAGACATATATAATTCATGCGTGTGCATGCCTACATAAAAGGTAGGTACATACGCACATTCATATCGCTGCCCAGAAAAACCTTCTCACATCACCAGACACACAGCCTGCTAGTTAATATACAGCCACCATTCCTGAATTCAATCTAGCCTTATGCCCACAGATTCATCTATTTATACATGTGTCACTTCTATCAGAGCCATTTAATTTCAAATTACTTTAAGGTACATCACAATATAACATAAAACATCAGATCACAATTTTATCAAGCATCATCCCAATTATGATCCCTGTGCCTATCAATTAAACTCTCTAAGTGACTGTCCAGGGTACTGCAGAGGATACAGGAACAAATCATGATCCTGGTGTTAAATCCATACAGAATGCACATCGGATTCAGCTTGTATTTGTACTGTGCAAGAACTATGGTTTTAGATCTAGAAAGAATGAATGAGCACCAAGACTGGCGCATTTGAGTGGTGTGTTTAAAGCAAATGTTTCTCTACAACAGATGTACAGCCTATGTCTAGGCGTCAGTTAGTTCCTTATATGCATTAGATATGCTCAGTACTGCCAATGCAAAGTGTTAAATACTATGAGTCAAACTTTAAAAAAAACAAAACTATTTTACAAAAATTAGTATTTTAGAAAGAAATAATCAAAACTGGGCAGGAAGAGAGGGACAGATATTTGTCTACTAGTTTCCAAAGCATTTGTGATTATTTTGAATCATATTATTGGACTTTATATCAGTGGCTACTAGCTACATGCCATTTTTTACATATACATTTTTAGTGGAAACTTAATTTGAAGCTTAGATTAATTACCTGAGCCTGGAAACTGAAGCCTTGAAATACCAAAATACATCTAATAAAATCACAATGGCTAGCAATTCCTACTGTGAGACTGACTCAGTCTAGTATAGGTGAGTGGTGTCATTAAATGAAGACCAATCACAAAATGACTGAGGTTGGAAGGGACCACTGGAGATCATGTAGCCCAACCTCCCTGCTCAAGCAGGGTCACCTAGAGCACATTGCTCAGGGTTGTGTCCAAACAGTTCTTGAGTATCTCCAGGGAAGGAGACTCCACAGCCTCTCTGGGCAACCTATTCCAGTGCTCAGTCACCCTCACAGTAAAGTTCTTCCTCATGTTCAAGTAGAACTTTCTGTGGTTTAGTTTATGCCCATTGCCTTTGGTTGTGTCACCACTGAGAACAGTCTGGACCCACCCCCTTGACACCCTCCCTTCAGATACCTACACCCTCTAATCAGTCCTGTGATTCCCCATACCCCCATTCATCAGTCTCCTTCTTCCCCACCCCAAGTCTTCTCCAGGCTGAACAGGCCCAGCATCCTCAGCCTTTCCTCACATAAGGGATGCTCCAGACCCTTAATCACTCCAGCCCTTCAATGGACTTGCTTCAGAAGCTCCATCATTTAGTGATATGTCTGTTCACTGAACACTTACTTCACTTGTTCCCTCTATGACCCTGTGACAGCCGACACATACGTTCTGTACGAAACTTGCTGATCTGCAGCTCTCACTGGAGTAATATGTCAGGGCTATATACTGCTTATTCAGAAGCTCTCCTGGTTCATTTCACAGCTTACTCATCATTCACACTGGCAAGGTATTTTCCTTTCTGCTGATCACCCAGTAAGTTGATCGGCTCTAATTCTTAATTGTGTCTGATGGTAATATTCTAAGTCATAGAGAAGGAATGTGAAAAAATCTGAATCTGAGATTTTTCACTTTCAAATGGTCAGTCTACACAGGATTCAGCACAAGCACTGTCAGTAGTGACAATTACTTAGAAATTACTTGGACCCTCAGCTGGCTATTCTAAAAATGCCTGACAAAAGAGTGACGTCTTCACAAAACTTCAGTAAATACAAAATAAGGGACTTAAGACATCTATAAGCATACAGAGGAGACAAGCATAATTTACAGTTCTGACAATCAAAAGCATTCTGTCTCCTGTCTCTAAAACTGAAGGTCAAAGATCAGGCTGAACAGAGGTGACCCATAGAGCCAGCCTACTGAAAAAGTTTCCTTGTTCCTGTGGGCAATGAAACACAGGAGGCTGAGGCACCACTAGCATAACTGAATGCCTCTGAATAACCTCCTCCCAGCCCTGAAGCAGTATTTAGAACTGGGGGCAGGTTTCAGTACAGATCGAGAGCAAATCTTCAAATTAGACCTTTTGGAACCACACTAAGATGTGGCTCACCATGCCTTTTAGATAACTTCTGTCTTGTGCAAGTTCCTTTCTTGAATCAACAAGAAAGCCAGCACCTGCCTTCTCCGGTTTATCAAAACACTCCCCCTTGTCAAACCTACCTGGTGTTTGCTCTGGTGTTCCTCCAAGTGCTGGAGCAGACTGCTCATGTCTGGTCAAGCTCAAAGCTTAAAAAATAAACCAAAACAAACAAACAAACAAAAAACAAACAAAAAAACCACCCAACCAAACAAACACAAACACCACAGAAACAAGAGCAACTCTGTTTAATAAGGCAGTACTGACATCTTATACTTCAGCATATATTCAGTGCTAGCATATTTATGTTCATTTATTCATACAGTGCTGTCAGGCAGCCAGTCTGACATTTGAAACAGGTCACTTGTGTGCCCTACAGATTTTGTGCACCATGCTCTATAATTCTAGTTTTCTCCATTGGTTAGTTTTGCTGGTACTAATGTTACCACACAGGACCTCCTACGCAGGATCAGAAAATGGTTAAGAAGGATTAAGAGTCCCCAGATATGGTGATGTTTGTCTTGGAGAAATTACCTTTTAACTAAACAGTTCACCAGCACCCAGGTTTGCACATTTTATCAGTTCTTATTATATGGGTAGGAGCAATGTGTGAGGTCCAATTTGAATATAAAGACTAATCTGCGTTTCTGAAACTCTCTAAATGAAGATGGGGATTTCTGCTGTTTCTGCTTGGAAACTTATCTGTTTTGCTCTCCATACAAGCCTACAGTTTTCCAGCACCTTTGTCCTCCTATACAAGCTAGCAGGAAGGATGTGTTGCATGAACATTATTTTCCTAAAAAAGGAATTTTGAAGCTATTCTAAAGCTCATTCGAGGCATTAACAGTTGTTTTTAATACACCTAACATATGCTGCATACACTGCTTAATAATTACAATTAATAAATTAGTAACAGGAATTTTTCTGTAAATACTGTATCTGTTTTAGACTAAACCACTATGTATTAGCCACAAATTAAAATCTATCCACAAACTTGTCTTGGAGCATTTTGTTCTGGCATTTTAAACAAACACAGCAAAGGCATAATGTTTGTTTATGTTCTCTGTCAAACTCACGAACTTGTCATTATCTAAATAATTCCCAAATCAGACAGAAACCTAGTGCTATCCCGACTGGATAAATACTGACATTTCTGATGTGTACCCAACAATACGATATGATCCTAAGGGAGAAGATACAGGCGTGTCACGAAAACATAAACAGATACTCAACGAATTTTGGTGGTTAAGGTTTCTGGAAGGGAAAGCGCTCTCTTTGACTCCACTGGTCCCTTCACACTGTCCCTCAGGGAACGCACACTCTTCTGACGATTACGTGCGAAACGAGCCCTCTTGATCTTCCACATTGCTGCATCACTGAGGTTGGCGACATTTGTCCGGACAGCAGTGATAGCTTTGCAAATGCAATTGACCAAGTTAGGATTCATTCCACAGCATGGTGAGGCCCTAATGTTGTTAAGTGCCAAATGCAACTGGGCCCCAGGTCCCACTCAAGTCAAGAAAGCTTCACATGGGCTCAAGGGTCCATCTGCAAGGTACTCATCTGCATGCTCTCATTCTGAAATCCATAAAATCCCAAATGGCATAGCTGTTTAAAAACTTATGCTATTATTCATTTCTTCAGAGACAGGACAAAAAGAGGTTCTTGAAACCAAAACCTGAATTTCAGCTTAAGGGAATATGAGGTGCCCTCTATTTAAAATGGCAGAAGTCTCACAAGTATGGATCACGTTCAGTGCACTCATACCCAAATGTGGGCTCTAGTTTTGCCTCACTGACCTCCTGTCCTGCCTATACCTACCACCCTGAATTTGAACAGTGCCTCCAAAATCTGTGAGTGTGATTATGCTTTTAGAGGGGTGTGATGAGCAGTATCACTGCACAGCTTAACAAGGTCACCAATACTTTCCTATATTCATGTCTATAGTGCATTCAAACCCTTTCAGTTTAATTATGTAAGTGACTAATGCTGGTGAGCCCATCCCTTTGCATCCCTTTGAAAAGACAAAGAGAAAGGTTAAAAACAAACCTGGAAAATACCTTTTGCATCTTTTAAATTTTAAATCACTCCCAAATACTCAAATGCAGGGTCATATCTTTAAATAAGAATATTTGGGAGTGACCTACATCTTTCTCAGACCCTTGCAGGCAGCTGAAATTCCAGAAGCTGATAAAAGGAAATCAGATTGATTTAGACTCTGCTTACTTGTTGGGAAAGGGAATTCTTTGTTGCAGTCCAGATGAAGCTGTGCTTCCAGAGACAAGGTCTCAAAGCGATTCACAAAGAACTCCCAGCTCAAAGCTGGAATATCTGCTTTTAGAAAATGAAGTAGCAAAAGCTTACTAAGAATCGTGGGCCTGTCTTTGACAACTGTGTCAAACTGGAAATCAAGGCAGAGGCAAAGACCCTAGATGAGAAAAAAAAAAAAAAAAGGATGTGAAAACTTAAAGCATTTTTTTAAAGCAAGGGGAGCTCAAACCTCCCTTTGTTAATTCTGTTAATTAGTACAGGATAAAGGTTTAGGATAAAGATTTAGGATTTAGCATAAAGGTTTAGGTTTAGGATAAAGGTTTAGCTCATTTTTCTTGCCAAGGCCTTTAAATCAGAACTAATGCTACTGAAAGGCCTAGAGCACAAGTGTTATGAGAAATGGCCAAGGGAACTGAGGTTGTTAGTGTGAGGAAGTGAAGGCTCAGGGGAGATCTTATCGCTTTCTACAACTGCCCGAAAGGAGGTTGTAGCGAGGTGAGGGTCGGTCTCTTCTCCCAGGTAACAACTGATAGGATGAGAGGCAATGGCTGCAAGCTACCCTAGGGGAGGTTTAGACTGGATATTAGGAAAAATTCCTTCACAGAAAGAGTTGTCAGGCATTGGAACAGGCTGCCCAGGGAAGTGGTGGAATCACTGTCCCTGGAAGTGTTCGAAAACACATGCAGACAATGCCCTCAGTGACATGGTTTAGTGGTGGACTTGGTAGTCCTGCAGTAATGGTTGGAGTTGTTGATCTTAAAGGTCTTCTCCAACCTAGTTAATCCTATTATATCAATGAAGAAGTAAGGTAATTAAGGAGATAAACGAACATCATATTTAGAATGTAAAATGTGCTAAGATTTTGAGGAACACAAAGGTATACATGCAAAGTTCTGTCCTACTGCACATTTGGTACACAATATCAAAGTATTCTCTTCACACAACCCTGCCTGAGAAAAAGTTTATATTTAGGCAACTGAATCAAACTCTTTATTACAAAATGTATGAATCACCAAGCCCAAACAGAGGAAGAAAGATTATGTGGTGAAGTGTATCAGAAGTGCTTTGCCTCAAAATGGTTCTGTATTTAATTTACACTAGAATTTTGGGTGTACTTTCAAGACCTATATTTAAGAAAACCCACACATTAAATACACAAATGCCATATACTGGTAACAGCCTCAGTTAATTCAAGTTCTTGGGAAACTATTTTGAAAAGGCACTACATGGAATAAAGCTATCAGGTATTAACAGCTTTTTACAGGCAGTAACACTGAACTTTTTAAAATATATATTCATGCTATTCTCCAGAAAACAAGAACTGGAGTTGTGTACTATCAGAATATTTTTTCTTCAGTCTTGCTTGTATGCATAGGCTCTGATCACTTTCATATCTGCTTAGTTTTAGTCATGCGAATCCTGATTGGCAGGGTCTCTGGCATGCTTAAAATTACATGCCTAAGTAAATCTTTAAAAGATAAAGACCATGTTTGAAATACATCTTCTCACTGTCAGCTCAGCAGGGCATCATAAGACTTTTTTTCTTTTTTTTTTTGATTGAAAAATGTCAACAAATTTTAACATCATAAAAAACATTTACAGCTTTCTATGATAGCAGTTCAAGCGCAACAGTAATTTTTTGCAGCCATCAAAATTTTTACAGTTGGACTCAATGATCTTAAAGGTCTTTTCCAACCTAAATAATTTTATGACGCTAAGTTGGGGCTAGGACAGTACCATTTCCCGTGGCTATTCTGCACATACGTCAATTACCAAGAACCATATGGCTTGCCTAAAGAAATGTCAACAGTAGCCATGATGCTGTACAGCTGAATGGCTTTGAACTTTAGGTGAAAACCCAGATTCCTGTTTGAATATATTTTTTCCCCACATAAAGAACTTACCTGTAAAGCTGGCCTCTTTATAGTGTCAAGTAACAGCCCAGCTCTTGTAGCTACTGCTGGGTTGACATCTTCTACAGCAGTCAGGAAACAGCAGAATGCATGAGCCAAAGAGTACTTCAGTAGGTGGTTTTTTGTCACGGAGTGAATATCCAAAAATCTGCACAACACAGCCACCTTCTCCACTGTAGCAGCCATGTCCCCAGACAAAGTAAATATGCATATTAATTTAGGCAGTGGCTTCTTTATGTCCTGATAAATATACATTGTTTCAAAATATGCACATCTGAGAAAGCACCAACAAAAAAGTTGGCAAGTGCTGTAACTTTGATTTTGACTATCCAAAACGTCTCATGTTCTCTATTTTACTGTACTGTTGTGCCATTGTTTTGTAGCAGACTATACTCCCTAAAGCAGCAAAAAGATAATAATTTATTATAGGTCTCCTCAGTTACAGGAGAGAAGGCTCTACCTCTCTAGCGAAGCAACAAAGAGCAAACAGTATACATTTCTCAGGCCTACCTGCTTCAAATCTCATCTTCCAATCTTTGCTGTTGAAATTGCTGTTTATGATTGTCCAGAAAATGTCAGCTCCATGGGGAAGTGAAAGTGCATGGAGAAGAAGGGGGACTGCCAAGGAAGAAAGCTGAGAGAACTCAGACTTCACAACTCCCCATAAGCTGGAAAGACCAAAAGAGCAAGGCTGCTTATAAAAACACCTGACATCCTTTCTTCTAAATATCTACACTGTGTTGTTGGTGGGAATGCACTTTTCATGAAAATCTGCATGAGCCATCTCAAGCATTTATGGGAATATCACCAGGTTGCAGTTTTTCTTGAAAATCCAGGTTGAAATATTCCAGATTTTACAAGAGTTGCCCTAATTCAAGGCACAACTGTCATGGAACATAATCTGTGCTGTGATTTAACAATTTCAGTACAACAAGCTTCAGTACATAAGCTACATGAACTGTCTTGGCACCATGAATCACGTGCAGCCACAAATGACTAAGATGTCGGCTGTTCACAATTTGCTGGTATTTAGCTTCAGGACAGATTCTCCAGTCTACTAAAACCCTACAGTCTCAGGAGATATTCAGTGAAATTGATACAGAGCAGATGTAAGCACTGATGAACACCATAGGCTGATATTAATTCAGTGAGTTTTCTGCAAAAGTCGCTTTCTCCAAAGAGAATCTGAAAACGAAAATTTCAATCCAATTCACTCTGATTCTAAATAAAAAACTTCTTTTACCTCCTAAAAATAAGGTTCAACACTGTTCTCTCAGCTGTAATGCTAAAGCCCTATAAATAGTGTGCCTTTCTCTACGTCACCCTTTGTTATATTTTGTAGAGTCAGGGAAGATACTTCAGTCTCAGCCAATGCTATTACTCAATATGAGAAACTCTGACTCACTGCAAAGAGTGGTGTATGACAGAGTAGCTATGATGGACAATGCAAGGTACCCTGGGTTCACAAGCAACTTCTTAATTAGCCTGTGCAATGTGCCCTTATACAGTTATTTAACCTTTACACACTTCCCTAGCACCCTTTGTTAATTTGCAAATTCTTTGATGCCAACAATGAATGTATAAACCTGCAAATTCTTTGGTGCCAACAATGAAGGTATAGCTGCAGAACCAAAAAAGCATGAAGACAACATGTGTGGTAAAAACCTACCTTGCAATCAGCATGCGATCTTGAATATATGCAAGAAATTGTGGATGGTCCTTTCTTGCTATATACAGGCATTCCCCATGAAGACACAGGATCTTCAGACAGTTCAGCATATTAAAAAGAATGTCTGGTTCTTCAAACCTTGACATTTCCTGTGTAAGTAGATGTACTATTCTCAACACAATGACACCACAACAAAAAATTCAAGCTAAACAAACAAGAAATCGACGTTACCTGTAATATTGTATATATGAGCTTCAAGGTAACTGGAAGTTGCTGATAACAAAATTTTCTTTCTGTGTCATTTTTTATCGCTGTTAAAAATGTAAGTGACATAAAATGTTGTTAAAAGTCTCTCATTTGTGGATTCAGAAGAAAAAAAAGAATGTTACAGTGATGAGAAAGAAATTAATTCTAGCCACAGTAACCCTGCAGTCAGTAAAGTTACAACAGTACACAATTTGGCATGTAATGGTTTTGTTACTTTATATGTTAAAAATGCCAAGATAGCCAACGCTTTTTTTGAGAGAGAGTCACAGTTGCATTCAACAAAAATACAGCCTTCCTATTTAATTAATATGTCGAAAGAATTAAACGCATGAGAAAAAAGTGACCATGCACTGTTGGACTTGAAAGACTGATCAGAACCTTGTATTCTATATTGAGTAGAATAAAAAATTCATTTAAAGCCTTCCTGAAACACCCAACCTCCTCACCCTCCACCTACCAGCATTTTCTGCTGTCTCTGTGTGATTTCCTGGGTTTTCTCCATGTTTTGGTGCTGATTTATCCTCCTCTTCTCCTTCAGTTCCTATAATAAACTCAGGTCTAGTATACAGAAGACTATCCTCGAGGTTATCTGTGGGCTCCTTTAAGAATATAATAAGTTAAATTTGTTTCTTGATGTTATCTAAATACATAAGGCCACATCCTGCAGTATAAGTTACATCTGGTGTAGTAATCCTAGCTCAAATGAGGTAGAAACTGTCTAGTTCCATGTACACTTGTACATTCAAACCAGATGCATATCTAAAATTCTGTATCAGCAAATGTATACTGACAAGACTATGTTTCAAACGTGGATCATTTAACAGAAACCATATTGGAGCTGAGGTGGACCCAATCACAGGGCCACGGTTTCATGAAACTCAGCATCCTTGCCTCAGAGGAGTAAACAGACAGGAGCAGAGCATGTTTCGTACATTACTGTGGAGTTACAGGCTTAGATGGAGGAACTACCTCAATCACTTTTACACTGAAAAAGGGACCAGGCTGGTGTTACTTCTGCCTGTGGCCAGAAGCTCAAGCTTGCAGGCTGGCATTGTGACCTTCATGTTATAAATCACAAGGTGGATCTTAGAAATGGTACCACACCCCAGTACCCAAAAGACAGCACCACTTGCACCTCATCTGGCACCACCAAGGCAATAAGATGAGTGGCAATGGGCATACTCAACCATGGGAAGTTTCACCTGAACATGAGGAAGAACTTCACTGTGAGGGTGACTGAGCATTGGAATAGTTGCCCAAAGAGGCTGTGGAGTCTCTTGCCCTGGAGATATTCAAGAGCCATCTGGACACAGTCCTGAGCAATGTGCTCTCCAGTGACCCAACTAGAACAGGGAGGATGGACTAGATGACCTCCAGTAGTCCCTTCCAACCTCAACCTTTCTGTGATACCTACTATTAGTACATGCATTCAAATGGAATTCTGAAACCGTTACACATCAATGACATCACTATGCCCACCAGCGAAAAGAAAATTACTAATAAATCCTGCTACTACCATGCACCAGCAAATGAGCACTCAGAATAAGGGTAACAATGCTGTCTTCTGAACCATCAGATAGCACAGTTATGTAAAACAGACATGCAGCTTAAAATAAATTCTTCACACCACAGGTAATGTTTCAATTCCTCTGCAAAGCTACAGAGGACTTCGATGATAACTACTGATTGGAAAGTACATACCTGTGTCTAATAAAGTTGGATTCTCAACCTGAAGTATATTGTTTGTCAGCAATGCTCAGCATTTTCAACCATTAAACACCAATTACGGCTTACTCATTTGACAACTGACTCACTCAAAATCATTAATCATTTCAAAATATCCACACTTAGCTTTTAAAAGAAGAGGAAAAGCACTAAGTATTACTGTTTCCCATTTTGTCTAAGACACAGAGTCATAGCAGTGTCCTTTCAAAGTGAAACAGCACTTCAGTGTTGATGGGGGAAGAGATCATGCTGAATGAATGCTGTGTCCTTTGTATCAATTCAAACTTACAAAATTTTACAATTCAACTGCATTTTGCTTTACCTTCCCAAATCCTCCACACCAAAAGATTAGCACAGCTTTGCCCCCTTGTGCACAATGTAACAAGAACAATGAAGAAGAGTTTCAGCGCACGTAATATAGGCCCTTTCCTACTCTACTTACCACAAGCCTGATTTCTTCTTTTGGAGCAAGTTGTTCCAGCAGCTCAAAACCCAGCTGGTAACAGAGAACACTGGACTGACACAGACCACATTCAACTGCTTTTTCATCTTTCTGACAGGTGTGAGAACCACCCCAGGGTGCCTGGAACACATTGTTTATGATGGATATTATATCTTTTGAAATGCTGCTCTCTAAGCCCAAAGTGACACCATCATCCTGGAGTTCCATCTGAAACAGAGTGAAAAGAATATGGATCTACTATTTATTTAAGAGCCAGAGCACTAAGTATTTTGGCCCTGCTAGTGTTAGATTACAGTACTGGAAAGAATTTGAGAAAAACTGGAACTCATAATTTTTAATTGCCACTGGTGTTGAGGCACTAGCTTGAACAGCTAAAGTAGACAAAAAATTTCAAGTACAGGATCCACGAATTTTACCAGGAGACAGTCATCCAAAATACTTGACCTTAGATTCAGAATGTACAATGTAGCTACCCAAATATTATTAATCTAATCTAAGCCTATCAACAAGCCTCTGTTTCTAGTCTGCTGTAATAAACATATCTCCAAGGATAAGTTCCTTTCACTCATATGAGCTATCTAGCATGAAGGTATCTAACCTCTCTTCATTGAACATGAGCCTGTAACTCCTATACAGGTAAAGGCAGATGACAGTTGTATTGGGATTTAAATGTCTTATACTTCATGACAATCCCTTAACAGAAAGGGACTCAATACAGGATTAAAGAAAAAAAAGTGACTACAGAACTTCAGTGCCCATCTTAATGTGGGTGCTATTCTTCTGCAAGTACCTGCTTCAAGATGAGGTCAAACATCAGAATGAAGCAATTAAGATTCATTTCATCATCTTCACAGTCAAAATCAATTGTCTTTCCACTGGGGTGTCCAAAGTTCTTGAAAGGGCTGTGAAAAGGACTATGTACTGGACTCCGAAATGGGCTCTGGAAAGGGCTTGGGAAAGGACTCAGCATGGTGTGCTGAACTCTGCGCCCAGGGTCAGAAGCAATGCTTACCTGAAGACATAAAGAATTAAAATGCCAAAAATTACTGTTACGCATTTAAGTAATCTCATTCTATGCAAAACTGCAGAAAATGCAAGAACTTTGACAGCCTATTTACTTCTGTGGCTTTTTTGCCAAATCTACATGTATCCCTTAATGCCATTAAATGATAAAACATGATAGAAGCACAGGAATCATATTCTGCGCAGTTGTACACATCCTCTTAAGCTAAGTGGCTGACATCAGTCATCTTACTCCTACTAAGGAGGAATTTTAACATCATAAATTAAACATATAATTGGTGCAGGCAGTAAAGCAGCCATGAGGTTACAATGACCCACTCCATGATCCAGGGACACAAACTTCAATAGTAGGAGGCTAATAAAGGAGGCTACCTCAAGAGAACGGTGTAACTAAGGCTATACCAAAGATTCAAGTATCTGGAAATGAACTAAACACAATGGTAACGAGATGTGCATGTCTGCATTGATTTATGTCCACACCATAGCAGGCCCCCTAAAACGCCTTGAGAACTTCTCAGTATTGCAGGGAGATACACAGATAGATGACACATGAGGTCTACTTTCAGGACAGCTATGATCTGCAAGACCAGAGAGTAAATTTGTCCATTTTTTTTCCTGCTTATTTTAGAAGTAGCCATGGGCTAGGTGTGGGAGTGCTCTCTGGAGAACTACATCATAAACCAAGCAGACCACACATAAAGAAGCATCAACTGCTTAGACAGTAGTTTCTTACATCTAATCTGACCTTTCAAGCACTCTTGTTCCTGCTGTCCTTGAACCAGTTCATCCAAGACTACTGGGAAGTTAGTCACATCAGCCCAAGTATGTGTAGTGCCTACAGATTTGTACACATTTTCTCCCAGACCATAAGCCTTTGACAGACAACTTCAGATCAGTTTTTGCATCTCTTGGATGGGAAAAAATTAGGCAAGGAAAAAGAAATAAATTCTGCTTTGTCACCTTTCCAAAACATACCTCGGCCCACCAAATAGAATACAAAAGCTCAGAGTGACCAGTTATCCATACAACTTTTTGTTTACGGTTATTAATAGAAGGTGAAGAGAATGAAAATGGTTGGAAAAGATACCAAGAACTCTCCAAACGTATCCCAAACAAACCAGTTCACTAAGGAATTGCAGTTCCTATCTGAATTATCTTTACACTAACCATGTGGTAGAGAGGTACAAATTGAAGAAGTCATGGAAATTTTCTTCCATTTTTAAAGTGTAGGGTGTTTCCAGCCAAATGCCAATGTCATATTGAAAGATGACTTTTTAATGCTTCACATGCATTCTATTAGGAATTCTGTTCTAAGCAAAACAAAAATCAAAACCAAAACCAAACCAACCAGTATAAATAATAGTTACCCTCCGAGCTGCAATGCTTCCCACCAGTTCACTAACTCTGGATTTTCTTTGATTTGCTAACTCTTTTACAGAATTAACTCCATCAGAAAACATGCTGATTAGTAACTGAAGAGGAACAACAATGTCTAGTTCAGATAACACCTGAGGAAAAACAATAAATAAAAAAGCATGAATTTCAAGTTTAATCAAAAATGGCCATCTACTTTATAAGCATCTTTATCATCTGATCCTCAATTTCATCAAATTCAATGCATTTAATTTTGGGACTCAATAAGATCAGCTACAAGTTTTGATTTCTGTTAGAATCAGGGCAAAAGAGAACTGGCAAAAAAAAGGTATTTTCAAGGTACTTCTTGGCATGGGCTTGGTGCGCCTTGAGATCAATTTTATGCACAAACACACAGGGATGTGAGGTTGTTGCACAGAAGTATTTCTGTAAACTAAAACTACCAACACTTGGGTGAGTATCTATTTACTGTATTTATTATTAGTTAAAAACGAATTCCTGTATTTGTTCTAAGAATCCAGTCAGAATCACCGGTGCTAACATAGTAACAGGATGGTTATCTGCAAATCACTGAGGGAGTGTTCATCATCTATTTTGTCACCAACACTCGGGCAAACATGAGCTCATTGATATTTGTCTTTAACTGTTAGTAGGTCAAGAAAAACCTAAAAAACTCAGACTTTACTTGAAAACTCTGCAAACCTGAAAATTGCTACAGTCATCACGTAAATTGGTCTTTGCAGAGGCTCAGCCAAAATAATCCTCAGCAGAAGTGATACTGAAGAACACTTCAGTGGTGAAGAAGGTATTATTCTGAGGTGCTATGGAAAATTTCAAACCCTTTTGAATTCACTGCCCCCAGCCGACGTGATTGTTCCTGTAGCTTTTGAATACAAACACTGGGTCAATGCCAGCTCTGTGAGCAAATACAGCACAAAAGGACCAGAGCAGCAAACCTTGGTGTGTACAGAGCTAGTCTAAATCCAGTTATTTGCATGTGGGAACAACTACAGCTGCTTCTGGAGTCTGGAATTAATTTTGGAATCTACAGACCAAACTCTGTGGAGACTAAAAACTACTGCTGGCAAAAAGTCAGACAGCTGAACGGTCCTAAAGACACAACTCACATTCAAAGGCAAAAGGAACTTCCAGGCTTCCATTACATTGCCATGATGGGCTAAGAACATAAAACTTCCTGGGATTTGTCTACCAACCATCCTTATGCTGAAGCTAAGTAAAGAGCAGAAAGGTCCCATGATGCTTGGAAAAATGGCTTCCCCACTCTTCTGAAACCGGGACACACACACCCTTTCATTTTTCCAAAATCATAAGCTGCTTCAGCATGACTTGTGAAGAAAGGACACTTACATGCAGCCAAAGCAATGCTTGCTCTTGCACAGAGGATGGATACCCTGTGAATCGACAGCTAATGAAGCCGAACATCTCCTCCATGGAGAATGGGAGAGGGCAAAGTTCAGTGTCAAACATTTTGCTGAAAAGCAGAACAGAAATACATCACTGAGTTACCATGGCATGCACTGGGGGAGATACCACACAAAACTGGCAGCAATCTCTCTACCAGAACTGATGATGCTTCTGCGATCTTACTTGCATCCTCACTCTCCACAGGAGTTGAGCTAGGCTGCTGATACCACCTGTCCTAACTGCACAAGGTCATCTCTGAATTTGGCGATGCACCTGAAGAATTTACCTCACATATTATGCTCAGTTTCATTTGATAGCAGTATCTTTTTCAACATCCAATGTAAAAATTGGAAAATTTTTCATCTCACCACTCTTCCACTATTCTGTGTTTACACTAAAACAGTTTACATCAATACTTCCAAATATAAATTTATAAGACAGTGTGAAGTTTTATTGTCAAAGGCCTACAGTAGAAATGAAATTATGACTCAGACAGCTACCAGCTTATTCTGGTGTTTTCTTTGCTCAGTGGGGGGAAGATATTAACTAAATCAATACAAATAATCACTCTTTCAGTGCCAGCTCTATTAAAACTCAAAATTTCTCATCAACAGCTGGCCAGGAGAAGAAAGATGCTTCTTCTACCATGTTGCAGAAAACCACTGAAAATATGCCTTGCTCACAGCAAAGAAGCCTGCATGTAGTTGGCTCTTGAGAATATCAGGAGCAATAAAAGGAAGCTTCCCCAAAGCTTCAGTGCTTTAGTCTAAACATGTTATAAAAAACTCAGAAGCATTCACTCATTGCTGTCTACATTTTTGTTGTCACAATCTTATCAGGCTAAAACTCTCAACAACCAACATAAGCAATGACAGAATGGTTCCTACATATGTTTACATACCTCAACACTTCCCGGAACTCTTTCAGTTGATTATCAGGCACTTCCATCCTTATAGCTTCCAACCACTCTGGCATGATACATTCCCACACCGGCTGGTTTATCACATTGTATGGAATCAAGCAAAGGATTCGATTTAGTCCTTCTTTTAATTGGGTCACAGCACTACACGATTTGTCCCAGTATCCACCAACCTGTGGGCATTTCCAGGAATCATACTGATGAATGATACTTCTAGTCCCTATAACTTGCCCAACACCATAAATTGATTCAGCATGTTGTACCCAGGAAATTAGGGGGAATTTAGAATTCAGCCATGGGGATTGTATTGGTGTCTTCCTCTCTTAACTGACCCACAATACACAAAAGCACTGTCCAAGATTTAGATGAAGTTTGCTCACTTTCAGGCCGTAATGCAGTGTAATCTCTCATTACTTACAGTTCTCAACACAGGACAGATTTCTCTGGTCAAACTTGCATCTTCAGTTATCTGCTCTGGGCAACTTGTTACAGTGCTGGGTCTTTATTTTTTATTTTATACCTTGGTTTGCACCAGCTATTCTTTTGTGCTTGCTTGTTTGGGTTTTTTTTTGAAGGAAGGTTTCAAGGGATGGAAGCCAAAAGATATATTTTTTAAGTAAATAAGTAACTGGCCTACGGAGATTAATTATTCTAACTGACCTCAGCTCATCTCTGCTGTTCCTGACTAATGGCTGTAGAGATGCCTGCTGTTTTGGCAACAACAACTGGCAATCTCAGCCAACAAACTGTTTTTTCTCCATTCATCACAGGTAATTTCATGGTTGTTTGTCTTCATGTTCTAGTGAACCCTTGCACATCTAGCAAGTTGCCAGTCTAGTCTTAAGTATTGCAGTGGGGATAATAAAACTCAAAAAAGGGGCTGGACCCAAGACAAGATAAAGATCTATAACAGTTTACAGCATGAGGTTCCATTCTTCCTTCTCCCTATAGCCTCAAAGCCCTGGTCTCTATTCTTCAGTTCTAATATTCAATGCACCCATCCACCTATCAAATTCCTTCAGTTGCCCTCCAGTCTTCCGAGAGCCAGGTGCATCTTCAGAGCAATGATGTGATGACACATACACATACTGGTCTGCACACAAACAGCAAATCCCATATATTAGGTCATGAAAGACCAATGGATTCACACTTCATACCTGATGATGTAATGTAACACATTAAGTCTTTACTGCCTTTCCTTGTCTAGTCACTTAATTTTTAAAAACAAAACTAACATGTCCTCTGGACATCTGACATAAGAGGGTCACAAAATCGAAGTCTTAGAAAAGCACATGTGGTATACTTGGCAGTGATAAATGAGGAAGAAGTCTTAAATCCCTCACAACAATAAAGTTCCTATTTTCATGATGATGTTTCATTTTCTATAGGGGAACAATCACATGCCTGACTTTACTACCCAGGTTAAGTGACGAGTTCTACTTCACAATTAATGGACAGAAAGAAGGACTCTTTCTAGAACTGACTGCAGCAATAGTCCCACCTAGGCACCCTGAATGACCTTCCAGATAAAACTTTTTCTCTCCATCAGCAATAAGGCAAACCATAGCAGACTAGTCTCTTCACTGAGACATTTAAATTAGGTATCTGAAGGTACCTACAGGTAAGTATAGGGCATCAGTATGCCCAGAGTTTCTTTCAATTAAAACTGTGTAATGTCATAAACCTTAATTCACAGATGCAGAGATAAAAGTATGCAAAGAACAGAGAAACATTAGTAACGCAGACTAGTAAAGGACAGGTTTATATCTGGGAGCAGACAAATGATACCTTTTACTAAAGAAAAGCTTGGGCGCTTCAATGGTGTACTGGAAATGTGTAGTTAGCAAAGATGTATAGCATCTTTCAAGACCTATAACATTCTTCCAACCTGTCTTCACATTACCATAAATAATTCCCAAGCTCTTAAGACAGTAAAACTAGAAAAGCTATGAAGAGGAAAAATTCCTGAACTGTACTGCTCCCTCAACCACTGAGATTCCTTTTGCCTTGACACAGCTGAGGGAGAAAGTCTTTACACTTGAGACTTTAATCGCTGTGTCAAAGGAACATTCAGATAAATTATTCTTACCCTGGCAAACTCCATTGGTTTAGGAAGGAGGCACATAACCATGACATCAAACCGGACATCACAAACAGTCTTCAACCACTTAGTAACAAACTGGGGTTTGAGCTTTTCAACCAGGCTACCAACTTCATCATCCATCATGTAAGCTGTAGAGTGAAACCACTGGAACACCATGCTAACCAGCCTTGCTAAACTCTCTGTGGGTGTATTCTCACTGGGAGTGCAAAGGCTCACCTGGAAGACAGAAATACAAATCCAGTTTCATTTCTAGAACTAAAGGTCCCAAATTGTTTCTGTACTATATTTTGCATATTCTCAAAAGATACAAGGATGCAGATTAGACAGAAGACAAATGAGCTGAGCAGTTTTAAGTAGGGTTTGGCACAGGACAATTGACAAAATACTTCCAAACCAGAAAACAGCAATAGAGGAAAAAGGCAAGCACTGAACTCTTTCTTAGTTTCAACACTGAACGTATCAACACAGAATGTTTTGACAAACTGAAACATTTTGGTTTGAACTTTAGAATTCCTTTTCATTTGAAAAGTTAATATAAAGGCTGGTAAAATATATGATACATATATACGTATATAGAGAGGCACCTGTAGGCAGAAGATGGTGGCACAGAGAAAGTCAATTAAAAAAAACCTCAGAGTGAATAATTCTGTTATACACTCTAAAAGGACTCGAGGGCAGTCAGAAACTCCACCCAAACTAGTTCTGAAATATTGAAGTCTGACAGCTTCACAGAACTCCTTGCGGGGGGTGTGGGGCAGGGAGGAGAGAAAAAATTGAGGCTTCAAAAAGAAAAGGGAAGGGAAGCAAGAGGAGCAAGAATTTCTCACCAAGAACCAGATTCCAAACTGGCTCAGGAGGCGTTGATCATGCTTGTCATCATCTTTATTATCAAAGTCTGTGTTGTCCAGGGAATGATGGGAAGAGGAGAGGCCCATCTGTCTCCTGCGGTTGAGTTCATGCTCCCTCTGCTCAGCATGAAACTCTGCTTCCTTCAGCAAGCTATAAAACAAGCCTGTGGTCAGTGAATGCAGCTTTCCTGCCCTGGATAGTTATCTGATCAAGAATAACCAGAGGTTAAGGCATCAGACGTCATCATTTTCCTGACAACAGTAATAATATAACATCAAATTCTAGGAATCGAGGCTGACTTCTTCCATGAGAACAACACTCACTCTTGCTAAAGCAGCACGAGTTCAGCATCCCTGCTCTGAATTCATCCTGGTGAAACTAGAATTAACTAGAATTAACTTGCACAAGATCTGCAGGCTACATTTACATGAAAGCCTGATCCTGCTTTACATGTTGATGCCTCACAAGCTGCCATATTACCTGATCACGGCTTCCACAGTACACACAAGCTCCTCTGCCCCACACTCCCGGGTATTGATAGGGGGTGGTGAGGTCTGATAAAGATGGGTTTCTGCAGCTGCCCCAACTTCACTGCTATGATGATTCGAATGGCATCTTTTGCAATAGCGCACTGGCCTGTTGCCATGGCGGCCACAGCAGCCCGCTGAGAAGCATGTGACAACAGCTCTTCTGACATGTGAACTACAGTTCTGGAAAACACAAAAGATTTTATCAGGACACAGGTATCAGGAACTGAAAACAGGGATGAGTCAGCACTGGGACACTGGCTCAAATGTGGGTCAATTCCAAAATCGCTATAAAGAAGCACACTGCATTCAAACTCCTGATGCTAAGTGTCACTGAACTTCCAGAAAGATGAGCTCAGCCCCAAATACTGGCCTGGATTTCGGTGTCATGACTGCTCTTCTTTTAGAGCAGACCAAACCAACATTTAAGTCATCAACTTCAGCTTTCTGGCTTGGAACAATCTTTAAAATTTAAAGTATTCTCTTACCCCCTTCTTACACCTCAGAATGCCTTCTTACATTACGTTAACAGGCAGATCCTTAGGAATGCAGTTAATGGTGCCACATCCATTTACACTACGTAAGGATCTACCTTATCATCCAAGGATGATAATCCAAGCCTCCAAAATATGCACTACCCTTATTTTTGACACGTGATAATCCAGCCCAACATAAAAGCTTTCTTTATCACATGAGATCTAGAATATGTTATTAAAACATACTAGCTGGTATGTATGGCAAGCAGATTCTTTTTGTCAGCAATCTTTTTAGACCCAAGCACCAAAGACTTTGAGTCCGTATTTTATAAAAAGCATAGTTTACAGTAGGATTTTTGTTCAATTTAGGAGCAATCCAAGACTTCAAGGAGATGAGAAAATATAAACAACACTTAGATTTTAAGTTAATCTCTTGCTCTATCCTCTTTATAACTGGAGTTACAGAATAAAAACCAAGCTGAACTGCATAATTGAATTGCATTACCAACTGCCACTTCAACAAAAGCCTACAACTTAAACAGCAGTTTTAACAAAAAGAAACCTTGCTGCTGAATTATTCCCATCCACCAACAAATGCATTCATGGATCAATTGTGAAAATCTGGAATGGCACAAAAAAGAATGCACCACATAGTAATGGAATGACACTACACACAACATCAAATCATGCCCCATTACACAAATGACTGAATCTTACCTTCTTCTGACATATAGCAGAAATTTCAGCTGTAAGAGGAAGGCATACAAAGCATCAATACAGAATGACGATCCTTCCATTTTACTATGGCAGCCATAGGATAATGGACTTGCTGCAAGGAAGTCTCTGAGGCTCAAGTTGTGCTTCCAAATATTATTGAAACCTCTGAGCTTGCTGGACTGCATGAGGTAGGACACTGTATACTTAGGCCTACTTGCTATTTCTACACTGAAATTTAAAAACAGCCTTCATGCATTAAGCATGGTGTGCTCTGCACCACAACCACCTTCTGCCTATGATTCTGCCTCACAACCAGGCACAACACTGTGGCACACTTGTAGGAGACATGGCTCGGATGTGCCTACACTTCCTGTGAAGGCTCTCAGGAGGAAAGATTAGTGAATATGGATGAACAATGTAGAAGCAGCCACTCTGCTGCCCATAACTCCACAGTAAAATGTTTGTGTGGCCCATGACTCCACAGTAAAATGTTTGCAGATTCAACCTTTAAGCAGTAGTTATTCAGTCTGTTGCCCTGGCAACACCTGATTCAATAAATGTAAGTGGCTGAAGAAGCACTTCCTTTAAGTAAATAAAACATTCTCAATATGGGTAAGATTTCAACTAAAAGGAGACAGCAAAAAAAAAAAAATCTCCACTGTTTAAGAACGTTCAGATTGCAGAACAAAGAGAAGAGTATCTTTGTTCTGTCCTTGAAAGAGTTATCTTAGAGAATATGTGACTGTCCTTGTAAACCCAGGAAACTTTGATTTGTGTGTCAACAGGCTCTGTCTGCATTCTGTAGATAATAAAATACCACACTCTCTCACTGGCCAAAGGACAACAACCGAATCAATGACTGGATCATTGAAAAATATCTTGTGTCCTTTTCTGGTATCCTTTACAGCCTTCTGCTCATAGAATACATTTTCAGAAGCTTTAAGAGTTTTTGAATCACTCAGGTTACTGGAAGAACTTGCCCCTTTCTTTGAACATCAGTGTGGACAAATACTTTTTAAAAATTTGGTCCCAAATGTGGATGCTTCAAAATTTGAAAATCTGTTCAACTGCTTTTAACATAAAGACTTGCATGCTACTTTAGATAGAAAATTATTCAGTTTTTCACGGTACTTAAGGACATAGGCAGTATTAAGTACAAACTAGTTTAAAGCACAAGTACTTTAAAGATAAAAAAAAAAATCCCTTAGAATAGAACATAGCATTTCAAGTAATACAGTATGCAGGAATATCAGTAAGCATAGGGTTGTGCAATTATGATTAGATTGTACCTACCCTTACAACACCTCTTACCTTGTGGTAGAAGAACGTCAATCAACCATTCACTGTGATCCCTACAAAAATCATATATCTAATTAGCTTTCAATTTTTTATTTATATATGCTTTTATTTCTGCACAAAGGAAATTTATCTAAACTAATGTGGTAGGACTGACATTATTTTGAAGCTGCTTTTTTACAAACATAGTTTCATAAACTGCAGACTGTTTTACACTACCTCTCTTTATTGTGCCTATCTTATTACAAAGGCCCATTTCACTGATGTTGATCCACCAAGTTCAAGGCTTTAAAAAATTACTTTTAAGGCATAAATTTATCAAACTAAAACAGCATGTGCTCATAAAGTCTGATGGCTAAGAAATGACAGTGAAGAACAACAGATGAAAATGGAAAATAAAATGTACCAGTATCATTTTCTGTGAGTCCCCTTAGAAGCTATGCTTCTACCAAATTAAATTACTTTTTTTCTGCAGCTTCAAATCAATGCTGACTTAAAAATCTAAGGTGAGATGTAATTGTTTTTTCTACAGTTGGTGTGATATAGAGGCGTCAAACTGGGGACAAAAAAATCCCACGTAGTTTCTGAACTATCTGTAATCTTGTCCATTTGAACTCATGACTGGAACTTCCCATAAGTATTAGTGTCTCTAATGTAATGCAAATCAAATTAGCATTTTTTAAATAAAAAAAGGAATGTGAGTTTAATTCATCTCAGGCTGGACAAGCCCGGACCAATTTCAATTCTTTACTCTATTGCTTCACAACACACCCTAGAGAATAATCTGAAATACAGGTAACAGAAAAGTTATGAAGTTTCTGTGAAAGAATGTTCATTGTAATATCCTGCTTTTAATGACAACTAAACGATGAGGACACAAAATGTTTCACAAGCAAAAGCTTGTATATTAATGAGGTTCCCATATCATAGTCAATGTATCCCACAGTATCCATTCCTTAACTTTAAAACTCATTGCAGCTAACTAGATGCAAATGCTGATCACGAAGGGTAAATTTCCGCAGTCCTTATTCATATTGAGTGGCAGTGTGCTCCATGTATTTCAACAGGATTATCTACATAAATTATATGCTAATCATACTGAAATAACGCCTAATTCCAAAGTTCTCAATTCTGAAGTCCAACTTACTTGATTATTTTCCAGCTCTTAATTTACCTACCCTGCAATTCTCTGGCTGCATTCTTCACAAAGATATAGGGGAGGTGGCTTATCCCCCAAAGCCACAGACAAGGATGGATCAATGCACATCTGAAACATACAAAAAAGAAAGAATTATAACATCTTGTTATTGAAGCTTGCTGAAAACATTCAACACATGCTAGGACAAACAATGCAACACAGTTTTGATGTATTAAGAACATTTAGTATTCTCAAAGATGGCACTCATGACCTGGCAGTACAGGATGTCAAATCATTTCTAACAAAGAGAGGGATGTAACAAATTGAGAGCCTAGAGGAAGAGAATAGCACATATTTCAATATCAGTATTATCACTCTGAAAGACAATTATGTTTTGTTATACATTTACATTGCATAGTCATGACAAACTTTCACTTTTTTTCTCTTTTTCCAAAGAGATAGTCACTTACAGGATCTGTTGCTTACGACAAGGTAATGTAAGTCTATATTTTTCTCTCTCAGTAACACCTCCTTCAGCAAAATCTAATTTTCAGTCACCATAGTTGTTAACTACACAGCTTAATTCCATTGACAGAATGAAGACTATGGACCTACAGTTCCCTTGGCTACGTAGGCCCAAACTTTGTCTTTCATTAGCTTTTATCCTTCCACATTAGCCAGTTACAGAAAAGTTACAGTTAGCAGCCACCAGTTTAAGTGTTTTGTACTATTTAAGGAAAAGCCAAGTAGTTTGCATAGACAATATCTTAAACACTTAAAGTATTTCTCCATTCAAGTGCAAAATCTTACTTATAGAGACAAATGCCTCTTCAAATGTTTCTCATTTTTGTAACCAAATTTACATTCATCTATCCAAGAAACAAGAGGCGGCACCTGCCAAAGTTAAGCTAAGAGATCATTGAAAAATATTCAGGTATTTCATCTGCAAAGCTTGGAACTGTAAATTTCATTGATATTTTGCTCTACTCAGTGATTAGTCTGAATCTAGTGATCACTACAGCATGAAGGAACACCTTCCAGCTCTTTTTTCCTATGAGAAGGGATCGTGGAGAATGACTGGAGTGGGCAGGAAAGTGTCCCTTGCAGGGCTTCTGAGATAGGTGTCACCATTATGCCCTATTAGTGGCTTGTAGAAAAGGCTTACTGAAGAACTGTTCAACTAACCTAATTATGTTAGCATATGAATTGATGCCAGGAGATCTGGTTTTCTCTACATATTTAACTCAAAACAAATCTAACTAATCTGTACACCTAACTGTAGTATGCTCTGGACTTGACATGTTGTTCTTGCCTCTGCCATCAAATTGCACTATGATCCCAGCCAAGCCATTTTACTGTTACCCTGTGTATAAACAGGAAAGATACCATTTACCTCCCTCAAAGAAGGGTGAAGAAGAGGTAAACCAAGATTTCCTATTTACTTTAGGACACATTCCAAGCAAAGGGTCAGTCAGAGTGGGTGCATCATTGTATGACCTTGCTCAAGATACTAAGGTGACCATGTACCCATGTAACTGACACGTTTCCTGTATATAGTAATATTTGTGCACATAATTACACACATAGGTGCTCAGGATAACATTTACGCGGATTAGCCAGAAGCTGGCTTACAATTTTTTAAAGTATTCTGCAACCATGCTCAAGTTTAATAACAAGAATTGGCTCACAATAGTTGGAGGAAACATCCCACTTTGCTTTAGGCAGCCAAAGAACATATTCATTAAGTTCTGGCCCCCTAGGTCTCAACAGGCTTTACTATTCCCTTAGCTCCTGCTCTTGGTCACCTGTACACAACCAGAGCATATGGCTGGGGTCAAAGCGCAACCTCCTATCCCCAAGATAGTGGGTTTGACCCCTGAAGAGACAGCAGTACCTTCACAGCTGGTTTGTTAATTGCATTATGGCACTCAATGTGCTGGCAATGAATAGGATTCCAGGCTGCAAAACCAAAACACAGCTGATTAATATATGGAGAATATATATTTATATTCTTTGTGTCTAGTAACATCAACTCAGAACAAAGATCCTCAGTACTAAGTACTATACAAATACAAGAGAAGATACAGCCATTCCTCAGAAAGATGCTATATGGGATGTCCCCAGGTCAAAATGCCAAGCAACTGCAGATAGTACTCATGCCATTCTGGGATAAATTAACAGAAAATTTATATATAGGAAAACCATTCCAGTCTACCCAGTGCTAGGCTAGTAACAATTCAGGTGGAATACCATGCTTAGTTTACAGGCCTGCTTGCGTGAAAGAAGTGATGCAGTCCAGTACAAGAAAAATGATTTAAAAAAAAAAAAAATCAAGAAAATGTATCAACCCTTCAAGGGAAAGCTTTAGAACAGATCAGACAAACATGTACCAGGAACATTCAGATATACTTGGGTTAGTCTTGGGGATCTTGTAAAGTCTATTCCAATCCTTCATTTTTATTATTTAAAATGACACATTCTGGTCCAGAAATTTTAAAAGAGAACAAAACATATCCCATATGACAGAGATTATTTGAAACAGGCTGAGACCGGCAAAGAGGAAAAGCAAGTTATCACAGAAGCCCAATCCCCTCAATATCACTGGGGAGTCTAGTAGACAGAGGACTCTACCACTCGCCTATTCAGCTCCAGCTGCACTGATGCCTTTGTCTCTTATTTTCACCCTATAATCAATCTTGAAAACTCATCCATTATACTGACTGCACCTGATCTTTTCTGACAGTAACACCCAGATAAGGAGCCTTAGCAACAGCAGCAGTGATAGCTGCTGACACAACAAAGGCAACCAAAGCAATAATTGAAAGGAACACAAGCCAGAACCCTTGTGAGACCAAGGCGGCAGTTTCACAGCTCATTTGGAACACTGTATTTATTTATTCTCCTGTTCTGGTTTAGCTACTATCAGGAGTAACATAACAGGTTTACTAGCCACGATCGCAGTTTTTATTTGTCATAACATCTTTTGAAATTACAGAGAAATAGATATTGTCTATACTTATGAAAGTACTAACTAAAAAAGTACCAAATACATCGTAGAACTGTAAACATGTGAAATTGACACATTTCTCATCACTTCCTTTATATTTATTTTGGCCTACACAAAACAGTTGCACTGACCTGTGTACTGCAGTCCTCTGTACTCACTGATTGCCCCAGGAGGTTTTAAATTGGGCCAATAGTGAAATAACATTTGTACTGCTGGAGGTTTAACTTGAGACGGTCCATAAGCTATAACATATAACAAATCCTAAGGAAAGACACATACAACTTGTTTATTTTGCAAGGTAACAAAACATAGCTCAATACATATTGTGTCCAAAGATATCCAAACACACAAAACATATACATTTCATACCCTACCAAACATCCTTCATATGCTCTTACAAGTAGACCAGATGACTAACTTCAACAATATGTTCACAATTGGCTTCAGTGTTGGCTACCACCCACACTGCATAGTGTACTAATACACAGCAAATGAAGCCCCTGTGTAGCCATAGAGCAAAGAGGTGTGATAGAGATAAATAACTGGATCCAGATCAGATTCAGGCTAAGACAACACTTGCAAACAATCCTTGTAAAAGTTCAGTCCCACATGAACTGAGTGGTCATTATTAATATTTCTGCTAAGTAGAGTCACAACTAAATGGTATTCAGGAAACAGCTCTGTTCTACAAAACATGGCGCTGCTTCTGTAAACTAAAAATCAGAGGGACCTTCCCCTCCATCATCTAGAAGGAGGATGGGGTAAAAAGATAATTTATAACTTCTTGGAACACAGTCAGTTCAATTTTCAAGCCATCTGGTTTTCATAACTATCCAAATACAGTTATTTCCACAAAGTATATATGATCATAAACTTACTTTCCACACTTCTTGCTTATATTTCATGAGGCATTCCAATAACTGGCAGTGATACACTGAGAGAGAAAAGACAGTATAGACTGAAATGGAAAATGAAGTTACAGAAGTGATGTAATTTGCTGATTGGCTTTGTTTTGTCCGTCCAAGACTCTATACCTCATTTAATTATTTTTTTAATTTTTAAAGGGTTCTGTGAAGAATCATTGCCTTGAGAGTCATCACAAAATATCAGAAATTAAATATTCATAACTTGTTTCTGTCAAGGAATGCAGTAAGATACTGAGCATTATCAGCACACAGCTTTTTTGCACAGCACTAGAGATCTTTTTTTCCAACACATCTAGTTTAAGAATACCTGCTAAATCATTTAAACTTTGTCCCTCTGGCACAATGTAAAAGTAAAAGCAAAACAGAATGATACATGACAATGTATCTTGTCTTGTATAACAAAGGCTTGTATACCAAATTCCTTATAGTTTTGTTGAGCCTGTAGCCAGCATTACCAGTCTTCTTTAAAAAAACAGTATCAGTTGTGAACTGGGTGGGAAATTAATCATAGTATAAGACAATCTGAATTTCTGTAGTCACAGTTAGTGGAGATTTCTCTCCAACACTGACGTTATATATCATAGAATGTTTTGGGTTGGAAGGGACCTTAAAGATCAGCTAGCTCCAATCCTCCTGCCACGGGTAGGGACACATTCCACCAGACCAGTGGAACTTTCCAACCAACTTTCCCAGCTTTGCTCAAAGCCCCGTCAAATCTGGCCTTGAACACTGGCCAGGGATGGGGCAGCCACAGCTTATCTGGACAACCTGTGTCAGCACCTTAACACCCTCACAGGGAAGAACTTTTTTCCCAATGTCTAATCTGAATCTACACTCTTTCAGTTTAAAGCTATTCCTCCTTGTCATCACTACACAAAAAGTCCCTCTCCAGCTTTCTTGTAGATCCCTTTTAGGCACTGGAAGGCTGCTCTAAGGTCCTGTGGAGCCTTTTCTTCTCCAGGCTGAACAAGCCCAGTTCTCTCAGCCTGTCTTCACAGGAGAGGTGCTCCAGCCCTCTGAGCATCTTTATGGCCTCCTCTGGACTTGCTCCAACCTATTTATCCAACCTAAACATCAACCCTATTTTCTGATAGGGTTCAAGCAAGAGTAAACCAGAATCTCCAGTCCTGGACCAAATCCTGTTTCTTCATCACAATGAGATCTCTTATCTATATAATGATGCTCTGAAATTCCAGTTTTGACTAAAATCACTTATTTTTCATTCTATGTTGCATGGTGAGGCAGATTTTTCCCACGAGCTGAACTTTTCTGATTGCATTTCATGACTCATGGTTTTAGAGAGAATGATGCACATTTACACATACCCGGGTTTGATGTGTACTGCATTGCAATCATTAGCATTGATGATGCAGACAGATTGACATGTGCTGGAACACCTTCTCTTTTTGAGGATCCCACTTAAAAGAAAGGAAGAAAAAAAAAATGTATAACAAGGAAAATAAAGCAAGAATAACATACAACTGATTCCAGCTGATGCAAGTAAAATTCCTAAGGTACCGTGTCTTTAAAATAAAAAACAAACACAATCCTAGATTGCAGGGGTGAAACCTTTTTTCTACTGGAAGAGAAAGATAACGAGGAATACAGTGTTGTTTCACAGGACATACACCTGGTGATCTTCTCAGGCCCTCTCCTCCAGAACCCACAGAGTCAAAATAAAGCCACTTGTATAGTTAAGTAGACCTAGGGCTTCAATTGTAGGAAAGGTGAGGAGGAGGCGGAAGCTAAAGTAACAAGATAAATGGAAAGCCTGCTGTTGAGGCATAAAGGGTTCTGAAGACAGACAGAACAGGGTAAGTCACCTACATCTGCTGGTTTTTAAAAGGTGACAGTGATGGAAGAAAAAGGAGTTAAATGCAATATTCTATTCTTAACCCAAAGAGAACCTAATGCACAGAGGTATGAAAATATTTCTTAGTAATTTTAATTTGCATACTGTTATTAGACCTGCCAAAGGTAACAAACAAAACATCACTGCAATGTCTTACAAGGGACTATTTACATGGGGAAACTGATGTACACAAAAGTAAAGGAATTTCTCCAAGATCACTGACTGGTAGAGCCAGAAAACACAGGTGATAAATTTCCATAAAATCTTAATCTCAGGACACTGGACCATGCTTCTTTCCATGTTCTAAGCATCCTATACATGCTTAAATGACATCAGTGTCAATCTCTGTACAAAAGTTATTCATGTTTTTCCATGAAGGTCTGGAACACAGATAAGGAGAAAACATTCTCACAGAATCATGGGATGGTTGATGTTAGAAAGAAACTCTGGAGATCGTATCCTTCCAACCCCTCTGCTCAAAGAAAGTCAACTAGAGCAGGTAGTCAGGACCATTTGTGTTCTGAGCAACTGCTACAATGGAGAATCTGCAACCTCTCTGCCAAACTCTTCCAGTGTTTCATCATCCACAGAGTAAAAGGCTTGTTGGTTAATAGTGACTTTTAATATTGATCCTAATGCTTACATCTGCTGAACATGGCTAAGTGTCTTGCTTCCACTGAAATCTTATCAAGCTTTTTTATCTTATTTTTATCTGTACACAGAAGCATTCAGAACACACCTCAGAATTCACATTGTGCAGGGATTATGAAATTACAGAACCATGTGACACCCTCAAGAGGGGAGAAGGAAAAAAAAAAGGAAAAAAAGGCAGGCACTGTCAGATTCAGTCTTAACACTTATGGATAGGGGACATTACAGGCACAGCTATTTAGTACAGAACTCAAAATAAAAATGCCAAGGAGAGAGGGAGAAAGAAGAATTAGAAATTCATCACAGCACCACTACATTGAGAAGAGTCATTATTTTACATCCAGATATAGTCCAGATCATAGAATCATAGAACGGTTTGGGTCAGAAGGGACCTTAAAATCAGCTAATTTCCAGCCCCCCTGCCACGGGGCAGGGAAAACTTTCAGTAGGCCAGGTTGCTAAAAGCCCCACCTTACCTGGCTGTGAATGCAGATGCAAAAATTATGTATGTTTCTATTACAGCTATCATTTCAGGAGCAGTTTGCCCACTGATTCTGTATTAAAAACTCCTACTGATGGCACTGAAAGTTCTATGAGTCTGAAAACAGCATATTTCTTAATTAAGCTAAACTTTAACCTTTAAGTCAAGCAAGAATTCACACAGTAACACAGCATAATAAATCAATATTATAGAATTATTTCCCACATGGAATTATTTTATATATATGCATACATACAGTAGATTGATGTCCCATTATAATTCTATGACAGATCAAACATTTACTCCTACAGTCTGATAGCAATGCACCATGTTTTCTCAGACATAACAATACTAGAATGAGTTCTACTTACATATAGCCATAGGCAGAAAAGATGTGCTGAGATACTCTATAATATCCTTGTGCAGAAATGGAGGAAAGGTAGCTAGTGTTGAAATCATTGTATAGGGTAAAGTACTCAAAATATCATCATTGAGAAAAGGAAGTAAGCACGTAGTAGTGTAAAAAATTGACTGCCCAAGATCTGTTGAATAAAATGACATAAATACAGAATCATTACAGTAGAAAAATAATTATGGCTGTGTACTTTTTAGCTTTCAAAACTATTGAAAAATTTAATTTTAATTCAAGTTTTCCTTCAAAGTAATTAGAGAAGCTAATCACTATAGACAAGAGACTTCACCCACCATTTTTAAGACCTTCCTAGAATGGAGAAAAACAGCTGTTCAGTACTGAGAGGAGTAAATGGAATATTAATACTACATCTAGTAAAATAATTGATTAAAATCAATGTTGACTTTAATCACATACTGACATACTGATTAACATACAATGGTCTGCATTTAAGCAGAGGTATTAGAGTCAGAATTTGATGTGTACTTTGGCACTGAAAGGCCTGCTTTTGCAAAAAAAAAAAAAAACATTCTAGTGTTTATCAGTTATAGACAAATACGATTTTTATCTTAATTACCCTCAGGAGAGCTGCAAAGTACCCTCCACAGAGAAACTACAGGAAGCGTCCCTCTATGTTTCAAACAGCATGTAATTAAACTATGGATCTTGTTTTCCTGGCAAGTCATGGAGGCCAAAAATTGCCAAAGCTTAAAAGGAAAGAAATATTTACCAAGAATTTACATAATTATTCTAACTAATTATACCATAACTCTTTGGAAGGAATACTTAAGAATAGTGGTGACATTTCAAGATCCAAAGGGAAGGGATAGGTTCTTGTGTATCTGAGCACTGTGGAATCTATATCCTCTTCCAAATGAGGAGTTGATCTGGGGCCAACAGCCCACTGAGAAAGGTTACAGAACTTACTGAACCCCAAGTCTGAACCCGTAGGATGATCCCAGCACATCAGAAGGCCTTTCCCTTGCATGAGAGGAATTCCTTTTGCAACTTTGTGTTGTGGTTTAACCTTAAGTATGTCACACAGGCCTTCAGCCTCATCTGTGCAACTAGTATGATTCAAAACTGGCCCTGTAGTGCTCAGAGATCTGTAGCTGTAAATATCATGAGTCACAGTAAGAATTAAAATTAGCACTCCATTCCAGTGGTTCTAGTAAGTCTAGGCAAGGCCCTGTCCAGACCCTTAATGCTAAGAAGTGCTACTCTCTTGCAATACGTATTTACCAGTTAAGCACTGAGAGCATTGCATGAAAGCTCAGGACCACCTGGCACACCATTTGTACTTACCCAAACAACACTGTTTGTTCAGATTAAAAAATATATATACTCCTTTAGTCAAATGCTAAGCTGAGGGAAAAATAAATGACAAGTTGTATTGCAAAATTCTCCATACACAGAACCATAAAAAATAGCAAGTGACTTCCCCATACCCCAGGCATGAGTCAACCAAATTATTCCTGGCAGATATTTATCTAAACTGTTCTTAGAATTCTGCAGGACTGTTCACTCCTCCTGGTAACTCATCCTGGTGCTTAACCATATTTATAATAAAAAGGCCTTTTTTTTTTTTTTCCATTGCTGCAATTTAAGCTTATAATATCTTATCCTGATCACTTGTAACCACAAATAGTTTTGGTTACTTTATTTCTCATTGCCATATTTGTATATGATAATCACGTCTCACTTTCATTTTTCTCTAAGCTAGACAAACCATGTTCTTTCCATTTTTCCTCACTGTTCACACCTTCTAGACCTCAAATCATGCTTGTTTATTTTTCCTGGACTCCTCACAAATGGTCCATGTCTTTCTCTAAGACAGTTGGACAAATATGAGAATTTTACTCCAGCTGAGGCCTTGCTTGGGCTGTTACACAAAGCACCTGTTTATATATTGCTAGAAGAATATTAATATATGTTAGTGACTTATGGTCTGCCTCTGATCTACTGTAACACTCAGATCCTTCTGCAGTATGGCTTTCAAGCTAGTATTTCCCCCATTTCATTTCTGCTTTTGATTTCTCCTGCTTAAACATAGTATTTTACATTTCTACTTTGAAGATGCTTCAAAACAGAACACTATTTGCCAAGACTGTTTTGAATCACATATCCTTCACACAAAGGATGTGATATTCGTCATCTTGATAAGCCCTGCAAATCAAAGTGCTGTCTCATTTCTATCAGCCAAGTAAAAAACATAAAGTATTTGGTAACACTAGACCCAGCACAGACACCTGTAAGATGCCCACCTGGCATACCCTTCCAGCTGACAAGAGCTGCTGGCAATTACTCCAGGCGTGTTTTCCTCCCTCAAATGGGGAAACATATGTCCCATATTGCCTATTAGGATGTTAAGTGACACAGCAACAAAAGCCTGACCAAGGACAGGAAAACCCCACCAGAAGAGCCATTGCACTGCCATAAAAAGAAATTATGTGTGCTCACTGTTACTTGCTCTTTACAAGTCTGCATTGATTGCTAATTATCATCATGTTATCTATTTAGAAAAATATTCATTTGATAATTAAATTCCCCATTTCTAGAAATTGAAGTCCACAAGTCTGTAATTTGCCAGAAGCCTTCTTGGCAAGATAATACCATTTCCTAGTGCAGTAGTCTTTGATTCAAAACATGCTGTTGCCAACTCAAAAGGAATTCAGCATTTAACAAAAAACAACTTTCCTCTTAAAGAATTTCAGTAGTGTACCAGATTGACAACCTTTCTATACTGAACAATGTAAGTAATAAATTTTCACTGATAACATAGTGAAAATTAATATTTGGCTAATGTAACACAGGGAGAATACTGGGTTCCTGAATCCCACTATACAAAGCCACAGACTAACACAAGCCAGTCACAAAAAAAACCTTGCAATTAACTAATTCAAAACATAAGGAAATACAGCTTTTCTGTAAATCAGACAGAGATAATCCTATCTTTTTACCCAATAATATTTTAAAACTGTCTCAAATCACCATTACCATTTCTTCCTCAAACAAATGTATACTATGTTCTATTTAGAGATGGACCTTCACCAAAACACTCAATCTGCATATTTATTACAGGCCAGATACACATCTGCAAGCAATTTGTGCCTATTTGAGAGAGACACCCCCAAAAAAACAGTCTGAAGATATCACAACAGATTAAAATTCAAAATCAATTTTTTTTTAGATACATCTGTATTTTTTTTTGTTACATACCGCTGTATTTTAGTTACATACCACCAACATATCACTAAAAATCAGACAACCTAAGAATTCAAAGCCAAATCCACAGTTAGCAAAAAAACATCTTTTATTTAAGAATGTCAAACCAAACATTTGGACATAACGTATCCCAGAAGATTTGAATTCCAGATCCAGGTCAGTTTAGGCCCATCTCTTCTACTGCATTTATGTATCATTCATGGATTCACAGCACTGAAGTTAAGTGTACTGGAAGGGTTCAAGGGCCTGCTTACCATGTTGACCATGTTGTAGCAAGGGAACTAGATCCAGCAGTGTCACCAGTGTCACGTAAAGTCCTTGATAGTCCAAAGATGGGTAGTCTGATAACTGAGCATCACGACTTTGCTGGCCACGTTCAGATGGAGCATCTCGCAGGACGCTGTAAAGGAGGGAGCGAGTAACAGTAGGGTTGATGGAACTGACCTGTGGTCTTAGAGATGGGGTGAGTGGGAATGGCACAGGAAAAAGACACATGGTCATGGGCACTGTCAAATTGGAGGCATCTTGATTCTCCTTCTTCCCTGTGCGGGACAAAATGCTGTTGGGGGGACAAAGAAAAAAAAGAGACAACAAAGACACAAAGAACAGCACATTACATTGAAATGACACTATAAAACAAATAATAAAAGACCAGATACATCCCACATAAGATGCAATCATTACCAAAACCAATGTGTCTACAAATCTAGCAACTATTCACTTTCATGCTTCAAGGTAAGAGAATTAAAAATTAACATCTAAGAAAATTTCATTGCATCTCATGTGTTACCTGGTTCATAAGGAGCAAAAATATAAAAATGCATGTTTCAGTGCCCTACCCATGTTTCACAGTTAAGAAAAAATCCGAGCATTTTAAGTGTTTGCTATGGAAAAATAGCTGTGTCAAAATAGGCTGGTATTTTGCTCCAAGATTGAGAGATTTATTTCCTCCTCCTTCCCCAACCCCCTAATCTTTTGAACCGGCTGACTGAAAACATGCAAAATATAGGTGTGGCACTTGCAGAAACATGTTTTAGCAAAGAATAAACATGTGTGTTTATTAAGATAGTCTTAAAAATCACATGTTTATTGCATTAAAATAATGTCTGTATGTATTTTATGATACTGTTTCATGACCACTCACTCAGTATCATTTGAGATAATGAAGTTTAAACAGGCACATGGATTTAGAAATAATATAATATTTCTAAAATGTTAACTAAACTACATTTGTAAAAGTTACAAAATAATATATAGTAGATGGTCTTTAGCATATGTTTGTGAGCTAATGATAATGGTTGTTTATGTGTGGTTTTAATTTTTCCCATGTTTAGGGAGGAAACATTTTACTTTATGAATACAAACACTCCTTGGGTAAATAGTTACCTTCGTAAAATCTAAGGGCTAAGCAAGCAAGACCAATTATGTAACTGCAGATCAGACAGTATGTTACCATACATTCCTGCTGTTACTTACGTTATTATTCAACAAAACTCACTATAAACTAAAGGAGAGATAATTTCAAAAAAATACAAAGGATTTAGTGGGAATCAAAATAGAACCTATACGACAACCAGCTTGTTTATGTTGCTTTAAGAATGTTGTAAACATGGTTGTAAACACTGTTGATTTATGTTTAAAAAAAAACCAAAACACTATTTTAAATAGAAATGAATTGCAGTGTTATATTTTAGTTATCAGGTAATTATAGGGTGAGTTCATAATCTTGTGCCTATAAAGCATAATAGACCTTCTAAATATATTAAACCACACACAGTGCTGCTCTTTTTTTGGTTTTTTGCACCTCTCAGTGGTTGTGATTTCCAAAAGCAGCTGCTGTTGGTTTAACTCTGTCCCCAAAGTCAGTTAGAACTTATAAAAGACAAGTCAGTGGCATGAAGATTTTGACAGAGTAATGAAGAGCAGAGTTATGTCAAGAGGGAGCACTTCTGGAAACCTCTGTCCTCTTTAACAGTACAGAAATCCCTGTCGCATCCTCACCTTAGCAAAGATAGCTCTTACCTCACAAGTCAATTCAACAATTTACACAAGCAAGTTAAATACTTGCTAAGGTGCTTGTAAGAACAGCTTATAAGAAGTGTCATTCATTCGCCATATAAATAAAACACTTTCACAAGAACAGTTCTAGGCCAAGTGCCTACTATCACATCACACTTGCAGTCAGAGATGACAGACATAGTCTGTTTTAAGAAACTACATACTTATTCTTTTTTCCTTTTTTATTGTGCCTTACATATTTGGTAGATTATTTTGGTTTCTGTTACCCAATGTCCAGTACAAGAAATGTGGTGACTGTCATGACAGTATTTATGGAACTGTATCAGAAAATCACCTAAGATCTAGTATGACTTTAAAAACAGATGATCAGAGTGCTGATTCTTTTTAATTTGCTTGACGTTCATTTGCTGTACTTTGCAGCTCATGGTTAGAGATATGAAGACACTAAATTGTATTCCTTCCCTGTCTAGCAACAGATTATACCAATTACCCATTCCTTCACTTCCCAACACATGACTTCAAGTGAACCTATTTCCAGAAAGGATATTACTCTATTAATTAATCCTTGATTTGGAAAGCTTAAGGCAGTGATGGAGAGCTTACTCTATAGGCTTCCCTTCCTTTTAACATGGAGCTATGGCCCATCTATGGATTAGAGGCCACACCATCTTGTATCTTGATCCAGGCATCCTTCCTTCACCAAAAAGGTGATCAGGCATTGGAAGAGGCTGCCCAGGGCAGCAGTGGAATCACTGACCCTGGAAGTGCTCAAAATGATGTAGATCAGGCTCTCAGTGACATGGTTTAGTGGTGGTCTTGGCAGTCCAGGAGTAATGGGTGGAACTGATGATCTAAAGAGGTGTTTTCCAACCTGGTTGAGTCTATGATTCCGTTCACTTCAGCAACAGCAATAAGTCTGTATTTAAATCCCAGCTACAACCACACCAAATTCAGGAGGAAAAAACCTCACAACCAACCACCAAAAACTTTCAGACCCAGGCTTTTGCTTGACCCATATGTTTTACAAGTAACAAACAGAATTCTGAGTCAATACTGAAAATCTAGGAAGTTCCCCAAGAACAAGATACAATGATTGCAGTCTGTTTCTGCTTCTGTTCAAGCCAAGTACTGAGAAATTTGAGTGTCTGCAGATCAAACCTCCATACTGAACTTGCTCCATGACAAGTGATAAAGCTACCAGGGCTTCTTTCAAAATTTGTATATCTTTGCTGCAAATCTATCACCAAATTATTGCCTTCCAGGAAAGGTTTCCCAAAAAGGAAACAAGCAAATTGCATCTCACCAAGGCAGCAAAACAAGCTTGAGCATTAATTAGCCACTGGACATTTATAACTATTCCTCATGTAAAATATTTTACTTAGAAATACATATGGAGAATTTTCTCTAAGAAGATGTGAAAGAATGAGCTGTTCTGCAAGATGTTTATTAAGTCTTAGATCATTCCTCAAATGAGGGAGAAAACACTGAAAATGAGCAGGGCATGAAACAAATTCATGCTGTAATGTAAAGAAATGCTTTTCCCAAAGAGAAAATTAACAAAGAACTAAATGGATCAATGTACTATGCATTGTGTATGGTGATTTCATGTGATGCTTGCTCACAGAAATAAGAATTTAATTTTTTTTCAACCATTCCGCATCTGTTCCCCCCACCCCTAAGCTTGTGATTTATCGAGGCTGTGTAGAGAACAAAGGAGCAAGTTAACCCTTTGTGCATTCCAACTATAGCTAGCAGAATGACACCAGATATGAATGTGATGCAAAACAGTGGGAATGTCCCACTGAAAAGAACACACTCAATGTGTCCATAACACGAAAAGGTAAAAAGTATAATGAACAGTAAAAGCTACACCTGCATAACTCAATCATCATATGAAATTTCTCTGACTAATCTCTACTCCTATGACTACCTAAGTTCACCAAAAAATGTTTGTCTTAAAAATTTCAGCTGCAAGGAGAGTACACATTGACCTGGGAAATATTTTTAAAAGTTGTTTTAAAATAGTGGCTGATCACAAGCAACTTATTCTGAAAGCCAGACCCAAAATCTCCAGAAATCAATGGGAATTTTTGCTACTGTTTGATCAGTATTCTCTTAGCAGCCCAAATTCATTGCATGTGCTCTGTCTCAAGCCAGAAAGATTATTCTCCACCATGTACTTCTACGTTAAACCTTGCACAATGGAGTCTCAGTGTAGGAGGCAGAAAGAAGACTCAGCATGCAGAATATTCAAAGAAATTCCTGAACATGCTCTTCAGAAAAGTTCTTAACCAGTCTGCTTCGTTTTAGGGTAAATCTTGCAGAGATCTGCACACAGTGGGTGGGAAGTTTCCTTCTTTCCATCTGCCACACTAAATACATGGGGTGTTTTGTTTTGCTTTTTTATCCAGCTTTTTTCTTAATATCAGCAAGTGTTTAAACTCACAGTGGTTCAACCACAGCACTCAGGCTTTGACCCACAGTTCAAATTCCCCAGTTAGGGGGATTCAGAATGTGGATTTGACCTTGCTGAGTATGAGAACTCAGTCCACTTAAACCTACATCCAAGTCCTGGCTTCTGTTTCTGGTACCCTTCTAGCTCTGAGGCTGACCAGATCCCAGATCTTGAAGGACAAAGTCTTTTGTGTATACCTGCATCTTAAATATGATTATCACTTCTGCTGAAGGAGGTTCAACATTATCAGCAAGAGGATTTTGGTTCAGTCCCATTCTGAACATGAAATAAAGAAACTGAGTTGCTCAGTTGTGCAGTTGGTACCCTGATTTCTGATCTGCTCTCACAGTCACTATAAAGCTTTTTCAGTAAGCCCAGGAACATCACTGCTCATGGATTGTGAAGAATTTGTCACATCAGATATGTCAGCTGTATGGCTTAGAAAGATGAAGACAACAGAGTGGTGTCCTGGGTTCAGTAGTAGCAGTCATGTTTTTCCTTTGTGTTAACTGGTGCAGTGCTGTGTTTTGACTTCTAGCTTGAGAACAGTGTTGGTGAAGCCGATGTTTTCGGTTGTTGCTAAGTGATGTTTACCCTGACCAAGGACTCTGTGAGGCTCATGCTCTGCCAGGGAGGAGGGGAAGCTGTGAGGAAGCAGAGACGGGGCGCCTAACCCGGGCTAGCCGGGGAGGTATTCCATACCACAGCACGTCATCACGTCATGCCCGGGGTGGGGGGGTAACTGGGAGTTACCCGGAAGGACAGGGGCTTCCGGGTGGAACTCGTTTTCTTGGCCGGTGGTATCGTATTCTCTTCCCTTGTTATTTTCCCTTATCATTGTTTTAGCTGATAGTAGCGGTGGTGATTTGTTGCTGGACTGTTCTTGTCTCAACCCGTAGGAGTTGCACTCTCTCGATCCTCCTCCCCGTTCCTCCAGGAGCGGGGAAGGGGAGAGCCCCGGTGCGGGGGGGGGGGGGGGGGGGGGGAGAGACGGACACGGACTGTTGTCAGCTCGGCACCACTCACTGGGAGTGAGTGAACAAGTTACCTGACTGGGTTTAAACCACGACAGTTCTTTTTGGCGC